TCTCTCGATTTGACTACTGTAATGCTCTACTCGCTGGGGTATCTAAATCTACTTTGAAGAAACTGCAGTATGTCCAAAATACAGAACCCAGGATCCTGACCAGGTCTAGTGCAAGTGATCACATTACTCCTATCCTGGAGTCCTTGCGCTGGCTTCCTGTCAAATTCCGTGTGGACTTTAAAATCCTCATGCTCACCTATGAGGTTCTGCATGGTTTGACACCACATTACCTCACTGAACTATTATGGCCTTACTCCCCAACTCGCAACCTTCGGTCTTCTAATTCTAGTCTCCTAACTGTCCCCCAAGCCCGTCTACATTCTATGGGTGACAGGGCCTTCTTCTGTAATGCCCCCAAGCTCTGGAACTCTCTGCCCAAGGATATCAGAGAGTCACCTTCTCTAAACTCCTTCAAATCCAGACTCAAAACCTTCTTCTTTAAAAGAGCCTTTACTTAACTGGTTCCATTCTTCACCCCTCTGCTTTTCCTGGTACCACCATCCATGGTCTCCTCTGTATATTGTAATTGTGTTTTATCTTGTGTATTCTTTTTATTTATTGTTCTCATTCTGTAAAGTGCTTTGAGAAGCCACCTTTAAAGGTGCTATATAAAGTTTTATTATTATTATTATTATTATTATTATTATTATTATTATTATAACAAAATATGAATGTAGGGTCACAAGTAGAAACTAAGAGGAGCTGCATTTTGGAGACATTCTACAGATCCTACCTGTCAGCTCTGTATGTCTGGGTAAATGGGCCCTTATTTACACGTTTTCATAATGCCCCCAAACTAATGTGTTTTGGAAATATGAGGAGTCTATGACGTACTATTCTCCTACAATCCCCAGATGTGCTTCGAGTAAACTTGCTTTTCGAGCATTAAAAGTGCTATGATACGTTAGAGGGTATCTAATTATCTCAGCACTATTAATGCTGAAAAGTGATTTTTCTAACTGGGGATGGCAGCAGCAAAGAAGACTATTCTGACGATTTGGATAGAGCCTGCTCATTCTTCTTTTGTTTGGTTGGGATATTTACATTACATTTTTCATCCACAGAGGTCCAAGGCTCATCCTCACCCTGCCACACTGCTATTGATAGAGTACTATAGATCCAATGATTTGGCGTTTCCAATTCCTTGTCTAAGTATGTTTCACCCCCTATGTTCCTATTTATTTCTCTTTTTTGGCCAAAACACTGTAATGCACATTGTGTATCTCTGAAAGAAAAGTACAGTACGCTGTTTGTTTGTTCTGTTATTGCTTCTGTGTTTTTGGCGGGGTTTAAATAAATAAAATTAAAAGAATCGTTAAAAAAAATAGGAGACAATTCTTCACATACAGACTCTACCTAGTAAAGGTGATGAAAATTTCAATCATGGATCTTTCAAGAAGAGGCTAGAAGAGTTTTTGAGACTACTTAGGCCAACTATTCAGAGGGTATTAGCCCTGGTGTCCTGCCTAAATTGCACTTTGAACTTGCTCCCCCTAAACTACCAAATTCATCTAGCTATTTTCTAACAGCTTTGTTCAACTGAAGGTCACAGGAAAGCCAAAACCTACCAGCAAGTGAAGGGGACAAAGCAAGGTACAACCCTGGACAGGATGCCAGTCAATCACAGAGTAGACTCACACACACTCACACCAAGACCAATTTTCCCAGAAGCTAACTAACCTACCCATATGTATTTGGACTATGGGAAGAAACCAGAGCAACCACAGGAAGCCCACAAGAACACTGGGAGAACATTTTTAAATTAAAAATGCTCCCTGCAAGTTTAGAAAAAAACCCTGTAAAAAAATACCTACATTGTATCGAGAATTCTACTGAGATAAAACTAAGAGAGATCTCCTAGCAAGTCTCTGAGATGGTTACAACCTTGGACAATAGTGTAGGCACCATAAAGTGCTCTGGCTGTCATCAGCTCTACCAGAGAGGACACAGAGGGAGTCAAGGTTTGCTCTGCACAAGCTATTCAGTTTCAGAAAACGGACAAAACCGGGGTGTCCAATTTCTTCTAAATTAAACCACAACAGTAGTGTCATTTTTTCAGCTACTTTAAATTAAACATACAAAAGTCATTAGCTGAAAAAAGGAACTCTACATTATTTAGCAAGTAAATGCTTTGCATTTATTTGACTGTGAAGGCAAGTTATTAAAAACACAACATGGAAGTTTTTTTTTTTTCAACCATCCGTTCAGACTAGAATCCCGTCATGTTTTTGTAGTCTTCTTAAGCAAGCAGTCAATTCATTCCACGGGTAAATTTCAAACAGCCAATATTTGCCTAATTTGCCATTTTAAGCAGAAAACCTAGAACAGCAAGGAACATTTTTAATTATGGTTGCTCAGCCGTCTCACTTTCATTGGCATTTGGTGTTTAAACTAATACTCAAGTGCTACTAATCGAACATTTTTAGGAATCAACTGAAGCAAAAGCTAACTTTAATTGTGCCTGCAGATATCTTCGTAGTAGCTCAGATTTGGAAAAAGTTAGAAATGACAACCAACCTACAAAACAGTCTTAATAGGAGTACAAAATGTAGTCAGAAAACGGCTACTGACTTCAGCCTAGGATATGCTTCGTATTTCTTCAGAAATATACGTAAAGCTTAACGGCATTCGAGATCAATATCTAAAAATGGGATATAATGCTAACTTAATTTAGACTAGATGCGCGGCTATGGACAAGAATTCTGCAAGGTGCATGAATTATTTCTCCGTGCTCACGTCTGAAGTGAAGTGAAGGTGCGATGATCAGTTTGTTTTTATACTGTATACGTTCTAAATGTAGCGCAGAATAACCACTGAACTATACAGCTGGAGGACTATAATTTTAACTAGGTCTAAGAAAACCAAATGAAAACAAGTACTGTATGATTACTTATGATGCACCATTCTAATGTAAGGTGGGAAGATTTCAAAAGCGTTTATTATGGGTTCAATGCTAGTCTGTGTAGACCTTGAACTTTGATATACGTTTTTGCGATAGACAGACGGAGCTCAATCGCCTTCTTCTTCTCCTTTGCTCACAAAAAAATCTTACAGAGATAGCTACATTATTTAGTTATGTAAGAGGAAACGTTTTATATGGTCACAGTTTGAACCCAATATGTTCCTTCCTTCTCTGAGCTCTCTCGCTTGAAACTCATTTGTATAACGACCCGCTTGTTTGAAGAGTTTCGTTCGTAGAAGGATATCCTGTTCTAAAAGACAAATCTATTCTAACAAAACAATGAAACTCATAACAATGATGCTGAAATCGGGATAGTGGGTTTCTTAAAGGAAATGTTTACAATAGCATTTATTAAATGTTAATAGTACTGGCAGTTTACATACTACTTTTTCGTCTTCAAAATAATAGCGCTCCAACAAGATCCAGTTTTACTGAAACTTTTGACCCGAAACCGTATCACATGTTCAACAGAAAGCGCGACGAGTAGCGACACACTACAAACACACGATAACAAATTTCATAAACATACCTGGAATTTGCTTTTAAAAAATCTGGTTTCGTGTTCTGACAACAAAAGACGATAGCTGTTTTTTTTTTAAACAAGATCAAGCATTTTTACTTTTAAGTTAAATTAAAACGGCAGAATCCCATAGACCTGATGTATACCTTACTAATAAACTTAAAAGTTTCGGTCTCTTTCGTTCTCTAAGTGCAGCAGTAGATCAGTAGATCTTGCAGAAAACTGCGGCTACCAACAGTATCAGTTTTCACTGTACTTCTCTGGCAGGAGCACAAGCTCACAAAGGTAACCGAGTTACCGCTGAACCAATCAGCCACAGAGAGGCGGGGACAGCACTGTAAAACGATGTTGGTCCCGGGGGTTGAGCATTGCTTCAGTAATCCCGATTTAAATGACCTGAACATATGATTCACATGCTGTTATGAGCAGGAAACATGCTGGGTGTCTGATGCAGACATGACAGTTGCAGCTTATTTGCACTTTTAAGACCCGAAGGCAACAAACTATAAAACAAAGTATCGCTTTTGAGCGTGTTGTGGCTGTGTTAATGACTCAAGTGTTAATGTTGTTAACATTTTTTCGCTGGTAATGGTAAACTCTCTGCCAACACTGTAAAGTTACTGAAGGTCATACAACAGGTTTTAAATCGACATTTTCTAGCGTATCCAGAATTAGCTGAAAAGCCCGATATTCCATCCTAGCCTGGAGGGTTAACGAGGTTGGTGTGATCCTTCTTAATATTTTCACCATTTTATTTCCGAATTAACCCCAGAGGCCACGTTTCACACTCCTTTTCTCGCTATGTAAACATGAAAACGTACGAACAGATGAGATAAGTGTAAACACGAACCCAAGTCTGGAAAGAAACTGTTTATTTTACAACCACATGAAGTACTGGCAAAATATGAGTATGGTTATACTCAGTAGTGCCCCTCTTCGCCACCCTAAAGGCATAAAGGCGTTAAAGCGCTATGTGAACAAAACGGCTATCGTGTTGTGTGAGACTACAACCTGTTTCTGTCGTTGGACCATAAAGCATTTTTTACACCTGCGGTCTATACTACACCAAACCTGCCGCCAGCTTTGTAGTAAACCTGTTTTCTGGAACTCTCTCATATACATTTGGCAAGAAGCGGCGAAGGGCACCAACCGAATATGTTAAATGTCTTAAACCCACCTACCTTTCCAGTGTTGTGTTTTCAGAAGAAACAGATGCTGTTTCCAAACTTGGTTATTTATCTATATACACTCAAATAGCGAGTTAAATGTACAGTCACCGACATTCAGCAAGATACTAGCATATATATATATACGAGTGCACAAGAGCAAAAGCAGTGGTTACATAAATGTATCAGTACGTATATCACAGTATAACCACTTCAAAAATGACATTCTTTCCAATTCTCCCAGGCTACCTAATCAGCAGTTGCAAAGCTCTGACTGCTACAGCTGAAGTACAGAAAATAGTCGGCTTCTTAAATTAATAATGAAGACCTATTTTTAAACTGCAGCCAGTACCTCCATTAACAGGCTCCCAGACAGCTGCAAATGGCATTCAAGGTTTCATCCTACAGGAAGAATGACAAGGACATAAATATTAAAATCTTTCAAGACCGATTCCATATCAGCTGATGAAACATTTCAAACATATTTTGAACTTGAACACGTTACTGACGATTATACGTAACAGAACATGGGACTGAATAATTTTGGCCTATTCAGCTGGTGCCAATGGCCACACTCCTAAACATAGCAACACTACATTTCTCTGTTGCACAATGGCGCTGTAATTACTTTGCCTAATTAAGTTAAATAACCTTTGTACATGAAGGCTATACAAACTTCTTTGAATATAACTTTTGTTTGAGCAACGCGTGCAGCCTCAGCTGAACAGTATTTCTAATTCTACAGAGCCAGTGGCGGTATTTAACCTATTAAAATAAAGTCCCCTGCCTAACAGCTAATGACAGATCCTGTATCAAATCGCAATGCCATGTTCCTTATCAGGGGCACTGTCGCGAAACAATCCAACCACTGTGCCACTAAAAAGGAGTGGGGGGTTTTATGTTTTTTTAAAGAAACCGTGTTTCAGATGGAGGCTCGCTAGGATATAACCCTGATTATTTAAGCACAACAGTCAAAGCTTAAAACTAGTCTTAACATAAGAATATAAGATCGACTCAAAATGGCTTAGGAACTGCATGATGTTCATATTTATTGATTGAGTTTTTCTAGTTGTTCAGATTATGAAACCATCGAATCAAGCAGCTATTACAGTTCGTACTGTCTAGACGAGCACATCTATATCTTTATGTTCAAGAGCTATTGCGTTGAGAAATTTAATTCACAACTGCCTTTTCTTATACTTCCAACAGATGGCGGTCTGTGCAACGCTTAACTACTGCGATTCCAGAGATATGCGCACAATCACTTAATTTAAGTGATTAATCGCTTAACAAAAAGTTACTTTAGCATCATAAGAACTCACATCTTCCACTGTATTTATTATGCTTTGTTTAGCAAAACATATCCTACATAATATTTCATCAGGATAAGGAGGGAAACGCGTGATTTCATCACTTTTAATAATTAATTGTGGTAATGAAAACAGATTGATTAAATATTACAATGATTAAATATTTCAAATTTGGATCTCCAACATTTAAACACGTTTTTAGTTTTGTGTCACAGTAAGAAATTTAAATATTCATGTTTTTGGATCCTCTATGGTGTACAGACATAGCACAAATAAATGATTACACAGATAATGCAAGACAAGTATCCAAATGTATGTTTTCTTAAAAGGTCAACATGTTTCAAGTGAGTAAAGAAAAAATGGAGATGGCTTGTCATTTCTAAATATTATCATCTCATTTTTAATAACCAATGAGTTTTGACTCTGCTTAACAATTTGGCCTGAAACCCATGAGGGTACGTTTTTTGGCACAGTATGAAAGAATAAGGTTTACTCTTTTTTATTTGATAAATGTCTAGGACTGAAATTAAACACCTGCTTAAGTATGAGGACAGTCTGAAAGACACATTTCTCTGTTTTTGTAAGCTATGAAATGTCAAATGCTGCCATGCCAAAGTTCATCACTATTCACATAATGAACCTCTGTTTCAGTATGGACACATGCAGCCAAGACCCCAAACTGCTTAGGATTTAATTAACTTCTTGTTACAGGCAGAAATAGTTTGGGTTGACATTTGTAAATTTAATTAAATGACCTTATATCACACAGTGTGATCTTCAATGTCTAGGAATATTACTGTGAACAACAATTCACAGAACACATATGAAACCTCAGAGGAGGGAATACAACTATATATATACACACACAAAAATAGTACATTTCTTTTTGCGTGATTTGAAGCACCAAATACACTACATTGCCTGCGAAAAGACCATGCCTCCTCCCAGTGATCAGGTGTTTTGCCTGTCTGCAGCTGATGTGAGGAAGGAACTAGCAAAAGTTAACCCACATAAGGCTGCTGGACCTGACAATATACCTGGATGCGTGCTCAAGGAATGTGCAGCACAGTTACCTGATGTTTTACAGACATTTTTAATATCTCCCTGTGCCAGGCGGTCATGCCTGTATGTTTCAAGACTACCATGATTAAACCTGTGCCGAAGACGTCTACTGTGCCCTGTCTCAATGACTATCGCCCCGTGGCACTCACACCACTTGAAGTGAATTATCTAAGTGTCCCTGGATAAGAAGGACACTTGTGTAAGAATGCTGTTCATTGACTTCAGTTCTGCATTCAACACAATGATCTCCCAGAAACTGATAGAAAAACTGAGCTTGCTGAACCTTTACACCTCCCTCTGTAACTGGACCCTGGACTTTCTGACCAAGAGACCTCAGACAGTTCAGACTGGAAACAACGTCTCTAGTACCACGAACCCCCCAGGGCTGTGTACTCAGCACAGTGCAAATTACATCATCAAGTTTGCTGATGACATGACAGTGGTGGGCCTCATTAGTGACAACGACTGCGGCGACTGAGAAGGGCAAATCTCTTCCCCCCATACTATCCACATTCTATAGAGGTACCATCGAGAACATCTTGACCAACTGCATCATTGTTTGGTTTGGGAATTGTAAGGTCTCAGACCGCCAGTCCCTGCAATGAATTGTCAATACAGCAGGAAACATCGTTAGAGCCTCCCTTCCATCCTTTCAGGACATATACCACAAACACTGCACACACAAAGCCTCCAGACGATCCCTCCTGCAACCTCTTTGCCCTCCTACCACCTGGTAAAAGATATCGAAGTATATATACCATCTCCACCAGACTCCATAATAGCTTTTTTCCACATGCTGTTAGGCTCCTCAACACCCTGGTACCTACTGCACCTACACCAAATCTGGAAACTTAGTTCTTTTTTGCCTAATGTCAAGCATACTGTCTGATGTATTCTTTGCACAATCTTGTGAAGTAAATCACACTATGCACATTGCACTTTATGTACCCTGTACCCTGTCAGAAATGTCTATGTCTACATTGTCTATAGCATTGTCTTGTCAGTGTCTGTCTTTGCACCGTAGACCTGGAGAACGATATCTCACTCCTCTGTATATTTGTATATGGCTGGACTGACAAATAAACTTGAACTTGAACTTACCTCTGTTTAACACAGGGATCTCAAACCCAGTTCCTGGAGGGCCCAGAACCTGGTGTCTTGACATTTTTGTTCCACCACAGTTCTCTTATGTAGTTGGTCCAATGATTTCGTTAATCACTAAACTGTAATATCTTTAATTGCTAAACATGTTTTTATTGGTTAAGTACATTTCATGATGTGAATGTAGTGAGTAATCACTGTAAATGACTTGAAAAAAATCCCATCTATGTTTAAGACATTAACTAGGCGAAGTGTTTAACTGACTACACAGGTTGAAAGAAAAAGCAGAAGACACTAGGCCCTCCAGGATTTGAGTTTGAGATTGTCTAGTTTATAGATAAAGAATCATGTAGAATAAAAATAATATGATATGTTTCCTGCATTTTAATTTGTAATCTTAATAGCAAGGTCTTTCTATATTATCGGTAACCTCTCATTAGCTGTAGAGAAGCCCTGGTCACTCCTGCGTGTTTGTCGGCTTCAGTGCTCACGAGCTGAAAATATGCAAGTTATTTTACTATTATCGCCGATTCTGTCGCTGGTTAACTTGATTACAGCTACAGTACTGGCAATGCTGGAACAGATATGAAACCCACCGCGATCAACCGGTGGAAAAGTTCACCAACGTTTCAGAAATCTTGCTGTAGAGGTTTATATCGAGTCCTGTGATCTGCAGTAAATTTGATGAATGCAGAGAGCTGATCTGCGCATACAGACTGCTTATTAAATGTGAAAACGTATCTTTAAATAGAACTAGAAAGCAAACTAAACACTAAGGTTGTCATATTCATCCACCACAAAACAGCGAAAATCCGAGGACGTGCCATTTATCAAGTCCAAGGTTTTGTGATTAGCGAGACTTCGCTTAATTACTCACACCTGACGAGTTTAAAGCGGCGCAAGCACAGGTTAGCTATTCCTTGGTGTTGGTCGTGGAGCTCTCTATAGACTTCCATTCATTGTTTTAAAACAATGGGGATCGGTCTAGCTCTTTGTTTATTTTCTTGCCTTGTTTTATCCGGAGTACTAGGTGTATATGTACCCAGATCATCACAAACAACTGCAAGTGGCTCGGACGACGAACCTAAGGGTTCTTTTGATTATCATGGTAGCATACTGTCCTCACTACTAAAAGCATTATCCGAAAAAGACGACTGGATAGATCCTACGCCGAGACAGAGGCCCGATTCCAAATATGTCTCATACATGAAAAGACTGTATAGGATGTCTGCGAAACACGGGCCTCGGGGTCATAAAAGTCACCTGTACAACACGGTGAGGTTGTTTACTCCGCGCGATGAGTGTCTGAAACGGGGAAAAGGTGAGCGATCTTTATCTAATACTTTGACTGTTAGTCTAGCTATTTTTTTTTTCCCTGAGCAACATGGTATTGGAAATAAACCTACTGACTTTATGGCTCGTCTGCGCTTCGCAGATTTACCGTATAAGTGGCTATATGTTAGATTTTCCTTTTTCGGTTCGGTTTGTTTTGCTGGAGGGTTTACAGAGTAATTAAGTCAGATCCCCGACTACTGAAATAGTTCTGGATGTTTTAAAGTTACTAAATACAATTTAAACTGCAGTCTGTTAATAATTTTCATTATGTCACTGGCATTGCACACTGCGTATGTTGAAACGACGCACGTTGTGGTTTTGAGATGCAACATTTTAAATATGCGTAAAATTCGTACAGATCAGTTTTATAATGGTAAAGCTTATGTATTTCTCTTAATGGTTGTTCTGGATTGTTTCTTACAGAGTTATTCACAGGAGACCTTTCTTATAACTTGGATCGTCTAAGAGCCCAGGAGCTTCTTCTGAAGTCTGTACTGTTGTATTGGTTTGATAAAGAAAACGTGAGTCAGCTCACTTCCATCTGCCATTTGGACATCAAAGAACAGGAGCTTCCTGACCAACAAGTGTGTTCCAGTGATCAGGGCTCTTTCAGCTTCCCTGTTCAAATTGAAAGGAGAAATCGGAGAAAATGGATTGAGGTTGATGTCACATCTTTCCTTCAGACCCTTATCAAATTCCACAGGAAGAGCATCCACCTGGTCGCCAATTTGACCTGTATTGGGGAAGGAGGAGGGAGAGCTCCTCTTGAGCTTTCTTTGAAGTCGCCGTCCCTCCTTCTGTATCTTAACGACACCAGTGAACTGGCTCATCAGCGGCGCTCCGGATCTGTCAACGCAGCGAAACCGGAAACCCCACGGCAAAGCTTAGACGCCGGCATCTTTGAAACTCAGTCCCGCCTACAGGTGGGAAAAAGGTCTTTGCGGACCAGAAGAAACTTGGTTCCAGGTGAAGCGGGTCTCCCTGACCCGACGGCTACGACCGTTAGTCTCTTTCGCCACTTTCAAAAGTACGACTTTCCAACAGATGAGTGTGAGCTCCATGATTTCAGAGTAAGCTTTAGTCAGCTCAAGTTGGACCACTGGATAATTGCTCCCCACAGATACAACCCCCGTTACTGCAAAGGGGTTTGCCCAGGGGCTGTGGGTTACCATTATGGCTCCCCAGTTCATACCGTGGTGCAGAACATCATTTATGAAAAGCTGGATTCTTCTGTACCCAAGCCATCATGTGTGCCATCAGAGTATAGCCCCCTGAGTGTTTTAACCATAGAAAATGACGGCTCCATTGCTTATAAGGAATATGAAGAGATGATCGCTACTAAATGTACTTGTCGCTAGATCACTAGAAATGGCTTAAAGAATTGGAAGGATTGGGCTAAATTATTTCACCACGACCGTGTCATCAACCTGTTACCAAATTGTTGTTGCAAATTATGGAAATGTCTCTTAAACTAATGGAAAAATAGTTTTTTTTATTGTGCACAGAGTTACATATTTTGAAAAGACATTGGGTAATGCTGCAAATAATATCTAGAACAGAAGAATTTACTTAAAGTAATTTTGTTTGCCAGAATAAAATATATATATATATTTTAGCCAAATGGGGAAAGTTGAATAAGATGGTAAAATGTTTTTTCTGTTATTTTGTTTTTCAGATGTATAATTTATTGACTTTGCAATGAAATGGAGATATTGTACATGGTTACAAAAGTAAGAAATTTCCTTTCCTTTTGATTTATCATTATGGATGTTCTTTTATTCTTGTTTTTGGTTTACTGTTTTTCATTTTGTTTTTGTTGAGGTTGGCAAATTTTTAAGTAAAATGTTCTGGACACTATAATGAGATTTTAGTCCTCTTAACTCTTCCAAATATTTTTACTGTGATTTTATACTGGGAATACAGATGGTTGTCTTGTGGACAACCGTGTTCTATTCTTAATGTCCAGACTTAAAGTTGTCTTTTTATGTGGACAACTAATTTGTCAAGCTTTATTTAATATTCTCAGCTATGAAATTACTGTAAATAGAATGAAAGCATTTAATTGGGTACATGCATGTCTTTGACATTATATATTTATATGTTTAATTGAGGTTTATAATGCCCATTTTTGGCTGATCATTTCTGATTTCACAACAAAATTAAGTGTAACAAACAATAATATATTTTGTAATATTCCAAAGAATAAATTTAAGCAGACTTTAACCTCTGTGTTTTCTCATTCTGCGTGCGGTAGTCTACTTCTTAAGCAGCACATTTGTAGGCAAGCATAGATTTACCCAATTGTCACATCCGTTTCTAGAAGGTTCAGTGTGTCTTTTTTCTAAAGCTACAGCAGGACCTGAGAAAGTGGGAAGCTAGTAAATTAGTCCTAGTTAATGAGTAATACCAGCAGGTCTAGCTCATTTAAAGCTGTCTTAGAATAAAAATTCTTACTCATACTGGCCCCCCCAGGAGTAAGATTGGACAGCTCTAGATTTAACTAATCCTCCCAATGTCTTATTTGGGTTTCCTCTACTTGTAAAATTGACAGCCTCATGGTCTCTTTATACCATATTTTTTTCACAGAAAATACATTAAAGGCAGAGTTTCTTAAGTCAACTAATTACATTCCTGCCTACTTTGTTGGCTTATGTATCGTATTTTTATATCTGAATACCTGTGATTTATGATATACTTGAATATATCAAGTATATTGTGAACAAGAGGGCCCATGTTTGCCTAAGAGCCAACACAGCCTACCACCAACAAAACCGTATCCCTACTGTCAAGCATGGTGGTGGGAGTGTCCTGGTAGGGGGCTGTTTTTCTTACTCTGGTCCTGGGCAACTTGACATAATTGAGGGAATCATGAATTCTGAGAAATATCGAGGGATTCTTGAGAAGAATGTCAGCCCATCAGTTCGAAAACTCAAGCTGGGCACAAAGTGGATGTTTCAACAAGACAAAAATCCTAAAGATTCAAGTAAGCCCACTAAAGAATGGCTTAGGAAGAAGACACATTCCGTGTCTTGGAATGGCCAAGCCAAAGCCCTGACCTGAATCCTATTGAAATGCTGTGGCAGGACCTGACAAGGGGCTGTTCATGCAAGACATCCTTCAAACCTCACAGAGCTGGTGCAGTTTTGTAGAGGAGTGGGGAAAAAATCCCTCCAGCGAGATGTCAGAGACTGATAATTGGTTATAGGAGGCGACTGTGCAAAGTTATACTGTCTTTCTCACCTGAAGAAGGCGCCACGGCCGAAAACATCGTTTTCTTTCTTCTCTTTTCATCATGGAATAAACCTATTACTTGTTCCTGTGTGAAGTTATTGCTGCTGAAGGTGACACAAGTTATTGAAAAGGGTTCATTTACTTTGCACACAAGGATATCTGGTTTTATTTTAAATAGCATGGTCTAATAATCTATGAGTTCATATCCCTTTTTATGTGTGGGAAGTCTTTATTAAGGATATTCATTAAGAGTTCAGGTTCATATAATATCTCTATAATATCTAAATTAATGACCACCTTGAAGGGTTCACAAACTTTCAAGCATGACTGAATGTAGTATAGTGTTTCTTTTGAAGCTCAGTATTCATGTCACAGGGGGTTTTATAGGTGATCATCAATGAGGACGTACTCTTTTAGTTTTCTGTTGCTGCATGAAAGGACAGGTCGCCAGTGTAAACGAGAGTTTATTCCTGTATGACATCTGGTTAAACAAAGGACTAAAAATTAACTCGCCCAACTTGTATGGACAATACCACAAACTAAATAATCAAGACTAAACACGTATAATTTTGCGGAAATACGACACAATTGCTTCATATTTCTTGTTATGATCAACTTTTATGGTTTCTGTATCTTACACTGCCATTGTCTAGTGTTTAATGTTAATTGCATGGTCATTTTTATTACTTTTCTGTTATTAGCAGCAGCCGATTAATTAAAATGTAGCTTAACTGAACCTAACAATAGTCCTAGACATTTTTACTTACGTTGACATTAAGCACTCGATTTATAGTAATCGTTATGTTTGTGAAAACACCAGCAATATAACCAGTGTTATTGTAAAATCTAGTACAGTACCGACAAACACCACCACTATTACTCAATATAAAGTCGCGAAACCTGTACAGGAAGTGACGATATACGCAATTCATTTTGCTCTGGAAGTTCTTATGTCCTTCAAACGAGGCTGGTTACACACCTGGTTTAAGGGATACAACCTTCTACATAATCAAGTTGATAACAGAAAAGTAGGAATGATGATTCCCTCACGAAGACAGCTAAAAAGAATGATTGGATGGAAATGTAATTATATTTTTAAAAAACGTAATACAATATTTTTTATAGAAATATACAGTGTATATAGTGTTATAGAAATAGAAACCTCAATCCCTCTCATCGAAAAAAAGAAATATTCATACTCTAGAAAGTATCTTACCTTAAAATGTTATCCATATCGATAATAACTAAATGAGTGAATTGGGTGCAATATGGTTGGGATAAGCCACTGATAGATCACACATAAGAATCTTAGTGTGATCCTCACTCATCCTGTGTCTGAAGTTGATGATACACGTTATGCTTAATGATGCTTAACAATGATCCTTTTCTATCGTTTGACTGAGACATTTTCCTTAGTATTGTTTTTTTTTGTGTAGAAGATGTCGCTAGTGCATCTCTGATGGCAACAGCATATCCGGCTAATGCTGCAAAATCTGTTGAAGCTCTATTCACTTTTGGAGAAGAGCTGGCAGAAATTTTCGATATCTCCGCATGTTGAAATGTTCATTTGAACTTTTAATTGAATCTAATTGTCTGCTCTCTGCTTTTATGTAACGAGTTTTCCCGTTGTCCTCGCAGCGAGCCGGAAATAATGTGAAACATCCTGAACACTCGCGAAGCATAGAAACCACATTCCGAGAGAAATGCGGTTCTGATACTTAAACCAAGACTGTGTCATACGTCAGTCCGCGGTTCGCCATTAGAGACAAGGAGGTAAGATGTTTTTAGATGTTTAACATGTAAAAAACTGTAAAACGCGAATAATAAGATCAGTCAATAGTATCTGCAGTCTACCGCATTGCTGAGTATTTTAATATTGTTTGTGTTTGGTTGACGACTTGGAATTCTAGTTTCAATTTTTCCGCAGATCAAAGTCAAAGCAAGGTCTTCTGGAGCTGAATAGCACGTCTAAATTGTAGACTGCAGTGTTAGTTTTTCGAAAGGAATCGGCCTACTTGTCTCCTTAAAAGATCCAAATGCCATTTTTCATACAAATGCTCATCATATTGGTCTGTCCTTTCACATTGTGTGATTTTGTTTGTGCTTTAGTTGTGACTGTAGTTGTAAATTGCACGAAAATCACACGCGGATTTGACACTAAATCGAAAATTATAGAATATCTAAATTAGTTTTAAATTGGAGTTTATTGAGAGGAGAGGGACTGTTTAAAGCCTATGGCCTTCATTAAAAACTACGTAACATAAAAGTTAATTAATGTTTTTTTAACATATATCTGCATATGTGTTTGGTATCCCTCACTCTTTTTTATTTTTGCTTGATATGATTGTCAGGTATTAAGACATTTGTATATTGGTAAAACCAAAACTAAAATATCAGTAATATCGACTGTGTTGTGGTTTCTTTGGGGTTAAAATTAGATTCAGACTTGCAGACGTTTTTTTTTTAAATTTTAATCCGAGGTGATTATATTTAAAATTAATTAAGATGTGCATGGTTTTTGTTTTTTAACAATTGTTTGATGGACTGTGAGACCGAACATCACCTTTGTGTTCCAGATTATTTTCCTGAGAAAATGGGCCGACACTTCGGAGACCTTTCCAGAATCAGGCATATCATCACTTACACCCTGTCTCCCTTCGAACAGAAGGCGTTTCCCAACTACTTTTCCAAAGGAATCCCCAATGTGTGGAGACGGTTCAGATCGCAGGTGTTTAAAGTTGCACCTCGTAAGTATAGGTGAAGTTATTGAATTTCTCAGGTTGGAACTGCAGACGCAGATGAAGAGTTCTCTTTACAGCGAAACGCGATCTGAAAGTTGTTTTTTTTTAAAGTTCGAAATCGAGTTAATGACATAAACGCCTTCGATTACAGGATTAGACCAATGTTGTCTTTGGACTGCATGGAGATAAACAGTATTCCTGGTATTAACCTGCATAGTGGGTGCAGAATTCATGGAAATGAAAACGCTCACCTTGTAAAGTTATCTTTTCCCTGTCTTTCTATAGCATTTGTGCTGATGTATCTGACCTACACTTGGGGAAACCAAGTATATGAACAAGGAAAGAGGAAGAACCCAGCTGACTATGAGAATGACCAGTGAATTCCAGTCTAATCATCTTCTAACTTCACAGCCCTATTGGGTTATGTTTCATGTGTCCTTAATCTGTGCAAAATAAAGGAAATATTTATTACTACTCTGTCTGCTTGCAAGTATATGCATCATGCTTAGAACATATGACCACACAGCTTTTATGTATTGTGGCGGGGGGGCTAAAAGTAATTCAGAAGAAATGTTTACAGTAGGGTTTGAGAAAAAAATCACTCATATTTCAGTATGGCTATATGGAGTTCACTGATGTCTTATTTCATTCTATCCCACCTCTACCTCCTGGTTGATCAATCCCTTTTCACACTGCACACACAGAGGTAAATGTTTTCCCACTTGTGATGCTTTAAACACTATAAAGTTGATTTAATATTACACTTTCTTCCTCTGGAAGACTTGTTCCAGCTGAGGAATTTAATTTTTTTCTGTTTCATGGAAAGCTCAACACGTTCAGAACTGAGCTTAAGCTTGTGTTTGAAATACAAGGCTATTTGGCTCTATCTCACTCACTGGTAACCATGCCTTTCTTTGAAGGGGAAATCGTTGGAATGAAAACCACAGGGTAAAAAAATGATTGTCTCAATTCTAGGGGTCAGTTCTGAGCTCGGAAATTGTGGAATATATTGTGCCCATGTGTCCCTGTGGATTTTTTATAAGGTGCTTGCTTACATTTCTTCCCACTTACCAGAGCTATGCTGGCTGGGTTTGTTTGATCTAAAGTGACGGACTTTGACCCTGCTGAGGAGTCTTGTCATGTGATCTTAGTCCCATCTTGCATCCTGTACTTTTAGGATCTGCTCCAGCTTGCCTTTACTCTTACTGGTAATGGTGTGAGAGAAGTGCCTTGCTCAATGGCTTAACAGAAGTTCCCCCACCCAGAAGCTTAAGACAAGTTCAATGGCCCTAAGCAACACTTCACCTGCTACAGCATTAGCACTGTGCTCCATGTTTTGCTTTTTGGTTAAAAAAGAACAATAGGAATCCAAGGTAACTGAACATGCATCAGTAGAAAATAGTGTACCGGGATTCATGGTATTGACTTAAACTATTGTTAATGACCATGGTAATACATTTATTTTTAACAGTTTCACTTAACTAGAAGGGAAGATGCATCCACAATATAAGCATTGCCATTTTTAGTGTTGCAAATATTTCCATGAGGTGTGAATGTGGACCACTGACGCAAGATAAGTCATTTATCATATGCGTCTCTTATAGTGACCTTAATTTTTCTAACCACAATTTAGAGGTTTTATAGATAATGACAAAACTCAAATCACAATTGATTCATTGCTGGAACACAAAATTGCTTTTGTTGTATATGTTTTGCCTTTTTGTTCCCTTTCACCCAAATGAAAAGTCACTGAAAGAATTACTCTAGCCTACACATTGAGTTTTTTTTATTAAACATAAGAACAAGTGGATCCCAAGAATTATAAAGTTTATTAATACAGAAAATCTACTCGAGTTATTGAACTTACAGGAGGTTACAGTTCTAGCATTTTACAAAGCATTTGTCTGATGTTATAAAGCTGAATTCTTTACATATTAAAACGTGGTAACCTTTTACCAAATATTTAAGTTGTGCTATTGTATTAAAAAATACACAAAATGTGAGATACAGACATTCTAAAACTTTACTGTATAGTTTTTTCAATACAACAAAATACAAAGAATATACATGACTCAGAAAACTTAATTACAAGTTCTATAATACTCAGTTCACAATTTTTAAATTACATTTTCAATATAGTTTTATTGAATATGAATCCAAGAGTACCTCTGTTGAAACATATTGCATTCATAATATATAATTTTATATATTTTTTAAAATAATCCACAGTTTCCACTCTGCATTTGTTAAGCTGCTGCTGATGGCAGCTTTTAAGACAGTTATGAAAGAGCGAACAACAAACGTCAATAAACTTCAATACACCTAAAACGCACTGACATAATCGCACCCAATGCCTGTTCCCGACTTGTTTGCAACGGTGACGTTCCGCAAACTTTGAACATGAAAATGATATGGCAGACTCTGCACATCACATTTTCCCACTCTTCCAGTTGGTAAAACTGTGACAGATATCCATTAAATGGATTCGCAAACTGTTTATCTACAAAATATCACAGATATACACCTTTTTCAGTGTTCAGAGACAACATAACACTGAATAAGGAACATACAGAAAATAAAGACTTAAAAAACTATTAAAGAAGTTGTGTTTCATGTTTATACACACACACAAACTTTAAAATGACCCACACAGAACAGAATTGTGACTGCAAATAAGTGTACATATGTGTTTTGACTAGAATTTACATGTATTCTGAATAGAAATGCTGAGTAGAATTACAAATTGATCTTAAAAGAAATATATACATTATATACACTTTTTAAATAAAAACATGCAAGTATAATAAGGTCATTTCATTTTTCTGTGGGATTTCAAAGTGTTTTACTACCCTGGTTTTCATATATAGGTAAGAAAAGAAAAAAGTTGTGTATCTTAAAGCACAAAGCCCTGACATGAGGGCTATAAAAACGAGCAACAAGTTTTCTTTCTTAGAACTCATTATCTTAATAAGATATGGGGAAAATAAATACTTTTTAGAGTGATTGTAAATGAAAACTTAAAAATAAAATGTTTAATATAAACCATTTTATCAGTTTCATGCGCTTGGGCCAGCTTTCACAAGTGTAAGATAGATCTACACTGAAATAGCTTTGCCAGTGTGTATAGAGTTACAGAGGAGAGGGCACAATGTTAAATAGCAGCCTTGCAAATTGAACGATTCAATTAAGAACATCCATAGATATACCTAATTGTAATGATAGTTGGTGGGTTTACAACTGAATTGTAAATAATTTAATTAAAATCAAACAGAATCACTGAAATGTTCTGTAGAAAAGCTGCATAATTATTTCTCCTATCCCTATAAACCCTTAGAAGAATAATAGGAACCCCAAAAACAAAGGGTGTCAGTGACCAAAGTGGAAATGTTCTGTGCAAGCCACAGCAGATTAAGAACAAACGTTTTAAACTTTTGTGAAACATTTGGGTGACCAAAACAACCATTTCTAAACCAAGCAATAAAAAAAAAAATTAGAACAGTGAAACTGAAAAGGCATATCTAAAATCTTTCAACCTGTTTCATCAATATATTGCATCAATTCCAATGTGCGATAAGGTTTTATCAAATGCTATTTTTACACAATTTGTACGCATAAACTGCACTAACTCCTTCAGTTTAGGATCCATCTTCTACAACCAATTTTAAGATCTCAAAAAACTTGAAATGTTACAAGGAAAATACTTTTATATTCAAGCAAACTTTTTAAAACCTCTTTTCTTTAAACTCTTTCATAAGTACCATATTAATATCCAACAAAATATCACTTAATAGAGAAACATCAGCTGTTTCTGGGTCTCTCAACAGATGCATAACTGTACACGTCTGATTTGAGTTGACCGAGGTTGAGCTGTCCGGTTTGCACACCTGAGATGCGTTAAGGGATATTTTAGCTTGCGGTTTTAAATTCATTTTCAAAAAGCATTGGATTTGTTAGTGACGGACATGGAACAAAAAATGTGTCTTGAAAAGACCAAACCTGCAGTCTGGCAATCATTTGCTGTTACAGACTAAGTGAAAAACGTTGGTGTGGTTTGATTCAGTTACGACCGAAACTCCCCAAGGTTTTTGAAAAACCAGGAGGGCTAAAATGAAGCAACAGTACTTAATGAAGCAACTTTGGCTCCTATGACATTAATTGTCAAATCAAGTACGGTAACTACACACTGTATGGACACCAATAATTACAAATGTCTTAATCTTTGCAAAAGTTGCACAAACCTTTAGAAGGTCTGTAAGCCCTTGACCTCATGAACCTGTGCAGTCACTTGATTACACTGGAGCTGCAGTTAAAATATAAACATTTTACAATTTACTTGTCTTACAAAGTCTTAATTTCATGTCCCTTTGTTGACATTTGTAGCAAAATAGTATTTACTAGATCATATTTCAGTCATTTATATATTTTATTCCAAAAACATGACTACTGTCTTTGGTGTAGACTCACATTAGAATTAAAGGTGTCCAACATTCAGAAGACACTGCTGTCCTTTTAATACTTTATTGTTTGGTAAGGAATTGGTCCACCCCTTAGGGTTTGGCCAGCAGCTGGGTCTAACTGGTGTCTAATAACTACATTAAGATCCCAGTACATCTTGATTCCTCTGCACTGGAATGACCATCTATTGCTTCCATTTCTTAGAATAATCTGAAAACTGTGGGTGACTCTGTATAATCTATGTTTATATTAGATTTTCCGAATATTACGATCCTACTTGAAGAATGGGAAGAACACACATTTCTTTTATAATATTAAAGCGCAAAAAATCCTTTAGTAATATTTATCTTGGTTCTTGATACTATATTGCTGAAAACAAATAAATATCGATTGGCTTCCCACACCATGATATTAAACTCCATTTAGAATTTCACGGCAAATTTTGGCAGAACAACTCAGATAAGACAGTAGAGATACAAAGTGACCAGATGTATTCCAGGGCATTCTGACAAATGAACAATTAAGTTAAAGGTTAAATAGGTAGTTAATAATGAAGATTTTGGTGGCACATCTAGCCACATTGTAAGATTCTGGAAAAGAAAAAGTAAATGTGTACATGGCTGTAGTTTTAGTACTTAAACAGCATTATGTACAATGATACTGTGCACACAAAAGAGTATACATAAACAGATCCATCAACTAATGGGCCATTCTCCTTCCAGTATATTAAATACAAGGCACCAAAACAACAGATATGCAAAGAAAGACGAAATATTAGTTAAAGCACCTTTGGTTAAAAGAGGTACTTTGGTTAAAATAGAAATTCAGAAGCAGCTCTTAAAAGTTTATAATGCATATGATGTGGGCCAATTTACTTATTAATTTTAATTAGAAATTTAATCCCATGGAGTTAAATAAGTGATGGGCATCAGAATGAAACATGCTAAACAAAACTGCTTACCCTGCATTAGCTTCATAGACTGCGATATAAATATTAACTATTATAATCTTATTGCCTTTCCTGTGAAAACAAAACAAACACTCAAATGATACCAAGATCTTATGTTATACTATTCTTTAAAACCACTAAGCAGCTTTTACAAATGATCTCAGACAGACCAAAAGTCTTACCAAAGTCTGAATGCGCCTATTCTTGTAATACTCTTTAAAGGAATTTAGCTTTTTAAAAATAATTTACTATAACATTTGATACATCTAACCACTACAATTATACACTCATAAGAGGTTCCTTAATTATGATTACTACAGATGTTAAAGGACCACAACAGATGACATATTACACAAAAATATTTTTAAAAGAAAGGAAATTATAGCTGTTACCAAAGATATTTCACTATTTTTTTTTACACAAAATACACTTTTGATAAAAATTGCATTTGGGACAATATCCCATTAAAACAAATTTAAGCAGAAATCTGCATACACCCTGTCAGAATAAAATCATCTTTACAGGATACCCAAGTGAAAAAATGGCTTAAGCCAACAAAAAGATGGCTTTTCATTTACAGACCCCAAAAGCAACTGACAGACAAGAGTGCAGAAAGAATTCTTAAATATAAAGTTGTTTTTTGTATAGGAAGGATTTGCCCTTTTGTAACTTCTTATAGCCTTCTATTTTTTTTGGCAAAATCTGATATAAAATGGACACAGTGTTATGGATACATCTGAGGCAGTTAAGCTTATATGAAAAAAACATCAACAAGTCCCGATTCCAGCCTCTATGGTATAAGCTTGGCATCTAGTCGAAGCCAGTGCAAGCCCTGTCGAGTATAACGAACCAAGTCCGTCATAGTGCTGGTATTGAAGATCAGGGGGGTCATCACCTTATCCAGCTCGGTGAAAAAATCTGAAATAGGGGACACTTAGAATAAGAACACAGACAAAGCAACACTCAAGTACACAGGTACTTCCCAACACCTTAATCTGTGGTTTCTCAAGGTACAGATTTTTACACACACACATGCGCGCATTAGAAAACCAAAACTCTGTTTCTCTCAGATTAAAGACGGAATACTCTTGCTGATTGAGATTATATATAAAAATATCTGCACTTAAAGACTGCTTATTGGTTTGGAATTTATATGAGAATGTATACACTATACACTATAAGACTGTTAATTGAAATACCTTTCTGTTCTTTAGAAAGTTGCTCAGCTTGGTCCCAGACCTCTGTGGCGTAGAGGAAATTAGAGGTGACCTGGACGTAGCTCGCAGCCATCTGATGAATCCTCTGAGGGATGGTGACGGAAGAGCTGCTGCTGGGATTGGATCCTCCGGACGAGTACCCACCAGCGCTGCCAGGAGAGAGCTTGGGCGACACCGGGGAGGGCATGCCCGCAGCTTTGCTGAACAGGGCAAAAGAAACCTATGTTTGATTCAATTCACATTTGGAAGAGCAATGCACAAAAAGCCATAGCCACCATGCAACCATAAATCTGCTTGCAACAGCTTCAGGGCAAACAAGAAAGGATATTGGCCTGAAAAGAGTAACACGTCAGCTGACACCTGTATGACTGGATGAGAAAATATTCATAACTCATGTTTACGTTTCATAAACGGCACTAATTATACTTTTACAGTGCTGAGAAAATGTTTGTGAACACCCAGGTTGGTCTGTATTCTCATGTATTTTAGACCTAAAAATGTAACTTGATCTTCATGAAGAGCATTAATAAAAGATTAATATAACCCAATGAAAAGTATTACATAAAAACATTAGACCATTTTTATTATTAACAAAAATAAACAAAATGATCCAACAGTAAATTTTCTCACGTGAATAAGTGGCACCTCCTTGATCTGAAATGACTTCAATTAAACATTTCTTTAATCATCAGTCTCTTGCACTTGCTCTTCAGCCCATTCTTCCTTAGAAAACTGCTGACATGTTTGAGCTTCCCTGAATGAAGAGCTTGCTTCAGGTCTCACCATAACATTTCAATGGGGTTTAGGTCCAGATTTGCCAATCCAAGATATGAAATTTCTTCTTTTTCAGTCAAACTTGTGTAGATCTTCTTGTAAGATTAGGATGATTGTCTTGCTGCATGACTCACTTTTGGCTCAATATCAGCTCAGCTAATGGATGTTTCTGTCAACTTGGGCAGTCTGTCCAGGATCTGAACCAGTATCCCCAAACTATGGAATGCCCAACACCATGCTTGATGTCGGGATAAGATTCTTCTGTTGGAAAGCAGTGATTGGTTTTTGCCTCACAAAACATTTCTCATTGTGGACAAAATGTTCAACTTTTTACTGTTCTATACAGAAAACTTTCTTCCACCAGTCTTGTGGATTTTCCAGTTGAAAACTTGAGACAAATGACAATGTTCTTTTTAGACAGCAATAGTTTCTCCTTGGCTATCTCCTCCCATGAAAACCATTCCTAGTCTTTTCCTAAAACCATTCGTTTTTTCCTGATGTTTGAGGCTCTAACAGACATTAGCCACAGTGCGAGAGGCCTGTACTCCCTGGGTCTTTTCTTCATGATGTCCTGGATGATTTTCTGCATTACTCCTGGGCCAATCTTGGCAGGACAACTGGTCCTGATTAGAATCATCATGGTCTCAAAGATTTTCTATGTGTAGACTGACACTGGATGGATGTCAGTCCCCCAGATGTTAAGAACTGGTTTTTATAAAACTTTCTAGACTGATAAGCATGAACTTTTTTTCTGAGATCTTCTCAAACCTGTTTTGACATGTTTCCACTGACCTCCCAGTCAGTGTTTACAATCCAGTCTTTGTTTACATGTTACCTAATATTAAGCATCTGATTCTAACTACCCCTTTAACTGAGCTAAGTAAACGGGGATCACTTATTTCACATAAAATTACTCAATTTTTCCTGCTTTGCAAAACACTGAGTCTAAAAAAACCAAAAGGGTTAATATTCATAATTACAATGTTTATTAAGGCAAAGACTGGTCTTGATAAACCAAGAGTAATATGGCAAAAAAATTTTGGGGGTTCACAAATGTCTTCTCTCATATTGTATATACTGCCAAAGAACTGGTACAAAAAAAAATAACTTACCTTCCCATTCCAGGTGAAGGAGCTTGGGTATTACTTAAGGAATTCTAGGAAAGTAAAATGAAAAAAATTAATACCAACTCCCTTTTCTTACAGAAAAAATGATTTTCATGCCTGAAAATGCATAATTAGGCTTTGAGGTTTTTGTTTCTGAATTAAGCAAAAACTGACGTTACTAAAATCTCTGTCACAGCTTGACAATGTCTGCATTAAAATATTGAAGGTTTCTGTACTGTAATACATGAATTCAGGATCAGTGTTGTCTCTATAGAAAAAAAACTGGGTTAGTGTCAACTAACCTTTAAGTGTTCAGTTAGCGTTTTGGAATATTTTAATGCACTCTCTTTCCTGAGTTTGAAGAGCCTCAGGTACAGAAGTGACTGGCATCTCAGACTGGAGAAAAACACAACATATTTAGAAAGATCAAGTAATTATCTGCATTCGTCACTTAGTGTGCATAGTTTGTTACAATCATATATGTTACAATATCATATTACAAACAGCCCATCCTCCCCCCTACTGAAAAAAAGCCTACCAAAGCACTGCTAAGCGTTTGTCTGCTGACGTAGCATCTGGTGCCATGTAGCTCTTCAGCTTCATAGTGTACCTGTAATTAACAAGATAGAAAAGTTGCACTAACTCTTGTTATATAAAAACAGAGTACATTTTATACCACAAGGGATAAAATAAATTAAGCAGCACCCAGTATCTCAAAAAGATGCAAATTTATCAGCAACTAAAGAATCATCAGTTTAATCTGTGACTAGGCTGCTATTCACACATCAATACAATACACAAAAATCACACACAAAAAAACAAAAATTGTATTTTTCAGGATGGCAAACTTACTTGATCAGTTCCACAGTTTCAGCATACATGGGGAATGGAGACTTTGCTTCCTGGGCACTCTTCTCCAGAGCATTGCCACACTCAATGAAAGACACAACAGCATCCAGGTAGTACACAGCCTTCTCAAATCGGTCCAACTTCAAAGAAAAGAAAATCACAGTTTATATTAGGTATTTCTATACTGGCTCATATTGGATTTGTACTGTTTTCTAATGGAATTTCTAAGAAATAAAAGTTTGACCGTCTATGCAGATTAATAAAAAAATAAAATAAATACAATCTATTGTGCAGATATGTCCAATGACAGCATTTAGATTCAACAAAAACGTATTGTAACCAAGGGCCAAAAAACAAGAATTGATGATATAACAGGAGGACATGGGACAATGTTAGACTGCTGAAAACATCAACGTCAACAAATAAGAAAATAGGAACGTCTAAAAGACAGAAAGCAGCAGATGTTGTGATTTAAACAAGTTACATTGCCTGGATTGGCTTACCAGTGCATCTGCATTGTGCTTGAGCTTCTTGGCTTCTTGTAAGTAATAATCCGCAGAATGGACCCTGAAACAAATTAAGGTTTAAACGAAAAATTATATTAAAACAATTTTTTAATAATACACCTGTAAATGTCGGCCATTTCCAAGCATAAGCTATGATTCATACTCAGGAAGCAGTAACGGTCTGTTGATTGTATACTGTCTTAGTCTTGATTATAACTTTAAAATTATTTGTCCTAAAATCAATGAAAGTAACAGCAGAACACAAATCCACTTTTCTTTAACAGTAACAACATTAACAACAACAATTTACCAATTAAACATTTATTTGAATATTCAAATCACAAACGTCTTCATACCCGGAAAGAAAAAAATCCAAATACAAGTGAATATTCTGTAGAACTGATAGCTGCTTCTACAGAACACAAAATACAGCTATTACTAAACACCTCCCTCCTGACCTTTAAAGTGAGATTTTTGGTTCTGGCAATGTTTCAAAAGACTTCAGATTAGTCATTTCACATGCCGTGCATTACTCACTGGAATGTCTTCTCTTACCTGTCTTCAAATGTGAGTTTTGATCTTCTAGACTTTGAACTCTCCGACGTTGATGTTGGGGCAGGAGGAGCAGGATGGGACTCGGAACTCTTCATAGTTTTTTCCTGATTAAAGAAAAAAAAAACATTTAAAATGGTTACAAGACACCAAACAGTCCTTCGACACTCATGAAAGCTATAATATAGTATATCTTCACTGTTGTTTTGAACATTTCAATTGACATTTAACAGAGAAGGTCAATCTGCAGGTCACAAAGGCCTGAGATGTTTTTATTTTTGGCGTATGATGTTCCAGTTCACATTCACCAGCAGAATTGAGTTTTCTTTTCTGAATTTGAATGCGCACACAAGCACAGAAGTGGCTATGTAAATATAATGGAGTGTCACCACTGAAAATAAGGGCCTGTAAGACCAGGAAGCCGAACGGAAGCTCTGGTGGATTTAGAGAAGCCCCCCAGGACGGTGTGCAGCGAACCTTCTTCTCCTTAGGCCCGGCAGCTTGCTTGTCCTCGTTCTTCCTGTGCTTGGAGGAGGAGCTGTTGCTCTTGCTGCTGCGGCCGCCCTCCTTGCTGCTGCCGGTGCTGCTGGAGATGGAAGTGGAGGACTGGCTTGCCGTCCTCTTACGGCTTTGGTGGTCCGATTTAGGTGCCTTCTGCGCCCCTGTCACAGACGGAGAGGGCACGGGCTCCTTCTCCTTTTCCGACCCCCTTTTGGATGACCTGCGGGCATGCATGTAGGTAAGCGTGCTATTTCTTGTGGTATGCAGGGTTTTGGCAGCTACACTTAACCCAACTTTAAAATACACAGTTTAATAGTAGGTAGGTAGACATCAGTAGGTAATTTTATTTAAAACACTGAACAAAACATTTGACTTACTCTTTACTACTGGTCTTGTGGTTGGCAGAGCTCTTCTCTTCCATTTTAGGTTTCTTGGTTTCACTCTTATTGCCATCATCATCATTCTATGTTAAAAACAAAGTTTAGGATAATTCTTAAAGTTAAAACATATTCGAGTACTACATGAAACAGGAGACACTTGCTGAGTCAAGGTTTCAGAAATCCATTTCTTACCTTGTATTTTCTTTTACCCTTGCTGGAAACTTTCTCACTGGTCTGCTTCGGAAACTCCTTGTTGTCCCGTTCAACAACACTCTCCCTTTCCACTTTAGGTTGGTCCAGCTCTTTGTAAGGTCTTCCTGGGATTCGGGATAGCAAGCTCAAATCAATTTTGACCATCAACACCTGTCTGACAGGATACCGGTCATCTGGGTCACTGAGTGGAGAGAGAAGCTCCTTCTCTTCCATAGGAGAGAAGATACACACAGGAGTCCGGATGCTTTCAGTGTACTTAGGAGTCTGTGAGGAAGAAGGAATACTTTCATTTTCCTCGGAATCGGACGACGACGAATCTGTTTCTACAAACTCCCTGGATTTCTGGGAAGTCTTGCTGGGAGTCTTGTACTTGCGTTTATCAGGAGCAGGCCGAGGGGAAGATTTGGGCTCTTTTTTTATGTTGGGCTTGCGCGAGCCCTTTGTGGCAGCTTTGGGTCGGTTTGGTGGCATCTCCGGAGGGGGTTCGCTCTCCACTTTCAGCCCCCCCTTCGGCTCCTCCACCACGGGCAGCTTCTCTGATTTTTTGGGCTGTTTTTTACCCACCGTCCTCCGCTGGGTGGTGCTGCTCTCGCTCTGTGCCGGGGATTTCTGACGCCCCCGACCACATTCTGAACCTTTCTGGGCACCTCGTGAGTCTCTCCCGGGGGCGGAGGTGCTGGAGTCTTTGGATCCGCCTTGACCCCCATAACCTCTGCCTGTGCTCTGCTCCCTGCTTTCCTTCTTGTACTTGGTAGGGGCGTTACCATCCACTGGCGATGCTGGAGAGAACTTATTCACTTTTTGTAACCAGTTGTCCAGCTGCCACTTATTTGCCGTTGGAGGTTCAGGCTGAAATAAAAAATATGGCAACTAAAGTAATGAAAACTGATTTCTGGATCTACTGACAACTTCTTATTTACTGATCCTAAAGACTGTCTTTACTGATAGATGTAGTTCTGATCTGATCACAAGCCAAGAGTATACACAGCGACTAAATAAAGACAGTACACTGAAAGACTGGGTCTTCCCCTGTGGGAGAATTCTACACTTTATAGTTTTGAAGAGGGCGATGTCACTTCTGTTAAAAGACCTCTGTGGCACAAAGTGCATGTAATGTACACATGCACAACATAAAATCTAGTTTCAGCTAGATATGCTTTTATGCTTAAAAGCACATTGTCTTTAAAACTGCATTTTTTCTTAAAGCCTGCACAAGGAGTAAGAAGTCTCAACAAGAGCACTTTGAAAGGTTCAAAATCTCTTAACTTGAAACCCCACCTCAGGGGACGCGACGCGTGGCGGCTCATTGGCCTCGCTGTCACTGGAGCTGCTCTCGCTCTCCGAGTCGGAGCCGGAGCTGCTCTCCGATCCGCTGTGGCTGCTGGAGTCATCGCGAGAATGGTCTGCTCCTTCATTAGTGTCCTGGGAAGGCTCAGAAGTACTGTGGAGGACACAGTGCGTTAGTGCGATGAAGAATGTTCTAACCTGTCCGCTCTGCAATACGCATACAACCGTCAGCTCAAAAAGCCTGGAGTCCAGAATTTTACTGAAATACAATTCACAGTAGGAGTTTTGCAATTCTCTAGAAACTAATACACACTGATGACTGTCTGTAGCACTTTCATGCAAATGTGGTTCGTTACTAAGCCACAAATCTGATTTCTGATTAAACTGTTCTTACCTTGGAGTAATTCGTGATCCAGGCTTTGCTGGCTCCTATAAAAAGAGACAGTTTGCTTAGTTCACATGAATCCAAGGCTGAACAAGACTAACCTTATATTTATAAGTTATAATTATAATAAATCTCCTACCTGCTCTCCGTCACTGTCTTCACTGCTGCTCAGCTTAAGGTCATCCTCCAACATACTAGAAATGAAAAAACGTGAAGGTAGGTGATTTCATTAAAAGATTTCAAGAGAACCAGTTTATAAAAGAATACTAACCATAAATCACATACATTAAGTTTACCAATGTGTAAAAACTAATAAACAGAATACTGCAATACTTACTTTGCTTGGTCTCCATCACACCTGAAATGGCAGAAAAAAAAATCACTAAGTAAAGGGGATTAAATGCTAGCTAGATGCTAAATAATACTGTCTATTATGTAGAGTACCACAAATGTTATTTTAAGATAAAAATACTTCATCAAGATAATTTAACAGATGGACATATGCATATACCCCCTTCCTGATTTCCTCTATTGCATATTTGTCACATTGGATGTTTTCAGATCTTTAGACAAAATCTAGTATTAGATAAAGGGAACCTGAGTGAACAAATAATACTTTTTTTTTTTTTTTTTTTTATTTGTTTTATTGACCAAGTTTTTCCACCCCCCTTTTCCCTTTTAAAAAGTAATTGCCTCTCCTCTTACACTTAAAAACTGGCTGTGCTACTGTTAGCTACAATAACGGCAACCAAACGCATCCTATTATTCAATATATTGAATATAATATATTCAATACGAGGAGGAATTTTATCCCACTCTTCCTCACATAACTGCTTTAATTTAGAAACATTGGTAGGTTTTCGAGCATGAACTGCTCGTTTCAGGTTCTGCCACATCTCTTTTGGGTTTAGGTCTTGACTTTGATTAGGCCACTCCAAAACTTTAATTTTGCTGCTTTTCAGCCATTCTGATGTGGACCTGCTTTTGTGTTTTGGATCACTGTCTTGCTGCATGATCCAACTATGCTTCAACTTCAGCTCACGGACAGATGACCGGACAATCTCCTTAAGAATTTTCTGATACAGGATAGAATTCATGGTTCCTTCAATTATGGCGAGTCGTCCAGGTCCTGAGGCAGCAAAGAATCCCCACTCCATCATCATACCAACAGTCAAGCATGGTGGTGGTAGTATGTTATAACTGTGGAATGCTGTGCTTGCTTTACACCAGATATAATGTGACCTATGTCATCCAAAAAGTTCCACTTTTGACTCATTTGTCCATAGGACATTCTCCCAAAAGGCTTGGGGATCATCCAGGTGCTTCTTGGCAAATGAGAGATGAGCATTTATTTCTAACTTTGTTAGGAGTGGTTTCCACCTTGCTACTCTCCCATGAAGCCCATTTTTGCCCAGTCTCTTTCTGATTGTGGTGTCATAAACACTGACCTTAACCAAGGCAAGAGAAGCCTGAATTTCTTTGAATGTTTTTTACGACACTTTGTGACTTCCTGGATTTTACTTTGCGCCTTTGGAGAAATTTTGGCAGGCTGGCCACTTCTGGGAATGATTCACTACTGTTCCAAGTGTTCTCCATTTGGAGATTATGGCTCTCACTGTGGTTCGGTGGAGTTTAAGAAGCTCAATCAGCAGGAATAGACCTATTACTTTCCACACTGATAAACAACTTTTTTTCTGATCTCTTCAGGAATTTCCTTTGATCTTGGCATAATGTGCTTGTTGAATCTTTGTGTTGGCAACTTGACTCTGATGGTAAGGGTCAAAATAAGTGAGGTTTATGTTGAGCAGGGCTGGCTGTAATCAAGCCTGGCTGTATTCAATCAGTAGACTCTAAAGTATCCCTTTAATTGGGTTGATTTAACTAAGGAGGCAATTACTTTTTCACACAGTGCCAGTTGGTGTTGGATAACTTTGTTTATTAAATAAATGAAATAAGTTTTTTTTTAAAAGTGTTATTTGTTCACTCAGGTTCCCCTTATCTAATATTAGAGTTTGGTTGAAGACCTGAAAACACTCAGTGTCAAAAAATTTTAATAATGGAGTTAATCAGTAAATCAGCAAATACATTTTCACGGCATTGTACATAGTTTATACATCAATATAAGAACAGGAGAGTGAAAATGCATTTTGCTTAACAGTTTTATAACATGCTGACTCCACGCTTTCATGTGGAGTTCATAAATTAATGTTAAACACTGAAACTCAAATTACAATCTTACTTACAGCATATTCACATTTGATGTAAAGTTAATCCTGCCTGAAGCTAGAACATCTTTCTTATGTTTTAACTTACCTTATCATGTTAAGGAAAATGTTAAACTTTATTCAAAACATTTTATAAGATTTTCAAGAGAACAATCTTAAATAAAACACTAACACTTACGTTTTTGGCTGATGGCTGCTGGAAGATGTTTTTTCTGAACTATATCTCTCTGAAACAAGGGAAAACACTTTGGTTAAAGTTTTACGCGTGTGTTGTATGACATCTAATATTGTAAAACAGTGGATGATTAAAATAGAAAGTAATTTAAAGCGCAATTATGAAATACGATTAGTATGCATAAAAAAAAACTTACTGTTGAAATTTGAGTGCTGGTTATCCTGAAAAAGAAAAATTGATTTAGAAAACAAAGTGTAAAAATATTTTCACAATCATAACACAATCAATAACGGCAAAAATTCCGATAAAATTATGCAGTAGCCAAGGTTGCGTAATAGCAAGTGAAGAAAATTAGGTTTGAGTTAGGGTAGCAGTAAACTGTATAAAGTAAGATAGAAGAAAATACTACTCAGTTTTTAAGGCTGTATTTTGTGATGCCATTTAATGACATTTTTTGCTAACAGATTAGCGAAAAACACTGCCTGAAAATATCCTTGTCTGAAATATTTTGTTAAGACTTTGTGTTAGTCTCATCACCATTTATTGAACTGGATTTCAAACCTTTATAAAAAACACTGAAGCTGGGACATTTTTTTTCACCATATATCAGTAGCAATATGTTTCTTTTGACGTGACACTAATGATATAGACTTTCCTAAAACTCTCAGAGCATCCATCCTTAGTCTAGATAAGCATGTCAGTCTGCGACTGGGACCCCCTTCAGGGGCAAAAGTGCAAGTCAAGGATAGAGCCGGGTCAGACTTCCGGCTCTCGCAAGTGCACGGTGACACTGTCTTATCCCGTCTGTGCTACAATCCCTCTATATCACAGTGTGTGGCTTTGTAGGGTGTCATAAGACAGTGGGTCAGTGGGTGGGAAGGTCTGAGGAGTCTGTCTGCACTTCCTCATTCACCCAACGTGGGTGCAGGAGTCATCACATCGTTAGGAAAGTGCTGATTCCACATTGGGTGGGTTTAAAGTGAGAACTCTTTTTAATAATAAAACCCATCTACCATGAAACAGGAAAAACCTCTATGGTTCCTGTCTCTCTGTGCGGGTAAAGGGGCCGTCACTTTGAGCTGAGGCATAAAGACACAGCAGTTCCAAATTGGGTGGGTATGTAAAAATTAAAACCAATACTGCGGCTTTTCAGGAAACTACTAGATGAGATTCTTGAATCCAGATTAATACTAAAAACCAAACATGAATTAGCACATAAACCTCCTCTTGTTCAGAGAATGTCTTCCTAAAATAAAATTAACAATATGTAAAATAAACGTGATGCATAATGTAATCAAAAGATAGGAGTAATTCTAAAGATAATTCAAGAACATTTTCTTTTAGCCTCCCAATGTATTTTTTGCAAAAACGTTTTTTTCTGACCTTGGCTGGGAATGGAAACTTTGAAGGCTCAGTTTTACATGGAGTATGAATTGCTGTCAAAGGAGGAGGCCATGACTGAGTCATTTCCTAGAAGGACACAAAACCACAAGATAGTTAAGAGAATAATTTTAAAGGCATGGAGGTCACATGTTTAGAACATGAAAGGTTTTTAGGATTCATTTTCCTGTTGATCTGCAAAGGCTCCCTGCTTATGGCTTGTTACAGCACATCTGTTTAGATTTACAGCATGCAAGAAGAAAAGCTACTTTCATAGCAAATGGGGATTATGGGGAAATTTGGGTTCATCACGGAATTACAGAGACAAATTAAGTTGGTGAACCAAACATTAACAATCCAATCTTAAAAAAACGTATTACCTTTAAGATTTTCCTTACCTTTAAGATTTCATCCACGCAGTTGGCATCACCAGACATCGACGCCTGTAAAAACAGAAACAGTCTTCCAGGAACCCTTTTTTTATAATAGTTTAGGCCAAAAGATAGATACATTTATGTGCACTGTACTCAGGTATAAGTCTAGATCTGATTTGCAATCATCCAGAAAACAAAATGGAAGACTTCTAGAAGCTGATGCCAAAATGATTTAATCTTATTTTCTCTCGTATCTAATATTTCCACATGCAAAATACACAAAAAGTGTAATTTATTAGTGAAGGTACTTAAGTCACTTGAAAAGGCTATCCAGTGAGACATTTAAAGTGAAAATGGCATTTGGCAGGTCTCCAATGGTTATCCAGAGGAGATTATCCCAAAGCCAGTCAGCCTCAGCCCCACTCTTCTGTTTTCAATAGGCAATGTCTGGGTCAAGTGAGACATTCTTATCTAGAATGATGAACTAATCAGGGGGCTCTCATCATCGGGAGAGTAGGAAACCAGAGTAAAGGTGTTTTGACTAAACAGAGACAAAAGAAAGCCCATGCCATATTACTGCAGAAATACAGTGAGGATTAACCTTGGAATAGCAAAGCAAAAAAACAGAACAAGGAAAAAATGAAGCATGCTTAAAGAAATACTTACATCCAGAGGCTGGGAAGGAATCTTGAGCTTAGAAAGAGATGCTTTGCTGCTGGGCTTCATCTCTCCCATACTGCTGCTGTGTGACTGGCTGCTGTAGTTTTCGGAAGGCGTCTTGGGTTCGAGAGACTCTTGGCCATCCATAGGGCGGACGTAGGCCGTGGGCTTCTGCTGCATGGAGCTGGGTTTGGACATCAGCGACGGGGGGAACGCCTGACCGGGGTGCTGCCCGTTGGAGGAGAAGGCGTGGACGCGGGAGGGGGAGTCCCAGTTGGCGTCGCGATCGCGGGGGGACTTGGAGCGGTGGCGCTCCTTGCCGTGGTGATCGCCCCCGTGCGACCTGGAATGGCTCGAACTCAAAGATCCCTTGGCCGGGCTGGACGTGTGAGACTTGGAGTGATCGGATCCATGTTTGCTCTTCTTCTGGCTATTCCCGCCGCTGTTGCTGCTGCTGCTGTAGTCCCGCTCGTGTCTTTGGCTGCTGCTGCCGCCGCCGCCACCACTGCCGGTAGTCCTTTGGCCACTCCCGTGGCTACTCTGTAAACCAGACCGCTTCTGCGACTGGGAGGAGGAGGTGCTGGCGGCAGGCCCTACGGGAGTCCATTTGCTGCTGTGACTGGAGCCACTGCCACGCTGCTGCTCGGCGAAAAAGGTCTGGTTGGGTTTCTCCTCGGGGGTGGAGGGCACAGCAGGCTGGGGGAGTCCCATGTACTTCTGCAGAGATTTGTCTCCAATCAGCTCCTTCATTTCGTCGTAGTTACCAAGCATGCTCTGGATGCGACTGGACAGTTTATCTTCTTTGCTGGACTGTCAAGAAGAAAGAACCATGGTAAACACATTGGGGAAGAGGCAGGTCAGCTGTCTGGAATTTCAGCAGTGCAACCTGAGAAATCAAGGGTGTAGACTTTCTTTAGGCACTATGTCAACAAAATATGGTACTAAATTAGAGCTAAAGGGAAAATATCAAGATTTCTTGAAGGGGATCATTTTTCTTCCCACCCCCCAGATAAAAACATGAAGCAACGTCTCTGCACCAATATTCAATTTTATTCTTTGTTCCTCTTACTTGGTTTAAAAAATTTACGGCCATTACCTGTCAAACTACCAGCAAAAACAGGAATAATGAATTCCCCCAGAGGACTGTCACTGTTTCCAAAAACAACAGCTAATCTAGATCTTTTAAGATTAAGATTTTGTCCTTTACTGGAAAAGCACACAGGACTGATGAAAATTTCCAATATCTATCGCATGTCCGTTCTGTTTTCTTTTGGCTTTTAACAGAATACAACTGTACTATGTCACTTCTATAATTCTGAGCCTTTTTTTCCCAAAATAAATAACAGGGAAAAATATTTCCCAGCATTAACTTAACTTCATAAATACCTTCATGGAATTTACTTGAAACTACTACACTTTTCAACATTAAAGTTGAAATGATGCATTTCAAACTACTGGTTCAGAATACCTCCTTAGCTTTTAGCTGCACTTAACTGTCTATTATAGAACATCATTTCCAGGAAATGTATTGTTATATTATGATGAAACTTTCAGTATCAGATTAAGCAAGAAAAAGTACAGAGGAAAGTAGCCTACATACGATATTGCATGCCCTCCAAATTTCCTAAACTGAAACAATGGTTCCAGAGACCACACTGAATTGGTGGTTACTGGATTTAGGAGAAACAAACTTCAGCTGGAATTTCAAAAGCAAGCCTGTACTTTTTTGTAAGAGGATTTCATTTAACAAGAGCTTAATTAATTTAACCCTGGTGCTCCACCAAAGCAGACTACCAAGTAAACATTAATTACAAATTACTAAGCTTGCAATGTGAGCAGAGAACACAAACGAAAGCAGTTCTACCACAGAAGAATGAACATAATAGAATGACGTGCGCAGACTAAGTTGAAGTTAAAACAAGTTTCTCCGAACCAGGCAAATCACAATGATTGAAGAGGCAAAACATTTTCTGGTAAATAACTACATGCCATTTCACCAGTTTCTGACCTGCAAGAACGCAGCAGCTAACCTTTTAGTGTTCCCTGTTTGCCCCACTTCTATGGTGGAGAGCAATGAGCTGAAACAGCTTTTTTTTTAATTCACCACGACCTTGTGCCCATTCCCTGCCAGCCAATTCTTGATTTTAATCATTGCGCGGGCTCAAAAGAACTCCCTCACATCTCACGCTGAAAGCAACCACTTACCTCCTCCTAAGCTAAAATGATAGCGTTGGACTCAAATTTCTGAGACTGAGAAGAGAGTTGCCTCGCCAACAACTCAACGGGCCAGTCAAATACAAGCAAGGGCGCTGAACCCACTGCTCAAGGCAAATTAATCATTCACTTTCCTAGTTCCTCTGCGGAAAACGGGTCACTACTTTCTTCTAGGGGCGTGTGCTCAGCACAGGCAATCCTCTCACTGTACCTACTGTGGCGACGCAAGGAACTAAAAATCTTTCATCCGCTGGGCACCAGTTTCTCCAAAAATCTTTCAAAGTTAATAACAGCTCGTGTTAAGCAAAATGTAAATTACAAAAAAGCAAAGAAAAATTAACAAAATAAAACTTACAACTTTATAAGGTTCAGGAAAGAGAGGGGAGTTAGCTGGAAAGGCCTCTCCGCCCTGATGGATTTCTTGATTGCGCCTTTCCCTTTCTTTCAAACGGAGTGCATTCCGGTCTTCACGGTTCATGTTGCTAACAACAAAGACAGAATCACTAAGTGTGCAGAACAACTTACAGGTTCCTCATTTTAGATCTACCTTTTTTTTTAATGCATCTGTGTCCCAAAATCATCTTCATCATCAGTACTGGAAAAAAAGCAACATTCAAAAATAGAACAAGGAAAAACAAGTTCTAAAAACTCGTAATAAGATCCAGACTCCTAATACCCTATTCCTACACAAATAACAGAGCCAAAGCTACAACTGAATGTGGCTTGGAAAATGAACAGCAATGTGTACTGTTGTTTTACCCCTCCCTGTATGCTACTCTGCAGTGCATATAGTAGTATAGTTTGCAACAGGTCAGTGAGGACTGACCCAGGAAGCATTTCTAACGCACATTTCATGAAAAAATACTCCAAGGCCCAGATAAAATCCAAACATTAACCCATTTGACAATTGCAAATTACACCAAGTTTGTTGGCAAGGTTCTTCTGGGCAGTAACTGCAGACTGATTAACAGCCATAAACCCATTTCAAGTACTTTTCCTAATTTGCTGTTGGTGAGTGGGTTGAAGAGTTCATTTAATCTGGGCCAAGGTCATGCTGAAGCAATCACGCACAGTTTTGAATTTTCTGTTCCACTAAGCCCAAAATGCAAAGAGGATGGTATCAGCCAAACTAGGTCTCTACAAAAGGTTACTGTATCTAACGTCTGCACAATTTTAGACAGCATAAGAATAACAATATGCTTTTTTAAATGAAAAGCGCCTAACTAAAATCAAGTCACATACCCAATTGAGGCGTATTTTTGGAGCTGAAATCTGACCCTTAACAGTCACATTACCATATAAACACCAAGGAATAATGCCTAATACCTTTCTCAAACAGTTGGGAGCAGGTTCAAAAGCACTTCAGCCTTAATTCAGAATCTATTATACAGGAGAAGGGCTCCTCTGACACACCTGGCCACCATGCTGCTCCTAGTTTCACTCGCTGCGTGCCACAGCGCCGTACAGAAAGCCCGGCACTAACTGGAGGAGAAGTATGTCCCTCAGTTATGGCACCACTGGAAGCTGACAAAAGCTCGGGGGCTGAAGTCAGCCCCCTGGCGGCGCTGAGCCAAGTATGTGCTGCTGCTTTGGAGAACTGCGGTCACAGCTGGCTTGAACTTGTCAAAACTAGGTCACAAAGCCCCACCTGCACCCGAAATGAATACCTTTGCTGTTCAAGGCTTTCAGGAGCTCTTAAAGACAAACTTATGGAAGTGGATGGACTTTATCGTCCCTTGTAAATCATATGAAAATATGAATGCTATAAAACCATAATAATGGGAATGTAAGAAATAACTGCTACTAATTCTGTCATATAACTGCCCTTAGATGGCTTTAACTATGTCTTAATATATAAGGTACAGTTTTAGTAGCTACGTAATGGATTTGTGTGAAATCCCTAACCTGTGAAATTAATTAGAAACATTAGGAACGTTTCTTTACAAGTAATATTAAAATCTGGCAGGCTTTTGTCTCCAACTACACACAATACAAATCAGGAAATTCTCTCTCAGCCAAATAACCATGATGAAAATGGTTGCTTAGACATAAACATCTACAAGCACAATTTTATAGTCTAAAGCAGCAAAAGCAAACCTTTGAAATACCACTGGTATGAAAGGAATGAGCATCCCTTAATGATGAACTACTGTAATAAATCCTGTTGAGATAACATTCTTTTTTATGTCAGCAGGAGCAAATCATTTGAAAGTGAAAAATGGCTTTTAAAAGAATGTGAAAAGTATTTATTTTGCTGTTTTTCTCACTCTTGAATTTACAAAAATATCTAGATGCTGGGTTTCTGCTTGGCATGGTCAATAGGTTTAGGTCAGATACAGAAACACTGCACAGATAACCTGTTCCTAAATACAACTCTAAAACAGTGCAAAACCAAAAGAAAGCACAAAATAAAGCTGAGCAGTTTGTGTTACTGTACCATTGTAAAATAAAAGATTCAGCTTCCACCCACTAAAACATATCCAAACTCACATGCACTGATGAATGACTGCACACTTAACTGAGAAAGCAATGGATCTTTCCAAAAATCCCAAATGTAACACACAAGCCAGAAGGCTAGGTTCCAAAAGAAAATGAATTTCAAGTTAAGAGGTGCAGCTTGAAAAGATCATTTTCACAAAGATAAAGAGATACTCAATCTGCATTTACAACGACCAGCACTTAAAACTGTGAGGTATGAGATTTAACTTTTTATAGGGGGTGCTTAGGAGTGGCTCAACCAGTAAGGCACTTGTCCCAAAGGCAGGCTGAATTCAGCGAGCCTAAAGTTAGAAGTTCGAGCCCTGACCATGTAACTAGCAAGTCAGTCCGACTACAGACCTTGAACTGCATCTGGAGAGGAGTGACTTTCTGGGTGGGTAGGGCAGAGGAGACGGCATGTCCTCACTCTCTCTGTGCGAGTATACAAGGGTTGTGGCTATGATCCACTATATAAAGACAACTGTCAGGATCATGTTAGGCGGTGAGATCTTTTTACAAAATATTCCCAACTATGGGCGGCACAGTAGGGCAGTGATTAACTTTGCAACACTGGGACCCTGGGCTCAATTCCAGCCCTTGGGGTAGTGTCTGTGTGGAGTTTGTAGGTTTTCCCTGTGTTCGCATGGATTTCCTGCTGGTGGTCCGGTTGCCTCCCACAGTCCAAAGGTTAACTGGCTCCTGAGAAAATAGGTCCTGGTGTGAGTGTGTGTGTGTGTTTTTGTCGGCCATGCAATGGACATGTGTCCCATCCAGGGTGTGCCCCACCTTGAGCCTGTTGCTTGCTGGGACAGGCTCCCACTCCCCCACAACCCTGAACTGGTTAAAGCAGTTAGAAAATGGATGGATGGGTCTCCACCAACCATGAAAACAAAATTCAAAAGGACAGTAACATAGGCACCTTTTATAACACATTGTGTTTTTTCTATCTATAATTTCATGAAAGGATAAAAGCACTTAATACCACCTCATACCATAATCAAAAAGGAATAATTACGGAACTGCAAGATGACAGTACTACAGTGATTCATTTTCAAATCCTATGGTATAAGGATAGTTCTACTCACAAATCACCAGTCTCCTAAACATCTATAATTAAAAAGGAGTATTAACTAAGAGTAAACATTTTTAACATTTATAACCATTAGTTAATACTTCCAAATTTGAATTTGCGTGATTGCTGCATTTTGTTTCAATAGCTGAATTTAACTGCAATGTTCACTTTTCAATCACAGAGTAGATAGGAATTACAAGCTTCGCATTTAGAAGACAATTATCAAGAATGATGACTGTTTCAAATACTATAACTTGGGAAAGTTTTATTGACCATAAACACTCCAATCAGATATTTTTGATTGTGTAATGTGTGAACTGTGCAGTCCCCACTACTGGCACTGTAATTTTTGCTAATGTGATTCACTATGATTATTTTCCTCAGACAAACCTCAAACCAGCAGCTTGTATTTTACCAAGAGTCAGCATTTTTTATCACCTTAATTAAAATGAATATATTCTTGATGAAAAGCCAGCCTTTCAGTTTCAGTTCTTCAAGGCATATTTTAAGTCAGGGCAGAATTAGATTATACAGCACTCTTATGTTAGCTTGATTTATTTAACAGTATATTCAAACTCATAATGAGAGTCAAATTCACATCATATAGTGTTTAATGTCTTTCTTTCTTGTTAGCCTAAAAAGATTTTAGCTTCAATATTTAAAAAAAAATTCTGAACTGCAAAAGATACAACAAACTCCTTCACTACCACTGAAGTTCACTTTAGCTTACATTTGACTGTTAAGAGTCAAATTTAGAGTATCTGCATCGACTGTAATGTAAAGTCCATAACTTTCAGCTGAACATCTGGAAACAGTATAACTACAAATTCACAATCATTAGTTACAGAATGAATCATTAATCAAACAAGCATGAGGTCAAACTATTTTTTAAGAAATAGACAATTAAAAGGTTCCACCTGAGAACACACTATTTCTCAGTCTAGTAGATAATATCAAGCTTTCTTCATCTCATTAGTGCATCAATAGTCAAATTAGCACTCTACCATTCTCCATCACCCAGAGGGCTCACACTCATTATTTTACAAAGGAGTAGAACAAGACGACAATCAGGAACTGGATGGCTAGAAGCCAGGGCTGTATAAATGTCTTAAGGCTTTCTAAGAGCAACAAACAAAAAAATGGAGGCTTATGTTGGACTGAAGAGGGAGTCTCCTTAAAAATGTATCCAATTACATCTATCCTTTATTCCCACATTGTTACTTGACCTTAGCCCAATTATTCATCTCATGTAAAAATATTGTGGTAAACTGCTGGTTTCATATATTGAAGCTTTAAAAACACAATTGATTGATTGCATCTGAAATAGTCAATTTAACAAAAGTGAAAGCTAAGCAATTGTAAATTGTAAATGGAAGTGCATTTTTCCCCAATATTGACCAACATTTCTGCATTATCCAGAAAAAAACACTCAAGGTGAGAATTACACCCTTTGTTATTTTGTGCTGTAAAACACAATGAAGTGTAGCAAAGAAGTGAACACGTGTGCAGCTTGTGATGAGCACTTTATTTTGGAGGGCTGAAAAGTCAAACTATAGGACACACATCTTCATATGAGCAACTCACTGTTGAATTTGTGGGCTCCATGTTACTGTATGTGTTGCTATGGCTTTGCCAGAGTAGTAGGCCCATAGTAGCAGCAATTCTGTCAGTACACAACAAAATACGAAGGTTTCTTCTGAAGTTTCTCTTCCCTACCAGTACAGTGATACTCGAAAGTTCTCACTGCTGAATAAGTAGTTTTCAATTGATGCTGGCAGGCCAGCACCGAAGTAACATACACTCAGGCAGGGTTTTATCACTCTAAACCTTAAAGCAACCACACATCCCACCCATTAAACATACGCCTCATGAAGAGTATTTGCTTTCAGGCTCCCTCCTCATAAAATAAACTGCAGTCCAAAAGAAACTATGAACATTTTCTTTGAATCCAAGTTCTCCATTCAACTATTATGTACACATACAAATCACAGGAAAAATCATTTTCTTCTAATTAAGGTCAGTTTAATTTCTGACTCGAGACCATAATCCTAATGGGGATACCGAAAAATTGGCAGCTTCCATTTTCAAGGATATCTCGCATATCCATCCATTTTCTAAGCACTTCATCCAATTCAGGGTCATGGGGGGAGCTTGAAACTATCCTGGGGAGCAACAGACACACGGCTGGATACACCCTGGATGGGACGCCAGTCCGTTCCAGGACACTTACAGACACAAACGCACACTCACACGCCGGGGCCACTTTTCCCAGAAGCAAATTAACCTACTTGTTTTGGGACTCTAAGAGGAAACCTGAGCATCCGGACAAAACCCATGCGAACACAGCGAGGACATGCAAACTCCACCCAGACAGCACCCCAGAAACAACAACTGTAACTCTGAAGCCGTAAAACTACAGTTAACAACGCTACCAGCTCAAGTATCAAAATCTGGTATAAAGGTAGAGAAGACTTTCACTCATTTTAAAGTTGATTTCTCACTAACGACTGAAACTCAAGGATCCACTTCATCATCAAAATACCTCAACATGAAAATAAGGAGGCCCAAAAGAAACTATGATGCTAACAATACAGTTTTTATTAAATCATCTATCATTCTGAAGAGCCTGATTCAGACTTTGCTCGATTTGTGGATCAAAAACGTTTTCATTGCAGTTTATTCATTAATGCTGACACCACACAAGTGTAAAAAAATCAATGTTTTCTATGGAAGAAAATGGAACGGAAGTTGCTGGCTGCAAAGCCCAGCTGGCCATTGGTTACATGACCACAGAAAAAACAAAATCAGCAAATGAATTTTGGCAGGAAAAAAGGGGTGTTTTACTTTAAGCACTTGATCAGATAAAGAATCCCAGACCGTGTTTTAATGTGGCTTAAAGGATTAACTTTAAAATTCAGTTTCAGGATTTAAAACAGATCAAAAGTTCAAAGTATCTATAAGTACAAACGGAACAACTTCCAAAATGCTATGTAAATATTATTACTTCAACCATCTGCAAAAAAAAAAACTTGTTCTTTTGCTTACCCTGACTGAGAGGCCATGACTCAAAACAGTGAATCATTGGAGAAGATAAAAAGAATCCCAGAATGTTCTGTTCTGTAGTTTTCCAGGTGTACAAAAACGCAAAAAAAGACCTCAGTTCACAACCTGTATCTACGACTTGTTATTAAAGATAAAACATTATTTGCTTTGAGCTAAATCTAAAGGCTAGGGAGGTTTCAGCTCGTACATGGGAGATTCCACTCGAACTAGCAGAAGGGGGGTGGGGGGAGGGAGGCTGGCAAGGGACAATAGCTGAAGTGAAGAGCCTGCTACTTTTCTGAAGGGGGAAGGGGCTCGCAGCGAGACTGCAGGATTCGAAACAAACTCACAAACAGACATGCTGTAGTGTGTACTTTGATCACGTCAAGCCCCGTGTGGCTGTTCAAAAGTCCACGCAACAGTGCCACAATTTAACAAATTACAACCCAGAAACTGGGTAACGGAAATGTCACACAATGAAATGAATACCATACGAATCTACATTCCCAAAGATTGTATCCAAATATTAAATATTTTTAGGTAACTAGAAATATTATGGTCATGGTTTATTTTTCTTTCCAATGAAACAGTGTATCTAGGCACAGAAAGGCTCTTTGAGGAAAGACGAAACTTACCTCTTCCATCAAGTGGAACTGTCCATCCTGTTCCATATAAGGAGATGTTATTTTATCCCACTGAGCCTATCCTCCACGTGACGTGTTTGCTTTTACTTCATTCTAGCCAATCAGCACCTTCCTCGCAACCAGCTAGCGCCCTCCCTCACCACAGCCTAGAGCAATACACAGACCAGAAGAAACTTATTTAAAGAGACAGCATCTGTTTTCAAGTCGGCCAGATCGGAAAGCATATCTATAAGCAGCTGAACAAAGGCACACAGTATGATTTTAACGACCCAAAACAACCTTTACACAATACAGAAGACCGTACTCTCAGCAAATCCCTTAACTACTGCACAGTTTGAATTTGTTTAACTGGGACAGATGACAAAAGTAGATCTTATGTACTTGCTTCTTAAGCAAAGAAGAAGTTGAAGTGAAAATGGACACAAGGTCCATGAGGGACCTAGTTCTACAGAATAATATTGCATGGAGTGTACTTCTCTCACAAATGAAAAATGATCAAAATCACTGCTGCAAGGTATACTGCATGACACACTACATCAAATAACACAGATAGGAACTGTAAATGAAACATTAAGTTGTGTCGCCTCTTTCGGCATGAAATGTTTTTGAAATTTTTCAACCCCCTTTTCCTTTCCAAAATAACATTTCTGTATGTTTCTGATCATCTGTTCTGACTGCATTTGGAAACACAACTGACAGAAGTGAAAAACATAGCATTAATTAGCATTAACAATCTGTCAAGGTTCCAGACAATTAAAAGGACTAGAAAACATGGTTCATATAGTGAAAATACTCAAGGGCGTGACCAAATCAAACCAGAGGATTTCTCCAGAACAGTACAAAATGAACTAGCTAGCATGCACAAAACAGAAATTGATGACAGAAAATGATCTGAAGGGACTCTACTTCTTTGTAATTGGTCTTATGTTTTTATGACAATTTAGGCTTTTATTTCTGCAAAGCATGTCTATTTCTACCTCTGCTACACTGCAGTATGGAGTTATCCAACGGCATATGTGCCAGTGTCTTCTTACAGGAGACAGTTTATGACCAATTCAGCCCTGTGTTTCATCATCCATATTCCACAATCTACTGCCACCTTGGATGGAAATGTAATTCTTCTGACAGGATCTCATTAAAACCTGATCGAATTATTAAAGAAGAGTCAAAAGATGCAAATCATGACCTGGGAAACCGTTTTTGCCATCTTCCTGCTATTACATATCCTGCAGTAAAGTCACAGCACCACACACTCAATAAATCATGAAGTACCACGACATAGAATTGTCTTTTCAATTAAAAAAAAACATGGAAAAATTATTTTTGAAAATAAACACCCCAATGCCACCCCTGGAAAGTCCATGCTGATGCACAAATGGTCAGTTTGCATTGTTGTTTCTGTGCCCTTGAAATGCAAATAAAACCAGGAACTGGAGAGTCAAATGAGGACAACAGAAAGAGTGTTTTAAGTACTTCTGCTTCATCCAAATGTCATGTCAACAGGTGAACACCCATAGTTTACAAGGTAATCAAGTGCATAATAGTTTTCAAAGGCAACTTTGCTTTAAAACAACTAACATGAATCAACAACGGTGAAGTTGTCCGTTGGAAGAAATCCTAAAAAACGCGACCTGAGAGCTGTGCTTCCACATACACGCACAGACATTTATCTTTTAGTGTAACTCTTACTCAATTAACGATATTAAAACAAACTGGATAAAGAACACAAACACACAACATAATGACCATAAAACAAGTCTTCAACTTCCTTTACACTGTTGGCAAAAATCAGAATCAGCATTTCTGCCAACACCAGTCCTTTGCAAATCATTTTACTGCTCAGTAGAAGTTTGTGAATATTTACAGAAATTTAAAGGCAGAAGTTTTCATGTTTAGGAAGACAGCCACTACCTCTACATGCAGGTAAGACTCCAGTTCTAGTCAGAATACTGCTATTCTGAATAGTTGTTCCAAGACAAGTAGATGATTTTCTAGATCTATACAAATGCAGTATTCCAAATGGGGAACATCAAAAACTCAACTTGTATCTGGGGTTGCACTTTTACTCTTAACTCCTTATATTTTTGCCTACATATAAACTTGAATACGCAAATGGAAGACCCGAAGTTGAAGTAATACCTATAACGTGTATTCCTCTTCAGCTATTTCTGTCTTCTAATGTAGTGGCATACAAAGCATTTCTAGGTGTGCAATGAGCAGTGCATTGAATAACCATACCGATCTAGAACAGCTCTTAAGCCATACACAATTTTTTACATGTAGAACACTTTCTTTGATTGCTGTGTATTTCGTTTTCCACTGGAAATTAAAACAACGTAAATGCAACACATCTGTAATAGCTGTTCCTGCACTCATGTTAACAGTTTCCACTAAGGGAAATGACCTATAATTGACCTATACATTTCTATAGAAACCTTTGGGTTATTTTCTTAAAAGGTATTCAGAGGACCTTCTCCATATCATCGCGATATGCATCGCAAACTCTGAACAGCAATCCACTGGTGATTCTCTTCGCGAGCCATTCAAGTTGAAAGTTTTTTGTAGTCTTAAACCTGTCACTGCAGGGCAATTTTACAAACAGGTGGACAGTTTATTTTTGGAACACTGGAATCTATCTTACACTTGGAACTGCAAATAGTAACCTAAACGTTTCCCTCACCAATGTTCAACGCCAATCCCTGGAGGCAAGACTTAAACTATACAGTATCTTAACTGCAATATTTTCAAAACTATACAAAGTTATTTAAATTAGCCTCTGGATTATCAAAGTCTGCAATATCAAATTCTCAATGGTATGTACTCTTTTGAGTTAGACGACACCAATTCTTTGTTGGACTGAACTACTTGTTTTCTACTGCAAATTCCAAAATCAGATATTTCTAATTCACTAAAGCTAAAAGCCAACAGGAAACTGTTGTTTTAGTCTTGCAAAGAAAACGCAATGTATTCTCAAATGAAGTGTCGGTTTGTTACTATAAAATGCATAACTGTTTAGAAAAAAAGTTCATTTCAAGAGTGTATCATAACTGAAATGAAAAAACCATAAATGGAGATTATGCTGCAAGCTTCTCCATTTTAAGCATCGCTTTCCAAATGCAATCATTCCATCAAGCAAACAATGGATGACACTGCTTTCTAAAAGTTTCCGATAGCAACAGAATTTCAGCTTCGTTATAGTATTCAGTAGTGCTGCAAAAGTAAATTCCTTGTTAAAACAAAATGCCAGTGTTGCTCTGTTGACTCATGGTGTTTTAGATGATCACTAATCATACAGATCAGGTGGGGAATGCAGTTGAAATTCACTTTGCGGTCAGACAGTGCAAAATGACAACTACAAAAATTAAACTAAAATATCAAGAACCCATACAGACTTTTTGATCTTGTGTGCACTTGGCTCCTAACCTAAATGAACGGCTTCGCTGTCAATCCCAACTACGATAAGGGAACACCACACCCTGCAGTTACTGTTGTACTTTAATCCCATCGTGTCTGGTCTTCTTGAAACAAATGGAATTCAAGTTTAATTGATTGTGTTCTCTTTGCAAACTGACGCTAACAATGACTATGTTAATCACTACCCACAGGGACTTGTAAATATGAACATTTCAGTACTTTACTAGCCTTAGCCTTTTTCAGGTAAAAGAGCTGTGGGAAACGCAACCAGATACTAGAGCCTGCTAGTTAGGATCACACGGTTTTACTGTTTATAGTGATCATTGGCTAATTGCCAATGAATCATTAAGACTTAAAGCAAGAATCTGCCATGCATATTTTAAAAGACAATACCTCAACTGTTGGTTTTATTCTCTCATTCTAGCACAAATTGCACACCTGAATGTTTCAGGAATGATGCCAATCCAGTCCTTATTTTCCCAAATTAACACCAGCACTGTACAACTGGTTTTTCTGGTCTCTAGATGACACACCATCTGCAAGACTTTAAACCCAAGGTAAACTTACAGTAACGTTAACAGCACACACATCTCTCATTAATTCCAATCAGAAACTGGTCTCATTAGCTTTTTAACTGCGTATTTATTTTAGTACAGGCTGTGATTTCACAAGGAATTTTTATTCCGTGTTAAACCTTTACTGGCGGCAGTGAATTTCTGTTTAAGTGTACGGAGAAAGGCAACAGTTAAGCAAAGTCACAGACAGGAAGTAAGAGGTAGGCAAACACAGCCAGACAAGTACATGCAAAACGCCCTTTAAGTCTTCTTTCTGAATTTGGAATCTTTTTGAACTCTTGGATTAAACTACTGTCCTTGGAGCAAAGTGTTAGTGTTTTCCTTTCACTACAAAATCTCACAATACACCCCAAATACACCAAAACACTGATTAGCTTTATATTAATCTTCTCTTCTGCCATAGGTGAAAGTCCTACAGCACTGTTAGTAAACTAAAACCACATTTCCTGTAAAACGTAGAGCCTTTAAAACACTGATGATATCTACCATACAGCAAGCCAAGCACCAGCGTTTTCAAATAATTATGCAGCAAGACTAATTCTTATAACCACCCCTCCCCCACCGTCTGTGGCATTTAAAATGGCTTCCTCGTGTGAAACAAGTCAGCTAGCTGCACAGAATGTCATCCATTTGCAAAGTCAAAGAAGTGTACTTCTATTTCTATGTTGTGTTGAAATTACATTTGCAAACAAGGCATTAGGATTAAAAGTAAACAGGCACTGTCAAGTTTCAAAAACACTGCTCTCACCTATTAGTATCATCTGCTCGCTACTGACCAGGTGAAAGTATGGCCTTTGCTATAAGAGGCCTGGGAAAAAGTCCTTAACTGCAAAATATCTACTGAACATTGTGCAACTTCCAAAGAAGAAACGTAGTGTTATTGCACGCTTTTATTTCTCTTTCATTGGCATGGGGACTAACGCCAAACAAGAAAAGGTAGCTTTTACGAAACGGAGGACATAATAATAACCTTTATTTTATAAGCTGCCTTTGAAAGTGACTTCTCACAGTAAGAAGAAAACCGTCAACAAGGAGATGATATAATTAGCACAATTAAAAAACAAGGGTTTCAGAATGCAGCAGAGGAGGCAAGGGGCAGACAGACACTAATTAAATAAAAGCCTTTCTAAAAGAAGGAGGTTCCAAGCTTGGATTTGAAAGCATTCGGGGAAGGGGACCGACTCCAATATCCTTGGGGACAGAATTGATAGAACATGATATCAACCCCCCCCCCCTCACACACAACTTCAACTTTACAAACCAGACATCAGATCTTCCCTATGAAACCACAGGCGGCACTACTAAGATACTAGCCACGCTACTGGCCTTCAGGTCCAGTGTCAAGCCCGGAAAAGTCAAGAAACAGACTAAACAACGTTACTGCTGACCTCACAGAACAAAACGACAAAGAACACACAGCTTCAGGTGCAGATCCTTTGTTTGGCAGTGAATCGTGTGTTCCTGTCCCACATCCCCTAAATAAAGGTTACCTTAATCTGCCTGTATTGTCTGCAGCTCCACCGACAGCTTTTACCTGTAACTTCGGAACAGTCTGTTCTAAATGCATTGGGGAAGAACGACCCGCGCATAACATCTCAGACTACAGAACACCCTGTACCGTTACCAAAAAAAGAGCTGAACTACACCATACCGAATGAGTCGTGCACGACTTTTTTGTTCCTTTATCCGGCTCACTGGTGCCACTACAGTCTGAATTTCAGGACAAAACACGACAAGTGTCTAAGAATCGGATGATCTTCATTATATCAATCACATGCGAAGTCGGACTGGAGGAAAACTAGAAAGTTTCGAGCGTGCATGATTGGAAGGCAATATCTGAAATAAAAACCGTCTATTCAAAACACCATGATGAAGCAAAGGTTCAGTTCAAATCCTATTCAAAGGTTCGACGTGCGAACAAAAATCAAGGTATCAGTACAAACAAGGTTTGATTTCAGCTCCAAAATTATACACTATGCATTCCGTACTGATTGATATTGGATATTAATAAACAAAAACAATAGGTAAGTCGTGCAAAAAGCACGTTCATCAGCTGAAAACAAGCAGACAAGCCAGCGTAAGACTACACTTGTGTTGCTTCAGTCACTGCCTTGGCAGTGACGAGAACAAAGCACTGACGTCATTTGACAATCGCAATTTATTGCTTACATACAGAAACATATTGATTGTTCCAAAGCATATGAAGGACTAGCAACACGTCATATACGGTTAAATAAAAGTGTACTAAATAACCCTTTGATTCTGAAGTCTTCAACAAAAATTAAGATTTTATTCTGAAAAAAAAACTGGACAGTCCATCAACGGCGTACATGTAGATCTACAGCTTTAGCAATCCATCAGAAATTCGAATAATAGTGCACACCTCCTCGTATTACAAGCTTTGATTTAATAATAAAAAAACAACACTTAAGACAACACACCGTACGAAGCCCGGAGTGGTTAATTTACATTTTTATTAGGAAATTGTTCAAGTCAAAAAGTTAAATGTATAACTTAGTATTAGTAGTAATCCTTTGTAAAATGTACTTTTCTGCCTTTATTGTAAGTGGTTGATTCTCAATTTGTATGGCCTGAATACCACTAGGGGTTACATACGTACAAAAAAGATTAATTTAGGCTCAGTAGCAATTACAATCCAAACATCAACTTGCTCGCTGCATTCGTATGACCTCTGAATCATTCCATCTTTTATTTTATTGACTTCTTCGCAAAATAACATTAAATAAAGGTGCAACTGTGACATTTAATTTAAAAAAAAAGTTAATCCGCTTACCTCTGCTATCTTCCTTAGGCCCAAACCATTGGTAATGGAAAGCCTTTTGTCTTTTCCACTTTCCAGTTTCAAAAAATACAACCAAAGCGCTCCCACTACATAAAGAAATAAATAATAATAAAATAATAAAATACCCTGCCCCCCCAGGAGCGGCAAAGTCTACGTTACCAGCGACAGACGACTCGCCTTCTTTTCCTCAAACCATTTTTACAATAAATTACGGAGCCAACAGCCCTTCAGTGCGATGAAGGAGCAGTCAGATCGGCGAGCTGCCGTGTCTGGGCAGCGTCACGTGACCGCGCCGCTCACTGCAGCCGCTGGGAACCAGCCAGGCAGAAGCGGCCCGGGGTCACGTGACCGCTCCGCGCAAGACTGCGACTGCACAAATCTGCCTTGCAGCGGCGTGGAAGCCCATCTGCTGCCCTGCAGCTCTTGCTGTCCATCGATTATAATGTCAAAGACGTTAGCCCGGAAGGCGCCTCGGACTGTAGGGCGGGACTTGAGGTATACACAGTTGAGTTTGCCGTTTTGACTGTGAAATCGTCAAGTCTGGTACCGGTTTTTTTTTTTTGCCTTTGTGTGTTTGTGCTGGGGAGAGATAGGAGACTTTAGGTTAGCTGCTTCACGGTGTGGTGAACCGTTGACTCGGCTGCGTTATACACAAAATATGGCGTGGGTGCTTTTTACGGTAGACAGTGCTCAGTTGCCAAGCTTGCTCTCGTCATACTTACTGGTATGTTGCGTTAGCACCTTCCAGCATGATCTCACCAGCTCTAGGCAAGACTTGGCCCCGTCATTACTGGGGTGGAGACCTCTGAGGAAACCAGGTTGTTCGACCAGCAGTCGGTGCAATCCCCTCTAGAGCACAATTTCCAGTATGGCAACTGACTTACTTCCAGGATAGACTTGTCCAATTCGGGCTTCCTAATGTTCTTCACAGCTGAGTTAGTGAAGCAGTTTCTTTCCTCACCTGATCGACCTCTGACACAGAATGGCTTGAGTTTGTCGCCCAGTGTGTGTCGATGCTTCACTTCAGTGGTGGATGATGTGGTTGCCTTACTATTTGTAAAAATATCTGGGGATGCTTTGGGGTGAAAACTGAATTGCTACGACTATAATAATAATTCCTTACACTTACGTTGCGCTTTTCACTTCAGCACCACCAGTGTACAGCACCCACCTGGATGATGCGACAGCAGCCATAGTGCACCAGAACGCTCACCACACATCAGCTATCAGTGGGGAGAAGAACAGAGTGATAAAGCCAATTCTAGTGTGAAATTCTCCATGCACAGCTCCCAGAGAGAATTAGACATTGAAGCTTACAAGAGATTGGGCAGTCTGGTTAATTGCAGAGTGTGGGGTGGAGTGTAGGATCCTGCAGTTTCTTTTCTGAGCTGCCTCCTTCAGGGAAATAGAGTGCACACACCATGCTGCTGGTGTTTACATCGGAGATCTTGGGCATCCTTCATTCTTGACACTCACACAGAAATTGTCAGACAGACACAGAATAGCAAAATCGCATTTCAGTGAAATGTGGCAGTGGGAGTGTGGGGAGACCAGTCAGCCTGAGTGGTCAAGCACGAAGAGAGGAGCAGTGCCCAGGCCTGAACAGCATCCAGGCACCTGCTTCAGCAGGAAGAAGGCAGAAGGCCTTCCTGGTGGAGAAGAAGCCCCTGGAAGATTTGGGAAGGAGGTGCCGGCAGGAGGAGGATGGTCTGAGCAGGAGTGGGGAACGAAGGAGAGGTAGTGGACTGTAGCAGGACAGCCAGGTTTAGGAGCTGAAAAGGCGTGGAGCCACCAGGGGGCGGTGATGAGACAATCACAGTGCGTTTGTACCAGGGAACTGGGGAATCGGCTGCACCCCTGCACAGCCTCTCCTATACAAGCTAAACAGACAACAACTGTTTAGCTTGTCTAGTTCTTGTGTCTGGGTGTCTGGTTCAGACCCTCACGGTGCGCTGAAGAATGAGTCCCGCAGATCTCGATGAGATTTTATATAGCCAAAAACAAAGAACCCATTCAGGCTGAAGATGTTAACAAGTATCTAAGTTCTGAGTAAAAGGTTCGAGCGCAGCTGTCTCAGCCACTGGCAAAATAAGAAGACAGTATTTGGAGGACTGGCCAAACACATCTGACCGGGTGTGAGTTTTTCCACTGTTACTAGCAGGACAAAGTAGGGACAACACACAGTATGTGCAGATTTTTCTATTGCACTACTGTCTTAAGGGGGAGGTCTTTTACACCGATGTACACACAGATAGGGAAGGAGCACGTCAAGGAGACGGAAGATCAGCTGCAGGGTGTCTGGGCAGCCAGCTGCTACTTCAGTCAGCATCCCCAAATAGCCGAATGACCCTTCAGTGGCTCATTTGGCAAAGGCACCACTTGGATCAGTGGTGCCTAAATGTAGCAGAAAAACACAGAGACAGAGTGGGGGGAGTGGCCTGTAGGCACAGCTAGAGGACGACTTCACAAGCCTTGAACTCCACCTCCTCGGAGAGCATTGGTGCAGGGCTGGAATGAAGGGTTCTGTAGCTTCTAGAGTGTCCTGCCTGCTTCGAGATGTCTCAGCTCCCAGATTGTGGCCGGTCATTGACTTTGTTTGGCTGTAACGTCTTGGCCACTTAAGAAGCTGCTGAACACCTAACTCAACAAGTGATTTTGTGGCGACCAAACCTAGCCTCAAATATACCAATGGCACAAAGGGGCTGTCTCTTGATAACCGGAGTGTATTGATTTCTTTTTGTGTTTTTCTTGATTTGAATCAGGCTTGACAACCAACAGGTTAAATCACCTCATTGCCTGTGCCCAATCAGCTCTTTCACTAATGAGATGAATTAGTGCTTATACAGCAGCCAGAGGCGCTCAAGTGTAAGATCAATTCATCAAAATGTCACCAAAAACATTTAATCAGTGTCCAAAATCCACACACGTTATTTTTCTAAAAATGCACATGCATTTCCACAGTAATTACTTTTGAAAAATGTTATCTTCAATCCTTTAGAGGACTTTACACGGACAATGTTCTCCAGCTGGGCAATATTTTTTTTTGTTACAACCCATGTAAAAATCCATGTACTACGCAGCAGTTTTACCTGTGGTAGCAACAGGATTGAATCTGTACTTTAAGTTTGCGTAAGAGTTATGTAAAAACTAAATCACAATGGCCTGCACTTACGTGGGTGTAGTTTGTTTTTCACAATGCTTTTGAGAAACCACAACATGAAAAGTCTTAATGTGGGGGAAAATTTAACTTATCATATCATTTGCATTTTTTCTGCTTATCGTGCATGTTCTTAGTACGTTTTCAAAACCAGAGTCTCTCGGATGATGAGCTCACAATCGCTCAAATTAGGAGCATTAAAAACCGAAGCGGCTGGGCAGATTGACCATGATATCCTCAGATCGCACTTGCTTGCATTTATTTGCAGGAACTGTTCTTATGGAAAGAATTACGGTTGTTACATTTCGCTAGAGCAAAAAACAAATGCTGGCACGAACGCTGCTTTCTCTTAGAGTCCGTCCAACTTTTCACTCTTTTCCTCTATTCTGTGAGCTCCATGTCCCTGTATGTGTTTGGTTTTGCATTTGATCTTCGGATTTATCTCGTTTGACAACAAAGCAAATAAAAAAATAAAACTTGCTGCAAGTAACGGAGTACTTGATAAAAAGAAATGTGACCAAAAAGAATCCGTTTTCGGTCAATGTTTTAAATTGTATAAACTCCAGCCAAGCTTTGTAATCTATTAATAACAAGAAGTAAATGTGCCACAAGGTCCAAGCATTCAAAATAAAAAGTGTACATTCTGTTAAGTACAGAACTGAATTTGTAAGGGTTTCCAGCGGTTTTAATTATAGCGTCACAGTTTAATAAATGACATCTAAGAAATATTGTCTTCATACATTAAAGGAATAGAAGGTGGTTAGAAAGGCTGGTCTTGGAACAGATCGCCGTGAAGAAACGAAATGCTGGCTGAGTAAGGGAGGAGGGCAGGTAGCCTAGGGAGGAAGAGAAGGAACGACGAAGAGATCTAGAAAAAGTTTGTGATCAATGTGTATTCCATTAGAACACTCAGTATTAAATTGAAATTGAAATCTAAATGGAAATTTCACTAACCTTTTAGTTAGAAAAAATAGTAGGTAGTTATCATAAACAAGTTACATATGCATCTACATTAAACTCTCGTCTTACTCAGGTTTCATGTTCAGCTTCAAATCAAAGGGCTTCTGTACAGAACAGTTATAAAAGGACTCAGTTGTGTCATTTCTCCACTAAAGCCACCTTCCTGTACCGTCAACTGATGATGGGTTATGCTTTCAAATGGTATGTTAGGGTGATTACGTGTCCGCAACACTCCTAATATCCTCTGCAACCGTATTTTTACTAATCATACTTTAAACAATATTATGCACCCAAAAACTACATTGGTACCAATGCAGTATCCCAGCATAGTTCTATTTTTATTTTAACCAATTTTAAATTACTATAAAGATTAAAAAATAAAACTATTTTCAAGAATCATATATTTAAAGTTAAAAAAATAACTGGCTTTCAAAGCTAACAGCATTACACCATTACAGGCTTTGTAACTGAATGTGTTCATTGTTTCTCAATGTTCTGTTTAATTAGAATATACAAATCCAAACACCAAACAGCCGTATTATCTGCCTGCTAGAGCATGATTATGACCATCACAGACCACAGGGTGAGCGCTCCCTGCTGGTCCCATTATCACCTCTTCCAGCAGCAACCATGGCTTCTCCAGGAGGTCTCCATCCTGGTACTGGGCAGACTCACACCTGCTTAACTTCAGTAGGTTGCCAGTTGTGGCTTATATATATAGCTGCTGACCACATGTACCACATGCTTTGTAAAGCAAGCTTTTTGAACTAGTTTAAACCAAGAATAGATCTTACTGCTCAACCCAAATCTGTATAATGTGTAACTTTACATTGGTTATGTTGACCTGCAGCTTTACTATATAGCTGCTAGCTAACAACAGAAGAAAAAAAATGGTATCCTTAACTGGAGAATAGTAAAAGTGGGACGTCAGTATGAAAATAAAGCCTATCAGTTTTAGATTCTACATTCATAGCATACTTTCATGACACACTTAGCAAAGTGATACAGACTCCATAACACTGAGCAGCGGCAAACTTAGCACATTTTATTTTACAATAAAAAATGATAATCTTTCATTTTATAGAACCTACACTTTATACAAAATAGCAGGGTAATGGACCCTGCTTGAACGAACCCAGCAAATTTAAGGCTCCTCGTGCAGCATGAATACTAGCAAAGGTCTTAGATGCACTACACCCCCACTGAATGTGTTTCAATGGCCTCTAGCACCCATTGGTTTTCACATTATAATCTACAAAACCTCTATTTTTTATGACTGCTATGCAAGTTGCACTGATCCAATGGATAATAAAAATGAAAAACTACAATAAAAATATATTACCTGTGACTGTTCTTTTACGTGTGTAATAATGAACAAAGTAAAATAAAACAAAAACTGCTTGTTAACCTTTTACCAATGTTCATTACAACACTTTGCATGATGATACTGTTGAAATAATATAGCATGGTATATCATAATTCCACTCCTTGTATAAACTACAAGCTTTTATGGAAATTTACCAATCCTTAATTTTAATATGTAAATTAAAAAGATTAAAAAGGGTTTTTTGTTGTAGCAGCTGAAACATGAAAAAATACACAATATTAAGACTTAACTGTAATTCATCCAGCTGGTGGGAAAACCCTTTAAATCTGCAACCCATCTTTCACTTGGAAAAGCAAATAGTCCTTGAGAAGAGAACCAGAAAGATCATGTAGTCCCAGCAAACCAAACAACCTTCAGAAGTTCTGAAGATAACCATATGGCTCTCCCAAGATGCATTTCAGACTGAGTGACACCAAGAGGCACATGACATGAACTGCACTATACCGCACTGTATATACAAGGAAATGCCTGCTCAGCACAACTGCCGAGTTACAGAAGCAGAAAACCTGGAATCCTTATTACAGAACTGTGCCGCTTCAGGTCTTATTTCTTCTTCTTCCTCTTCTTAGGAGGCTCCTGATCAGAGCTGCTGGTGCTGCTGGAGGAATCGGAATCGGAAGCAGAACTGCTGGACGTGGACGAACTGGAGCTGTCCTCACTGTCGCTGCTGCTGTCGCTGTCCGAGGACGAGCTGGAGGACGAGTCGCTATCGGATGAGGATTCACTGGATGAACTGCTTGAATCACTGCTGCTCGAGCTACTCGATTCTTTTGACCTGTCGCAAAAGAAAAAAAGACTGCACTTTCACATCGAAATTGTGTAAGAGGAAGCAAGACGTTAGCACACACACAAACGACATAAAACTTATTTTGTATTCCCAGGTTCTTCATTCAAGAGTACCTGCTGTATAAGTGCTTATTATCATTTCTTCAGATTGAGTATTTGCTTAGCAGATGCCCACAGCCTCATGGATTATTTTATTTGCGTAGATATACTGTACTGTATACTGTAAAGCTGGTATGAAAATGACATTTAGCAAATGCGTTCATGCAAGAGACTTCAGCGCAAACAACATAAATAATGGCAGAGGCCTCCTGAGTGGATCAAACTGTAAAGTTCTGATTCAAGCACATTCAAGGTGAGCTGTGTAGGGAGACTGTGAGTGCTGCATTTCACTTGCAGATTTAGTCAAACCCTTCTGATAGATACATACTTTATTGATCCCATGAGGGACCAATATAAGGGGCTATATGATAAAAAACTGTAAACGCAACTGATTATTACTAAATAAATGATTAAATTGAGGGTGGCATGGTGATGCAGTGGTTAGCATTTCTGCCTTACAGTGCTGGAGCCCTGAGTTCAATTCCAGACCCAAGGTGTTAACTGTGTGGACCTTGGATGTTCTTTACACAATTGCCTGGGTTTGCTCTGGGTGCTCCAGGTTCTCCCCACAGTCCAAAGATTAACTTAGTTGGCTTCTGGAAAAACTGGCACTGGTGTGAGTGTGTGCATGTTTGTGACTGGACATCCAGGGTGTATCCTGCCTTGTGTCCAATGCTTGCTGGAATAGCTGCAGTCTGGATCTAGCTCCCCCATGACTCTAAATTGGAATAAGTGGTCAGAAAATGGATGACTGAACCAAATATGGAACTTTTCCAACTTACAAATAACTCTCAGCAAACACAGCAAACCCTAAGACCTCTCGGGAGGATTGCAAGTTTGCTGTGCTTATGGCAAGGAATGTGCCTCGCCTCCAAATGACACTGAACCTAAGAGAATGGGTCTGTGTTGTCTGTTGTGTGTTGAAAGATGAGTTGCTCTAAGGTCAGCAGGTCATTCTTTCCTGTTTGACGTCATGGAGCTCTCAGCTGTAAGCTGAAATGTGAAAAACACACTCCTGGATTTTTTTAAAATGATTGCTATTGCAGAATCACTTCTAACTCATACACACCTTGTCCAAAAAAGAACTCCAAAACTACATTTGAGAGTGCATGAAAGTTAAAAAAATTCCAAATACCTTTTCTTCTTTACCTTCTTTTCACAAGAGCCCTCTGTGCCTGATCTAGAAAAAATAAATTATAGAACAGCTAAATGACTCCTTAAAGTTTCTTTGTTTGCACCTATAAAATACAGCTAATATTTGTCAAGCTCATAAGCATCTAAATCACTGGTTTTTAGTCCTTGATACCCATGTCTTCCGGTTTTCATTGAAAAACAGCTCTTCAACACTAGTGGTGAGTCATACTTTTAATTGATGTGCTGGTTTAGAATTTTTTTTAAAATACCCTGTATCAGCAATATTTTTTCCAATCTAAAGTAACAGAACTATAAGTGTTTGAGGTGGGTAGCTGCATCAGCATGCGTAGTCTGCAAAGGAACAAGTAATAGGTTTATTCTATGCTGAAAAGAGAAGAGAGAAACCTCAACGTTTCAGCTGTGGAGCCTTCTTCAGGTGTGAGCCTTCTTTACACCTGAGGAAGGCTCCACAGCCGAAATGTTGAGCTTTCTCTCTTCTCTTTTCAGCATAGAATAAATTACTTGTTCCTTAACGGAACTATATGCCGTTTCCACTCAACTTGCCTATATGATCAAGTTATAAATGATAAACAAGCACAGGTAGGAATTTATCAAACATTAATAACTACTGACCTAAACAAACCCCACGGCAACACTGTGTTGCCCTAGCAAAATACCACTCAAGAATTTTCAAGGTCATAACCTGGGCTACTTAAACCTTCTGTTCAATTTAAATGGTGAAATAACTTCTCACATCTCCATCTAATGAGCTGTATAATGAGGCTGCTGGTGCATAATGGTGGCCATGCCTCACACAAGTGGGTGCTATATTTCATTGGTGGATGAAGTGGGTCCCTTCATATATATAAGTAACTCTGGGATTTAAAAAGCTATATACATGCAATTGATTATTATTAAATAAAGAATTCAATGGAAACTTTTTTAAACATGTATATATATATAATTATTTTAAAACACACCAGAAGCCTTTAGATGGCACTACTAGTTATTTTTTAAAATAATACCACATTAAATATGATCAAAACAGGGGTGAATGTTCTGGGATTTGACAGAGGTGAAAAGCACTAATTACAGTGTTTAAAACAGTAGCTAATCTTAAATATATACAGATCCACAATACACGTCAGAGTGACCAGTGAATAAACTAAGGCAAAAACAACATAAAGCAAGTTAAGATTCAGACACTAGGAATTTGAAAATCTCTCCCATGCTCTTAAACTGTACTGTGGACCACAGGGCAAACTTTAAAACAACCATGTAAATATCCCTACAAGATTAGATGAACACCACAATGAGACACAACCTACTCATGCTATGAAGATAAATTTAAAAAAGAGAATATCCTTGGGCAAGTATTTGGTGTATTAAGCTATAACAAGTGCATCTTCCTTGTAGTCAGAACACTGCTTACAATTTGCAACAAAGTCTTAAAGAGATGAAAAACTATACTATTGTAAATTATGTAACAATGGAATTAAACATCAAATCTACAGGAAACACAAACATCATTCTGCTGTAATTGAGTGAGGATACTTTTATTAAAAATTATTCTATACTTTTTATATATTTTTGTGAGTCTGATCCTCTATGTTGTGCGACTTTTAAATGTATAATGCAAACAGTTGTATATAAAATACTACACAACAATATAAATGTATATTTATCTTATGTTGTTATTTTTAGACCATAGTTTTAAGCACAGGAATTGGAACTGAAAATATGCACTCAGAACCCAGAATCAGGGAGGCAGTCTTTGTAAGGAAAACAATACACAAAAGAAGCTGCATAGTATTCACGGGTTTTGGTCGCAAAAAATAAGATTTTGTTTAAGTGGGAGGTCCAAATTCTAACGTGTAACTCACTTTTAAAAATAACATAGCTTAATAAAAGCGTTCTCGGTTGTTTACAGTGTCTATAAATCTATTTGGAATTTACCTTGGTATGATGGCCAGTGTTTTTTCATTCTCTTTCAGCTTTTTCTTCATTTCCGTGGTCCTCGACGGCCTGTGGAGGTATTTTCGCTTCCCTGTGCATTCATATGTCCAGTGACCAAATTCCAAACACTTCTGACATCGAACATGTTGTTTGTTAGCTTCTCTGTGAGTGAAACACAAAAGCACGATGAAGACATCTACTGCACACAGCATCTCACGCGCCAAATCTCCACCGTATCGTTGTATATGACGATACATTACCACGTTCAAACTCAAAATAAGACATTGTAATTCCAGTATTACTTCCCGAGTTTCCCAATCCAAAATAAAAAAGGACATTATGCAGACTGATACGCAAACAGCACTCAATCTGAGTGATTCACAATACTACTCAAACACTGCTGACGGTTTTTTTTTTTTAAATCAAATAACATGGTATTTCTTGTCTTTATATATTTCACAATTGCGTCCTGTAACCCATATCATAAACTAATTGAGTTAACACTTTAAATCCATACACAGAAAGAATTTTAACAAAATATCAATAAATAATAAATATTTAACTTACGCCTGCCTGCGTGCAATTAATCTGTGCATGGGCGTCGCCATCTTGGATCTTCGGTGCGGAAGTGGAACATGGGAAATGATTAGTCCTCCCAGCTCCTCAAGCTGGGAGGACTTTACAGTACTTTTTATGCAGTACTGAAAACTACTGTTAGTTTTCAATAGTACCCGTTTTTGATGTACACTTTCACTCGACGTGTTTCAGAAGTATAATAAATGCTCACTGATAGGCAAGATGTAGATTACTATTGAATCATATTTGTCAAACATATCACATTTATTGACTGTTGTATCTCAAGAAGTTCAAACTACCAACTATGGATCATGTCTGAAACTGAAAATTACAGTTTCACTGTATTATACAATAGTCCTTGTTCAGATCTAAGGACTAGCTCATCCTTTAATTTAATCTTCTAAATCTACTGATATCTCTATTGCTGAGCCTGGTCATCACTGAGAAAACAGGTTACTACTGTAGGTGGCTTTTTAGAATCCTCACACTTTTATAGCACTTTTCTGGACACTTCACTCAAAGTACTTTAAAGATAATGAGGACTCCCCTCCTCCACCACCACCGCCAATGTGTAGCACCTGGATGATGCGACGTCACACATCAGCTATCAGTGGGGAGAAGAACGGAATAGTAAAGCTTTTCTATTAGAATTAGTAAACATAATTCATAAATGGGGATTATTAGGAGGCCATGATTGATAAAATTTGACCAGGACAACAAGGCCCCTACTCTTTTCAAGAAATGTCCTGGGATATTTTAATAACCATGGAGAGTCAAGACCTCAGTTTTACATCTCATCAGAAGGACAGAACCCTTTTTACTGTAACATTTCCCCACCAATATGCTGGGACATTACAATCCATACAAACTACAGTGTACGCACTCTCTAGTGGCCCCCTTAACATCTCTTAACAGCAGCAACCTTAACTGTCCAGGAGGTCTCACATCCAGGTACTGACCAGGCTCACACCTACTTAGCTTCAGATGTTGCTAGTTGTGAGCTGCAGGGTGATATAGCTGCTGACCACTTGTAACATGTTGTGTAAAGCCAGCCTTTTGAATTAGTTTAAACCAAGGATAGCTAGTATTGCTCATCCCAAATTTGTAAAGTGTGTAACTGAACAGTGGTTATGTTGACCTACAGTTCTGTTATATCAACGATAATGACTGTAGTGCAATTTGTTTAGCCGTCACCTTACACAATTTACACAATCACTGGTCATCTATAGTGAAATAATACACGATCAACAGAATAGGGGTTTAATCTTCGGATTCCAGGGGGTTGTAGGACGATGATGTATCCTTCTGCTAACTTCTTAAGTCAAACTGAGCCAATAAATGGCCTGGCTGCAGCTGTATAAATGAATCCTGTTCAGGTCGACATTGCAAGTCAGAATTCATTGACTATTCCTATAGCTGCTTAAACAGATGCTTTAAAATAAAATAGAGGTGAAATCAAAATTGAACGATGCAAATTACATAATATAATATAATATTTTATATTTCCACAGAGGGGATGGACTGGGGTCTTTGTGGAGAACGATTTCTTCAAAACCGCCAGGAACAAACACGGGAGAAAATACTTCGAAAACGCCCCTCTCCCCCCTGTCCCTGTCCCTGAATTTGAAAGAATTTCTTTCTCATACAGAAGAGTCCAGAGCAGTCTAGAAAGATCTTAAACCTCGCGAGAAGACGGGTGCGGCGAGATTTTGGAGGTGAAACTGAGTGAGCAGCCGGCTTCTCCGTCCGCAGCGAGACCCTTTCATCCAGCGGCAGTGCGGAGAATGATTTAGCAAAGGAAGAAGGAAAACTTTTATAGATCCGTATTTACTCCACTCTTCTGGCTTTTTTTTTTGTACTCTCGCATTTAGTTTTGAAACTCCGATTCGACATCAATTTTGAAATACGATCCTTTCTTCTGAATAGTTATTTTGTAAAAAAAAAATAGCCTAGAAAGAAAAGATGTCAGTGGTCGGTTTTGATGTCGGTTTCCAGTCCTGCTATGTTGCAGTAGCCCGAGCAGGAGGGATTGAGACTGTCGCCAACGAGTACAGCGACCGCTGCACACCGTGAGTATGGAAATCTGTGCCTTTTCATTTATTTCTGTCATTAATAGACGCGTTTAATTCCCAGACAGCGAGCACAGCCAAGCAAGGCTTTGAGTTGTGAGGCCTTGCGTCATTGTACAGACAGCACACGTGAGTAGAGGTCCATAACGAGCTGCTCCGGCTTTCATGTGGACGTTTATGGCTGTCTCTTTTTGGCTTCCCTCGAGAAACTCGCCTGCTTTTGTTTTCCCACTTCAGACGTTATGGTTTAGGGTCAGTTGAGCTATGAATCGATCAGTTTTGCCTGCTATGAAAACCGGTGAACGGGTAACTAGCGGATGTTGTCACCTGCGGCCTGTGTCGTAAAGTAGGTACAGTCAAGGAATATTCCAGCAATAAGCGCTCGAAACGGACGGCTGAACCATTTAAACCAGAAACGCGTCTTTTTAGTTTTTTTTTTAATGTAAGAAAACGGCGTTCTCATTTAAAGTTGAGCAATTTCTCTTACTCCGCTGTTCTGGTTTCATTTGTATCGTTTCATTGAGATGTGCCTTTTCATTAGGGAGTGTCGTCTTGTTAAAGCTGATTAAAAGGAAGATGTGTCTCGCAGGTTTCCATAGACTGGAGTCAGTTGATATTCTTGGACGTTGAATTTCTGTCTGTTGTGATATTGTGGTGTCAACTGAGGCACTTAACTACTGCTTCTAGATCATAGCTAATGTTCTTATAAAGATAATCCACGCCGAGGCATTACCCTTAGAGGAAAATGGATGCTGCCTTAATTGAACAGACGGTTATATTGCCTTTTGAGCTGCACACAAAATGTCCTAATTTGTGCTCCTAATATGATGGAATTAATTGCATTTATAAATGTCAATTTAAAAAAAAGCATTGCCTTTTGTATGTAGGTGTTCAAAGATTATGATGATATAAGACATGTAATTTTTTGTAGTGTCTTCATTCTTTACAGTGGCAAAGTATCAGGCTCAGTATTGAGTGAAGTGAACATCATCAGTGAAATAGGGAAAACCCTGATTGGATTGGATGCTTATTTGCATCATTATAGCGTCTTCTGGAAAAGATCACTGTGACTCTGGTCTCTTATAGTGAAATGTTTCATGCTGCATCAGTGTCGAGAATCTATCATCTGTATTCACCTGTATAATAATGGGTTGAAGATCATGTTTGACAGCAGGACTGCTTGAAGGCTTTGTAAAAGGAATTCAAGTTGGAAGCTGTGACAACATGCATAGGCAGCACAACATTTTGGCTGTGGAACCTCCTTCCTTCCTTTTCCGTATAAAAGGAAACTGAGAAATAAACTGCTGATAAAGTAATGAAAGCTTCACTTCCCTCTTTTTTAGGTCATGTGTGTCCTTTGGACCAAGAAATCGTTCAATTGGTGCTGCTGCTAAAAGCCAGGTAAGACTGCTGATGTTTCCTACAGTGGGTTGGTGTGACAATATTTAATGTAAATTTGTACCCACCTGTTTACTAGCCTTCTGTTAGTATGTAAAAGTAAAGCCATAATTTGCCATATGTAATAATGAGTTCAGATTTGTCCAAAAAGTACAATGTACGCATCTGGACCTCTTTAAAAGTACCTCAGCTCCTGCATTTCATACATTGTTTATTGTAATTGTGTTTGTGGTATGCAATCAGTCTGCTTAGAACACGATTATATATCATTTTAAAAATATGTTGCACAGAATATTGATAAATGTGGTGATGTATGATGTAGACAACACATTTTGTTAATTATTAATAGTAGAATGATTTGGAGCTAGTTGGTGTATTTACTTTAGAAATGAATGCAGTCAACATTATCACATTGTTTTCTCCTGTAGCTCGTCACAAATGCAACGAATACAGTGCAGGGCTTTAAAAGGTTTCATGGCAGAGCCTATTCTGACCCGTACATTCAGTCTTTAAAATCCAGCCTGGCCTATGAACTTGCCCAAATGCCAACAGGAACAACTGGCATCAAGGTAAGAATGATCCAGATATGCTGAACATCTCTGAAATGAATTTAAATTGTAAATGATAGGATTACCCTGATAATTATCTACTCAGATTTTTTAGAACAAATTCTGTGTAAGTACAAGTATTCCCTGAATGCTCATGTAAAAGAGTTACAATTTTTTATTGACCTCCGTGATCTGTAAACACATTTTTTAATTTTCTAGCAGTGATTTGACATTAAACTGATGTAGTACAAAAGTGTTTTGATAACTGAAATTTTCCTATGCTAGAATGTCATGAGCATTTAATGTTTCAAGAATAATGCTGACTAGCCTTTTTTAGAACAGATAAAAATATTAACAACCAGGCTTTGTGGTGTATCTTGAATTTCTTCATATAGGTGATGTATATGGAGGAGGAGAGGATTTTCAGTGTTGAACAAGTCGCTGGCATGCTGCTGACCAAACTAAAGGAGACGGCTGAAAGTGCACTGAAGAAACCTGTGGTAGACTGCGTCATCTCTGTACGTAGTTTTATACTGAGAAAGCTCTTACACATTGCACTTTGCAAAACATGCTCATTGCAAAATGTACAGATTTCAGACTGACCTTTATAGCAGACCTTTACAGGGAACTGCCTTTTTTTTTTAATTCTTGCGTTTGCCCATAATTCTCATTAGTTTACAGCAATCAGTAAAATATCTGATGTGAGCTGTTTATCTCTGCATTTTAAGTAGTTTTTTTCAGCAGTGGAAATGGACAGTTCTTAATAGGGTTAAATACAATTTTGATTAATGCTAGTTGTAGAATTGTAGTCAAAACTCTTAGCTGTCTGTTGTATTGCTTAAGTAACATTTTATAACTACAATTTGACCCATTCTCTCCTGTTTGAAATGTGACTTTTCGAAATATATCTCCTTCCTGAGGATCAACCAGCCTGCACACATTTTCAGGGAACATGACCTATATAGCGAATAGTAACTCTATGATGATCTTCCATTCTGTTGATCATATTTAAGAGCAGTGTATATGTAGAATCAAACACGCCTTTTGTTGCTGGGGTTTTAGGGTTTTTCTGTGTTTCTAAACATGAATGTATCTAGCGATGCTTTTTGTCCCATCTCCCTAGGTACCTTGCTTCTACACAGATGCAGAGAGAAGGTCTGTAATAGATGCAGCACAGATTGCAGGTCTCAACTGTCTGCGACTCATGAATGAAACAACAGCTGGTAAGAGAGCAAGGCTGGAAAGTACTGATATTTGTTAGGAAAGGTATTTGAATAATTTTGCTGAGGTCTATATTTTTAAATTCCTTAAGCTGCATTTTCAGGACTTGGCACATTTTCTTCTACAGCATGCTTTGTGAGTGTCAGTGAGAAATTTAACATTTTGAAGTATTGTATATGGTACCAAAGCTCAGCAATCTAGTTAGAAATGGTAAATCTCATTGCATATTGTTGCTTGATATTTGTGCATTTTTACGTTTCCTGCAGTGCTTATGTTATACAACATGATGCTTTAATACCACATATTAATGTTGTTAATTACAGTGGCACTTGCATATGGAATTTATAAACAGGACCTTCCTGCCCCAGAGGAGAAGCCACGAATAGTAGTATTTGTTGATCTTGGCCATTCTGCATACCAGGTTTCAGTATGTGCCTTTAACAAAGGAAAGCTCAAGGTAATTTTATTTTTAAGACTGCTTATGTTTTCTAATTTGCATGAGGTCACAGGAGATTACTAGTTCGACACACCAAGAACCACCTCCCTTCTTTTAGGTGGCACATTAAGCCTCACCTCCATATTATAACTGTAGTTAAGTATTATGCTAAAGCTGAAAATAATATAAATATTTGGAAAAATATTGGGAGGACTCGGGTCATATTGGAATATGCACAGTAGCTGCCAGGGGTCAGCCAGCATTGTTTCATTATCTGTTACAGACATTTGCTTTGTAGCAATGACTGTGAACACCTGTATGCTAAGATGAATAGCCTGAACTGACGTTACCATGTCTTCTATGGTTTTGCACAGTATGCATTGGATTAAGTGTTCTGTGACAATCCGCACATAGGGAGCAGTATAACATGAGGAAAGAGCAAGCCTCTAAATTGTCACAATCAGGAACAGAACAGTAACAACGAAGTCAGTATTGTAGTTTTCTTTAATATGAATTGTGGTCTAAAGTTAGTGGTTTCTCTTACGTTTAGGGTATTAGTTCGGCTTTTGGGCATCGCAAATCATTTCCGGAGAAAGCATGCCAGTATGCGTTGTAATTGGAAATGCAACAGGATGTTGCATCAAGTTCTGCACACCAGCATGCATGTAATATAGTGGGGTAGAGCTTTAATAAGTGTTTATTAAGGTGGACACTTATCTTAAATATCCCCAAAAAGATAAAGCATGGGTTTTCTTTTCATTGTTTCATGGTTTTATTTTCATTTTCATAGTACAGAATTTAGTTTTGTCATTGATAAGAATATGCACACAACACCCTAAAAATAATTGATTTTTCAATGTCCCGTTTTTTTCCAACTTTTTAGGTTCTTGCAACAGCTTTTGATGTGAATTTGGGTGGCAAGGATTTTGATGAGATTTTGGTGAATTATTTCTGTGAAGAATTTGCCAAAAAATACAAGTTAGATGTTAAATCCAAGACCAGAGCGCTATTGAGGCTGTACCAGGAGTGTGAGAAACTTAAGAAGCTGATGAGTGCCAATTCTTCAGACCTGCCTATGAACATTGAGTGTTTCATGAATGATATTGATGTGTCTGGAAAAATGAACAGGTAGTGTTTTTGAGTATATTCTTAATATACTTAAACAATATGGAGTATAGTAACACTTTTTCTCAGATTATATAATTCAGTACTTGTTTATTAGTAAAAATCTAAATTACTGTGAGTCTGTAAAAGTAAAATGCAGCATATGCCATCATTTAATAGGATTTCTATTAATATCTCATTACTGCACTTATGTTTTCAGAGGTGCGATGGAGGAGATGTGTGCTGGACTTTTGGCTCGAGTGGAACAACCTCTCCGCAGTGTGCTGGAACAAGCCAGTGAGTGAAAATATATTTCAGTACATAGTGGAATGGAGCAGGAAGTGAAAAGTAACTGGGTGTTTCAAACTATTTTGTTTTAAAAAAAATACATTTTCTACTACCTTAGGATTGAAGAAAGAGGACATCTATGCTGTTGAGATTGTGGGGGGTGCGGCCAGGATCCCTGCCATCAAAGAGAGAATCAGCAAGTTCTTTGGTAAAGAGCTTAGCACCACTTTAAATGCAGATGAGGCTGTTGCACGAGGCTGTGCCCTGCAGGTAAGTTTTTGTACTTTATGGTTTATAATGACTGTAAAGTTATGTAATCAGTGTTACATCCATTACTTACAAAATAAAATGTGATTTGAGTATGATATGGGTTGTTATTCACAATTTTCAGCACAGCTGCAGAAGAACAAAGCATGACTTCACTCTAAAAACAGCATCCTTGTGGTCTCCACATTACTTGTATTTATGCTATTCATCCACATAAGCAACCCAACAACTACAGTACTTGCTCTTTACACAACTAACATTACTTTCAGTAACCGGAAAATTTAATTATGGAACCTATGCAAGGTTTTACATGTATACATTTTTTATGTGTCTAGTCGGATTTAACCAGGGCAGAAGGTATAATGTTTGTAGGCTATACCTCTTTTAAGCCGTGATCATCATAGCCACTACTGTTAAAGGAAGCAAATATGTTTCTTATAGACTATTATAAGCAGTATTCATAATAATGAAATTAAATTACAGTGAGGTAAATTACTGTAATAATGGTGAGGAGCATCTACTTCAGACATCTCTAATCTGAATTGCCACTCAAGGTATTAATATTTACACAAGACTTTAAGAAGCATCACTGACAGCACTGGTTTGAATTGCAGTGTGAAAGGACTTTCTAAGTGGCTTAACAAGCAGCACGGCTTGTTGCGAGCACAGATGTCTTAAAATTCTGAATGAGCAGTTTTCCATGCAAGAAGTCTATTAAGTGGTGACTTTTCTCCACAGTGTGCTATCTTGTCTCCTGCATTCAAAGTGCGAGAGTTTTCTATTACGGATTTGGTTCCTTTTCCAATTTCCTTGAAGTGGAACTCTGCAGCAGAGGAAGGAATAAGGTAAATATCCCATTTCATTTTTCTTAGTATTTTTTAAAAAACATTATCAGTTCTTCCGAAATTAAATTGCACAAAATTTGTTTTTTTTACTTTAGTGACTGCGAAGTTTTTCCAAAGAATCATGCAGCTCCCTTCTCCAAAGTGCTAACCTTCTACCGCAAAGAGCCATTTTCTCTGGAAGCTTACTACAACAATCTTAAAGAACTACCATACCCAGATCCCACTATAGGTGAGAGAATCTCTATCCCCTTCAAAATATATGCCATTTTATTGTCATTGAATTTTATATTAAAACATTACCTGCGACGGAGAGGCATCCTGTACACTGCCTTTAACTCATTGCTTGCCGGGATAGGCTTTATCTCCCCTGAAAGTCTGAATTAGATGAAGTGGTTAGAAAATTGATTAATAGAATAAAAAAATATAATCAAGCACTCAGTTGATTGGCCCACATTGACATTGTGTGCTTTCCCTACAGGTCAATTTGTGGTACAGAAAGTGGTTCCCCAGGTTTCTGGTGAGAGCTCAAAAGTTAAAGTGAAGGTTAGAGTGAACATCCATGGAGTTTTTAGTGTATCCAGTGCCTCTCTAGTGGAGATACAGAAGTCTGAAGAGGGGGAAGAGCCAATGGAAACTGAGCAACTAGTAAAGGAGGAAGAGGTAGTAAACTTCTCTATGAATTCTATTGCCAATCAGTACTTAAAGCTGTTTCACCTAGCACCTGGTTTACAATACAAAGCTAAAAGTAAATTTTACTGAATGATTATAATTGCACAAACAGGAAAAGTCAATATACAAAGAGCCCCTAGAAACTGATTAAAAGAGGGCTTGTATTGACAATTAAATGTTAATGATCTTCAATTATGCATGCCCCTTTTTAAGTGATATACAGATTTGTGGTGGTTTTTCAAACTACTTTCTTTTCTCTAAACGTTTTTACTGTTACCGTTGGACAGCAGTAAAATGTAGACATACACTTGAATATTTATGAATGCTTTTCTGTATACATAGGATAGAAACTTTCCAGTGTTTTATTTAAAGAAAATGAGTAAATGATGAAGTATTTTATACATTTCTTTTCTTTAGAGTAAAATGCACGTTGACCAGGAAGATCAGAAAGCCCAGGGTGACAACCAGCAGAAGGAAAATGCAGAAAAAAAGAATGATGCAGATGAAATGGAGGTAAGTGAATACTAACTTTGTAATTTCACTGTGAACAGGTTCATTTCTGTTAGTTGTGTGATATAACCAGAAGATCAAATGTTTAATCTTTTTTTAAAAAGCTCACTTTTATGTTTCTTTTGCTGGTTATTAAACAGAAATATTTGCTTTTATATAGATTTATTAATTTTGTAAAGTACATCAAATTCAAAAATGTTTTCATTTCAGACTTCACCAGAAGATGCCAAACAGGATAAGAAGACTGATCAGCCTCCACAGGCTAAAAAGCCTAAGGTTAAAACAAAGACTGTGGACCTTCCCATTGAAAACCAACTGCAGTGGCAACTGGCCAATGATATGCTTAACCTGTTTGTTGAAAATGAGGTAATTGCTTAATAATTGGCTAACCGAGTACATTTTTGTTTTTATTCTTTCTCTTATGGCCTTAAAGCCAGGGTTAGAATTTAAAAACATTTTGTAAATAGCTTAAACAAGTTTGCAAAAAACGTTCTGCATGAAAGTAAAAGCGGACAGCATCGTTTGGGGTCCTCTATTTGAAAGGAAATTGTTGCAGTTGTTTCCCGAAAGTGTCCTGTATAAATGGAGCTCTTTGACAAGCACTGTAAATGCTGCCAGTTTAAACCTTGTGTTGGTATGTAGTAAAGTTGGGAAGGTGAACCTTGAAGATATGGCCTCCAGCTATAATTAAGCTTAGTGTTGCTTTAAAAGAGTTTAGAAACAATAGTTTAAATGAAAATACAACACCAATATTGTACCTCTTACCTTACACAAATGTGGTTTATTTATCTTTCCTTACTTTTGAATTGCTTCTACCCTGGTCATGGTCGTTTGCAGAGTGTTATAGCATTGTCTTTTTCATAGGGAAAGATGATCATGCAGGATAAACTTGAGAAGGAGCGCAATGATGCCAAAAACTGTGTGGAGGAGTATGTGTATGAAATGAGAGAGAAGCTGCATGGGGTCCTGGAGAAGTTTGTCAGTGAGGCTGTAAGTATATTTGTCATTTCATTGACATTAGTTTGAATTAATTCTGACAAGTGCCAGTTTATGGACATTAGTCACTGGACACATTTGTATAATTATTGTGCTGGTTTAATATAACTAGTACTTTAAATGTTGACACTACAGGGCTTTTCCATATCAGTTGTGGATGCTGGTATGATAGGTGTCTAGTTATAAGTTTTATTTAGGATTTTTTACTTTTTTTAAACTTTTTAGAATTGAAAATTATTTATATTGTGTATATAAATGCCTTTGGGCAGATAGTCTCCTTGATTGAGCTGTTCATTTTTTCATCTGTTACAAGCCCTGAAGTAATGTACTTCGCTGTTTAAAGGAGAAGTAGTTTGCTCATTCTTATTGCAGCACACCTGCAGGGATCCAGGATTGTATAGGAGTTACTCTCTTGTTTAAAGCCAAGAGTTCCTTGGCTAACTAATCCCAACAGTACCCAGGTAACCAGTTGTGTATTGCTGCTTGGGCAGTTCTAGGCACAGTTGGCTAATGGGAGCAGCCAGACTTGAACTGCAGATTTTGTAATAATTCGAAAGAATATTATGAATTAGAAACTATCTTATTAGTGTTGCAAAAGGGTTTAATAATTAACATTTGTTCCCCATTGACAAATTATTTGAATTTATAGGACCGAGATGTTTTCTCATTGAAACTTGAAGACACAGAAAACTGGCTATATGAGGATGGAGAGGACCAACCTAAACAAGTGTACATTGATAAACTGTCTGAACTTAAGGTAACGTGGCCTCCATTAATACTGCTATCTAGTGAAGGACTATGTGTCTAAGAAATTGTCTAACTCCAACAAATTGTTTTCCCCCACCCACAGAAACTTGGTCAGCCTATCCAGGAAAGATACCTCGAAGCTGAAGAGAGACCAAAAGCATTTGAAGAGCTTGGAAAACAAATCCAGCAGTACATGAAGATAGTTGAAGCCTTCAAATCAAAGGTAAGGAGTTATTGTCTTGCCTACACTTTAATTAAAGTGTTTGGAGATTTAAAAGTACATTGGCTCACTTGTGCCAAATTTAATTTTTGAAAACTAAAGACTGCATCTGCATGTCTTTGTATCTGAATACACAAAATCATTTTATGTAAAGGAAAGTTCAAGTGTTTGTACACTTTTAGGCACAAAGCACTCAAATTTCAGCCTTTTGACTGAAAAAAAAACTTTTCTAATAAATATACCGTTAAATCTCTAGGCCATCCGTACTGCACATTCTTACACAGAAAAGTAAGCTTAAATGTCACTGAATTCAAGTGAGTTCTGTAAATTCTTACAGGAAAGTTTAGCAATAGATGTGCTTTTCAGGGCTACAGTGATTTAAAAGAGAACTTTGGAATGTGAGTTTGTTCAAGACAAAAATATTTGGACCTGTGGTGATGTGGGGGAAAAGCATATATATACGGCTTGTGGACTACATGTAAATTAAAGAGATTGTGGTTTATAATTGATAATGCTGTAATAGAAAGTTGAATACAGACATGTCTGCAATTCTGTAGGTTAAGGGAGACTTAATTTTTTTTAAATTCCAGGATGAGCAATATGAGCATTTGGATGCAACTGAAATGGAGAACGTCGATAAGATGGTAAATGAAGCCATGATTTGGATGAACAGCAAAATGAATCAGCAGAGTAAACAGAGCCTTACATTGGAACCCATCATCAGAGTGAAAGAAATTCAGTCAAAAACAAAGGTAAAAGACGTGAATTTGTGAATACTAAAATGGGCAGTAAAAAGCAAGTATAGTAAATATCAACAGTCTAGTTCAATAACAATCAGACTGGAAGTAAACTGAGATTAGAATTCAGTTTTAATTTAATGTTTTCCTAAAAATGTTTTGTGAAATGAGTTGTACATTTTTTGTATGTATTGATTAATTTATGTCTTGGGAAGCGCGTGGGCCTTGAAAAATGAACATTTCTTCCTCCCTTTGCTGCCAGTGTAATGCATCTTGTTAAATGAAATGGAATGGATCCACAACTTAAATTAGAAGAAGTATTATCGTCTTAGATCTCTGAATTTCTCCAATTTTAGTTTGGGGGTTATTTATACTTCAAGCCTTCAAGTCAAGTCTTTGTAATTTGTAAAATTGTGACTATTGGAATTTAGTGCTATTTAGTTTTTTATTTTGCTCTGTGCCCTTACCTCCTAACTGTATATTTTAATTTCTTCCTAGGAGCTTACTTTGGCTTGCAATCCCATTGTCTCAAAGCCCAAACCGAAAGTAGAGCCACCGAAAGAGGAGCAGAAGGCAGCAGAACAGAATGGCCCAGTAAATGGACAGGAAAACACAGACGCACAGCAGCCTTCCAGCACTGAGAAAGCAGCTGAAAGTACAGGCCAGTCCAACGCTGACTCCACAGACCAAAAGCTGCCTGAGATGGACATTGACTAACAAGCTGCTGCATCTTCCAAGTGCTACCAACATCTGAAATGTTATGATAGCCTTTTGAGAATTGTTATTTAGATGGTCTAACTTACCTTAGTCATATGCCAACATGGCATTTTTCATTAAAAGAATCAGTCCATATATTGGTTACGTAGGAGCAAGTCACAAACATGATGTAATTGAGAACTGCGTTCTACATGGTCTAGCAATTTATGGGTTGTATTCAGTGTTTCAATTTATAGTTCTTATTTTTTTAAATATTCAATTATTATTTCTGATTTTCATTGCCACTATTTTGGAAATATCTGTGCAAAACCATGAGCCCTGAAATAAAAAATACACTGTTTTTTTTTGTATTCAAATGTGTTTTTTTTTCCATAAAAAAGACTGGCAACTGGCTTCATAATGTTTAAGAGGTTATACAGGTATTTAATATAAATATGTGAATTAATCATTTGTTCTGTAAATCAAAATAATTGAGAATAAAACTGTAATTGGTTCAATTTTGTATTTTGCAATTTGTTTTGGATTTGTTCTCTGCGGGATTTTCTGCAGACATCTCTGTTGGTACAGGTAAAAGATTAATTTGAGACCGTCCCAGAGTAATGTATGGATCTGGTAATAAAATAGGATATGAAAAAACAACATTGTTAAACTTCCAACTAGTGGCATGGAATGAACTTGTTGATTTTGTATACAGTACTTATACAATTATGATGCATTGAACAACAGAGTTGTATGGTATGTAAATGTGTTCTCTTGTTATGGTTAAAGCTGAACTATTTCTCTAAACCTGATAATACATTTTTTTTTAAATCTTCATTGATTAGTGGGCTCTATTTCGTAACCTTTCATCAATGTCTCCTAAATCACAATCTGATGTGTACACTAAAAGGATTTTTTTTTTCAAATTGGATATTGCGGATAAGGAATCTGCCAGTAATGTGAAATCTAGAGAGATCCCGTCGGTTATTGAAGTCCTCCAGTGGTGGTGGAATTATTTTCTGTAAAATTGTTTGCACTGTCTCTGTTGTAAAGGCACATCACAACTGGCCTGATGAAACATTATATGCTGGTGTCTATTTTTATTCTTGATACTTCCAATTTGCTATTATCACTGCTTTTAATTTTAGAGAAGTGAAATAAAAAAATTCTTCACCATGTTGTATTTGGTAATACTTTTTAAATGTGCTGCAGTCATGTAAGGAAAATATTTCACATTAGGAATGTTTTTCAAGGTAGGTCCTTGATTATTGTCTTACATTATGAACATGTATTTTATCTTTGTGCAATGTTATGAGAGGTGAGACCAAGTATTTTTCTATATATATATACTTTATATAGAACTTTAGGATCTAAATTGAAGATGGAAGGCTTTCTAATCCATGAAATCTCAATTTTATGTCCACTTCAGAGCTTGTCAATGGGAATTGGATCACTTTTAATTTTTGTAAACAAGTTGCTGTGTTTGGTGGCAGACTCAAGTTTATTTTCCATTTCAGCAAGTCACATGCAGTTTACATGTCTGAACGCCAATTAATTACGGGACATTTTTTCAGTAATTTTTCAACTTGTACCTTACCATAATGAGGGTTATAATTCAGAGAAAGGGTGACATTGATGCCTTGAAACCTTTTTCATTCATGAAGTTTAGCAAATTGACATATATTCTCAATATAATATTGTTCTCTGAAGCGCTAGAGCCTAACTCGGCTATCAATGAGCACATGGCAGGATTCACTGTGGATGGGATACCAGTCCATTGCAGACACCAGGGGAAAGCTCTGCAGAAGCTTTTTGACCTACCGGCATGGTTGGACTGTGGGAGAAAACCAGAGCGAGAGGACGAAACCCTTGAGAAAACGGGGAGAACGTACGTACTCCCACAGATACCACCTCAGGAGTTGAACCAAGGTTCCCAGCACTGCACCACCATGCTTATAAACACACAAAAGATTATTAATAAACGAGTGAGCGGAAACATACATAACCGTGTAGCCTTCATGTTTAGTTCACATGCTGTACAACACTTACTGTACCTGCGCTAATACTAAACCGTCACGATGTCAACCCGTATGCTCCGTCTGCATTGTTGTTATTTTTGGATTGCGAGAACATGATGTTTTCGCAATTATTACGTTGCTATATACGTTGAACAAGGGTAAAATTTGTTTTTCAAGAAATTCTGACGGAATTTCACTAGGAAGACACTGTTGTGTATGAACATTTAGTGAGGTTTATAAAGTACCACGTTTGTCTTGTAGCTGTAGCACATGGTCTTGAGCCCGAGAGCAGCCCACATCGAGAAAAGCTCAAAGAAGACTGAAATGGCAAAGCCGCAAACATTAGGATGCTGAATGGTACTGTGTCCTTTAGGGGGCAGACCAGGTTTTGCGAGCTCTTGTTTGCGTGTTCAGCTCCTCCCTTGCTGCCCAACTGAACCCTGGTCCCGGTCTTCCTGTCTGTGGGGAAGAGTAAGGTAGGCGTGGAAAAAACAAATAATCGTATAAAAATAACGTGTATGTTTGTTATAATCCTTTAACTGTGTCTTAGAAATGCTACAGTTTCGGTCATGAATGTATGTTTCTTCAGATTTTATCTTTTATCGTTTCTAATCTAGGCTTTCAGTTTGTCACTTGCATAAACATGTCTATGCAGACCTGTTATATAGGCTACTTTTTATTCCCTAACTACTGCACTATATACTTCCGACTGCGGAATATATAGGTTCTTGAGGTGTGGTACTATATAACATAAAGTGAATCTGTGTTGTTCTCAGGAGAGTTTTTGTTGCTCCAGTTTCCAAACTGGGTCTTCCGAATATGGGTCTCGTGTCGAAGAAATGTCATGAAATGACGTCACAAAACCTTCACCCTGTGACAGTACTTCTCTACAGTTTAATAAAAGTAGTCTAAATATGAAAAAAGGGAAAAAAAGAAAGCGCTTTAGGGAGTTGTGTGTTGTTAACTAATTCTCACCATGTCATTTCTTATCCCACTAATTTAATTAAATGTAGGCTTGTGAGACTAGAACTGTGGGATTCGGGTTAAGCGCATAATGAGCGTGATGCATTTAACGACATAATTTCAAATGAAATCTCACTAAAGCAAATCATATGTCCTAATATGTAGCTACCTAGCTTTAGAAGGACAGAACCTTAGAGAACTGTGACCTGTGTGAAAGTCACTCTTTATTTAAAAGGGAGGTGTTAGCTGCACCACTTTTGTTTACAAGCAGTTACACCAGAGACAAATATGGTTTCTTCCTAGTCTCAGTCAACAGCTTCCATACCTGACATGCGTCTTGCCCTTATCTAAAACACTAGCAAAACTAAAATGTTGAAAGTGGGCAGGTAAGCACATTAGGGAAGAAGCACTGATGCGTTGATAACACTGTGTCAGTTTACTGAAATGGAGAAATGCAAAGTGTGCTGGTACGGAGGAGTGACCTGTTGTGGTGGGGGTGTCCGGTGCTTCTCAGGAATGTAAATGTCCTCGGAGGATTTGGAAGCGCAGGAGGATGAGCTGCTGGCTCTAGCGAGCATCTACAATGAGGAGGAGTTCCACAGGGCTGAGTCTGCCCAAGGAGGGGAGATACGCATCAACCTGGAGCTGCCACAAGATTTCCGAATATTCGCAAAAGGTGAGAGGCTCTTGTTCGTCCCTTAACTCTGTGCAAACCCACTGCCTCATTAAGGTCTTAAAATGCTTCGTTACATAACGAGTGTGGTTCTCGGAACATTGTGGCTTCTGAGCACACTACATGACAGCTGTCTTAATTTTGCCTCAGTGCTGCACTTATCTACATCTTTGGCCAGTTTTTCTTTCATTGAAGGACAGTTCAGACGCAGTGCATTTGGGGCTGCACAAGATTTTGTTGGTGAGTATGTCCAAACTCTCACCTGTGTTTCAGCCTCCTGAAAACAACAGTAACAAACTGTGGGACTCAGACAGTGACACAAAGGGGAGCCACCGATACCTCAGAGAGAGTATAGCCCACCAGCCTATTAATGCCCCAGTTAGCACTGGGCCAGCCTTGGTTCAGTTTTCTCTCAGGCTTGTTGCCAAAAGCAAATCGGCAGTACCTTATGGCCAGTACTCTCCCAGTCCTGAAATGCAAGCTGTCAGTGAGCTCAGTTTTAGCATTGCTTTCAATAACAACTTGGGAGGCCGAAGATTAAGCAATCTCTGCTTTTTATCTGAATTTAGTCCTGGTTTGCTGAGTTTCTGACATAGCCCAGACTAAACCACTTTAGGGTCATTATTGGCAATCAAGTTCTGGAGTCTTTTGAATTTGGAATTTGCATTACTGCAGATTTCCCATATGTGTAGTTGATGTGAATTGAAGTAATTTTTTATAGATCAGCACATAATCAGAAGTGGAGTTGATCTATTACTACAGGTATAATAGTTGCAAAAGCAAATTACATCTTTTCCTTTGTTTTTTTTCAGGGGAAGAACATATTAAATATCCAGTGTCTTTTCTACCGACTCTCATTTTGAACTTTGAACTTCCATCAGATTACCCTTCGAATTCTCCTCCAGTCTTCACTTTGAGCTCCAGATGGCTTTCAAGAGTCCAGGTTATTTATTGCTTTCTGTCTTGAGGAGTGGTAGTTGATGTTATTGAGCGTTCATTATGAAGTTAGGAGCATAGACTAATGGATATCAGTATTATTATTAACAAGGTTTTAGTATAGTAGTATTGGATGCATATTCTTTGTATTTAAATAAAAGCCCTTCTAAAGAAGTAGGTTTTGAATCTTGATTTGGAAGTGCTCAGGGAAGGTGCTCTAATGACAGAAGATGACAGATAGTAAAATTAGCTGAATTAAAGTTGAGAAGTGGGGAGTAGGACAATAGTTGCTCAGACAGGTACTGAGGTTCCAAGCCATGCAGAGCCTTGTAGGTGAGCATGAGGATTTTAAGTTGACAGGAAGCCTGATAGAAAGCCAGTGCAAGGACTCCAGGACAGGAGTAATGTGATCACTTGCATGTGAACTAGCCGGGGTTCTGGCTGCAGAATTCTGGACACACTAAAGTTCAAAATGTAGTGCAGAATGTGTCGAATCATGACAAGTGGGCTTTTGTCAATTTTCTTTTTAGAAAACAAACCACCTTTTACTTTATCACGAGTTTCTGAGCTATGAGGTGTTTTTGTTTTTCAGCTGGGGACTCTGTGCAAGCGCTTGGATGAGCTGTGGCAGGAGAATGTAGGGAGTGTGGTCCTCTTTTCTTGGATTCAGTTCCTCAAAGAAGACCTCTTTAGCTTCCTGAGCATCGAGTCCCCGTTGGAAGTCACGAATAGCAATAAAGGCAAGCAGGAGCGAAAGAAGGAAGGAGCTGGCAAAGACAATGCAGAAGACACAGAGAAGGACTCGAAAGAGCAGCCAGATCCCCGGGCTATCCAAGAAGTAGATCCCCGTAGCAACCTCCTTCTTCAGCTGTTGGATTTTGACGAGATGCAGCAACAGAAGGCCTTTGACAGCAAAATGTTCTGCTGCAACATCTGCTTCTCTGAGAAGATGGGATCTGAGTGCACGTGCTTTAAGGATTGCAAGCATGTGTACTGCAAAGAGTGCATGAGGGATTACTTCCAGATCCAGATCAGAGATGGCAATGTCCAGTGCCTTAACTGCCCAGAGCCTGAGTGCAGCTCTGTTGCCACACCTGCTCAGGTACCCTAGATTAATTTTACAGCAATCATCTAGATGTTTCATGAACAGGATTATGTGCAGCACCATGCAATATTAAAGATGTGTTTTACAGGTCAAGCATCTGGTTGGAGAAGAGCTTTTTGCTCGCTATGACCGTCTCCTGCTTCAATCCAGCCTGGACCTCATGGCAGATGTTATGTACTGCCCTAGAAAGATGTGTGAGACAGCTGTGTTGGTAGAGCCAGACACCACCATGGGTATCTGCCCCTCCTGCCAGTATGCCTTCTGTACCCTTTGTAAGATGGGCTATCATGGGCTGTCTCCATGCCGGGCCACAGCAGGTAAGGAAAAGCCCAGCAAAGCAATTCGGTATTCGGCAATCCTGGTATTCATCCATTGCCAACAAAAGCATTCTAAGGCATTGAACCTGATTCTGCAGACATGTTCCTCTCAGTCAGTCCACCAGTTTTAAACTGTAATTTATTTTATTTAGGAATTAAATAATAACAATATAACTAACTTTTTTACATTATTTTATGTACTGTAGGACCTTTGAAACTAACTTCTCAAAGAGAAAAAAGTAAACAAGGAGAAGAGGTCACAAAATTAGCCCAATTAAGAAGCATGGTTGAGAATGCAGAAGATGCAAGGGGCTGACACAGAACTGATTAAGTAAGATTCTTTCCTAAGAAGAGGGCTTTGAGTCTGGATCTTAGAGTACTCAGGGAAGGAGACTCTCTGATTTCCTTGGGTTTAGAATTCCAGAGCTCTGGGACAAGAGAAGGCCCTATTACCCACAGAGTGAAATCAAACTTTGACACGCATTTGTTAAAGATTTACCCACCTTAGTTATTAACGATGCTTTGCATGCAAAAATAAGCTCAGAGTTTCTCCCCCGGTTTCTCCTTCTCAGGGGAGAAACTCTGGGGGTTGATGCAGGGAATTTCATGGCAGATTTCCCAAAGTAGATGAAAGCCAGTTTTTTAGCTGTGTCTTCTCTAATTACGCCCTAATATGTTGATAATGTGAGCAACGTGAGTAACACATTTAAACTTCAGCGGAGCTGCGAGGCCTACGTGATGAGTATCTGAAGGCCAGCGAGGAGGAGAAGCAGTTTCTGGAGCAGCGCTTTGGGAAGAGAGTCATTCAGAAGGCGGTGGAGGAGTCGTTCAGCAGTGAATGGCTAGAAAAGAACTCCAAAGCCTGTCCACGCTGTAGCTCAAACATTCAGGTACTGTATATACAATGAATATATGTAGGTACCTGATACACAGATAGCAGGCATTAGTAGTAAATTATTACCCAGAAGAAAGAGAAAGTTGGTTTTGCATAATTTTGGTGGTGCAGTGGCTCTGTGGCTAAGGACCTGCGCCTGTGGCTGGAAGGTTGTTGGTTCGTTATCCTGCGGCTGGCAGAGGAATCCTACTCTGTTGGGTCCCCTGAGCCGTATACATGGCCTGTTTTGTGTCCCTCATGGAGAGCAAGTCGGTATGCGGAAAGACAAATTCCTAATACAAGAAATTGTATATGGGCAATAAAGTGATCTCTTATCTTAATTTGCACCAGTGCATGCATCTATTTTGAAAAGGAGTTTGTTAATTATGTGCCATCTGGATATACAGATGCAATAATGTGCACAACAAATTACTCCATTCTTAAATTTGATGTTATACAATTCCAGAGCTTTTTGTTGTTTTGTTCATTCGTCTATAATATGACAGTTCTTGATGGAATCTGCAATTGTATGGTTACATTTTGTAGTCTTATGTTGATGTCTCTCAAAGTAAGGCTAACCGATGGGGACTCTTGGTTTACAGAAGGTGGACGGCTGTAACAAGATGACCTGCACCAGCTGCAAGCAGTACTTCTGTTGGCTGTGTTTGGGCCCACTGTCAAGGGTCAATCCATATGGCCATTTCAACGATACCTCATCTCCCTGCTTTAATCAGTAAGCTCAACATTTTACTTCACATATAGTGATCATTTACTGTATACAAATCAAGCTGCTAACCTGCTGCAGGACATAATGTCATTCCAGTTTTAGGACAAAACGGAATGATCTAGACACACACACACACACACAAATTGTCACGTTGTATAAATTGTAAGCCTACTCCCTTAATAATGATAATAATAGTTGGTATTCATATAGCACCTTTCATGCAATATTTTGCAACTCAAAGTGCTTGTTACAAAAAATTTTGAAAAACTTTAACCAACTTAAAATAAGCGTCATTAACAAATTAAAAGAACCATGCACAAACAATATGAATAGTACTAGAGTTATATGAGAAAAAAGAGTAAAAAAAATAAGTTTTGAGCTGCCGTTTATATATATCCACAGAGCCAGCCTCTCTAATATTTTTAGGAATACTGTTCCAGAGTTTGGGTGCGTAGTAGCAAAAGGCTGCCTCTCCAGTGATCCTATGCTTAATTTTTGGAATAATCTCTTAAAAGTTGTGTGCTTGTTGCACTGGCCTTGATGGAATTTACAGTACGAACAGTTACATTCATTACTTGTTTGAGTTTCTTAGCCGGTAGGGCTTGTCTATGAATCAGACAAAGCAAATATGTGCGCAAAGCAAATAGAGCAACGGCCTGTACTTTCATGACTAGCCCACTGTGTTTGCCTGTTATAGCTCATGCACCGTCTGAGCAGATTCCCACACACTTGTTCCAGTCGATTTCATGCCCACATACATATGTGTCCAGCAAAACGAAAAGTTGATCGCCTTTGGTGCACTCGGGAAGATGATGACAGAACAAAAAATCCTCATTAATTTTCTCCCTCTTCAAGAAATATGGCGTAAATGAACATTTCACCATCTCCAGAGACATCAGTGGTCTCGGCAAGTTGTAAAGAAAAATACACACTAGATTTTATCTTAGTGATCTCTTCCTCTTCCACATCTCTCGCCATACGCCCAATGTGGTTAGACACAGTATCATTTGACACTGATATCATTGCTAGCTGCTCTGCAGCACTTTTCCCCACACATGCTTGAAACCGTTTCACGGTAAGAAAAAAGTCTCGCCTAACGTGTGTGGCTTCTCAGTTTTGGCAATCCAGTTAGCTGTAACGAAAGACGCCTGAAGTGGCTTCTGGTTCACGGTGGTGGCTTTTTGGAGGGTAGATCTTTGGCCTCTTCGCTCCTGTAGCTTTCGTTCCAAAAACGTATTTTCTCATTTTCTTCTGTTTTTTTTTCCTGTTTGGAGTTTTCTGCTGTGCGTTTCTCCACATTACCTTAAGCTCTCACTCATCCAGTGCCACCTATTAAAAACGCTCCATTGCTTGGCTAATCACAACTACCTTGCTCAAAAGAAAAAAGCGCTACAAATATAAATGCAATTGTGGCCCAACCAATAGAAATTCATGTAGCGCCCTCGCCGAGCGCACCGCAGAGCAGGCTGGGAGTTGTAGCCAGGGGATGGTCTGTGGGCTCCCAGAGTGATCACTAAGTCACCCTGCTAATGTAAATAATCTTAACCATGCAGGTGTATGCAATAGTTTGACCCTGACACTGTGTTCGTGCCCCGTTACACCCTAGTGTACGTGTTAAACTTTGGTTGATTCTGTTTCCCCTTGGGACTGTCACTACCCCCAGCTTAAGAACCCCAGATCTAGACAGCGACCTAAGAGCTTCAGGCGCTGTGCTTGGAGGCATGCAGCCCTCGTTAGGCATCACTGTTGCTCTTTGACCGCTGTTCCACAAATAATAAAATACTATACCATTGGACTTACTGTATTTCCAAAGCGAATCAAAGTTTGAAAAGTTCATCATTCTGAAAGATTGTAATTGTCAGTTGAAAGCAATTTCAGTTACACCTTTTAACTGCCCAGGAATGGAAGCACGTTAAGTTGTTTTAAATATAAGGGGGAAGCATTCCGACTCATGTATTTCCATGGGCTGACCTACACAAAGTTTTATCACCCTTTTTTCTAGGCTGTTCCAAGGAGTGGATATTGATGACGATGAGGAATTCTGGAGCGATGAAGAGGACTAACAGCGGAAAGTGTGGATGGGACACATGGCCCGTTACTAAGGAGCTGCTGTACACTGCACCTTATTTCAGAAATCTAGTCTGAGCTAGAGGGTTTTCCCCTGAAGAAGAATGTCGTTATTATCACAATGCAAGCTTATATTAGTGAGCACTTTCAGTTTTGTGCTGAGACTATATTCATTAAAAATCGATATGAGCCATTAGTTTTTTGGGATATGTACACTGAGCATCTTTATCACAGTATTTCTTTGCACAAAACACTAAAAACAGAAACAAAGTCCAGCATCTTAGTTTGGGAGACACCAAACTGTAGGTTCTGTCCTTTACCTGTGCACTCCTTTGTCCTGCACCTTCATAAGATCCAGTAAAAAGGGACAATCACCCCTTGTCCACAGTCCCTATGTGTGGCATTCCAGTAGCTAACAGTAGTACCAGTTTCTTGATGCTGTCCTGGCAGAAGGCTTTTTTACTGCTGCTTAATTACCATTTTACTCTGGGTTGGAGCTCATTATCACCAGTAGATCTTTGAGTTCAGTTTTTGGGGTGCAAGGAATAAAAAATCATGGGGACAAGATATGGGCTGTATGATAGAGGCACAGTCTGTAATGAACGATACCTGCTCATAAGTTTTATTGATAAATCGTTGAAACTGTTATAAGTTTGAGTACCTTATGTATTCCACCATGAAGTGGTTATGCAAAAGAAGAACAGAAGAGTGGGATGGATATTATTTTGTGATGTGTGCTTTACAATAGTTCTTAATGGTTTTCAAAGGTCACTTCATCAGATAGCTGACAGTAATGTACAGTTTCTTTAGACTAATGGTAACTGTGTGAAACATGTAAATAAAGCTTTTGGTTAAAACTTGAAAAAGCAGTTTTTTTCTTTCCCTCTTTCTTTTTCTTTTTGTAATTTCTTTCGGCAGACATGGAGGAAGGTCTTTTATATATTATACAGTATATTATTGCAATACTTTACTCGCTAAGGTTTAATTTCAGAATTTAACATTTTATTTTAACCATACCATATGTACCAAATGCTTTAATACCTTTTATTATGAGTGGTTCGTTACAGTGATATTGAAGACTGGATTGCATCATGCAGTATTTTTTAGATGCAGAAACTTAATATGAAAAGGAACAAAAATGACCTAACTTAGCCCGTGGAATTTGGTTAATATGAAAGATAGTTTGTTGGCAATTCAGAATAATATAAGACACGTCTCAGTTTTAAACACCACAGTTGATGGTGTTTAAAACACAGAATATAGAGACCATGTAAGTGTGTCTTCCGGGCTTTACACCGGATCACAAGTTTTTTTTTATTTATTTAAGCATTAACAGCAACAAAGAATACAATACAAACGAGTACTTATAACATTTTAAGACAAAAACATCGTCAGGGGTACATATTACAAAATACATTAAAATTATGAAAAAACCCACCGGATCACAAGTAGTAATCGAAATAATTTAACAGATGAATGTGGAAACAATACGTTTTACTAAACTAGAACATGAAAAACATTTCATTAAGTGAAGAAGCTGTGAAAAATATTTTATTATTTACATTGCGGTATTTTTTTAGATTTGCTAATGCCATTGAACTGTATGTCTGCGTTAGGTCTATCCTTTTCTCCTATCTGTTCAACAATTACCGATTAATCGTGGATAAATCTGAACTAACGTAACAAATCAGGCGACTAGGGTGACAAAATCGTTTCAGATATTGAAAATCCAAGACATCTAACGCTGAAACGATTAAGGTTTAAAATATTCTGGATATAACTTGCTGGTTTGTGGTTTTTACTCCAGATGCTTGTGTTTAATTTAAAGTCATATGACTGCCTGCAATTCCTGAGAGCTGCTGTTCCTGTTTTGCAAGACTGCGGAGCAGCCGAAACAAAGAATCAAACGAGCGATTTCTTCGCGGGTATGATTACTTTAAAAAATGAAAAAAATGAAAAATAAGACTTTAATAATCTATCGTAACTCTTGTTGTCTGAAATAAGACTGTCGGGTTAAAAATGCTTTCTTATACTTAATTTTTAAATTGTTGTATCTGCTTCCGATCAAAGTGTCAACACAGACGTGTTCACTTTTTGCGACAGATTTGTTTGCAAATCTCATTTGCTGTTTTGTGGGTAATTTTAACACTGTCAACTCAGGAATCTAGTAGCTCCAGATCTTATAACTACCTATCTGTGACCCTATGAAATATTTAACAAGCTCGATCTCTGTTCAGACTTGTTTTAACTTTGCCCCTAGCGGTATTTTGCTGGGGGGGGGGGGGAAGGTTTTATTTGTAATTACTCTGCGATGATTATAATGAGTACAAAGGTCTGATATAGGTGGGGCGTCTACCGAAGAGTTATACTTCCAATTCCTTCTCTTAAAGTCCCCGATTTGCAGATTCCCCTACAGTTCCATTACATTTGTTTTCCATTATTTTTCGTCTCAGCTCTTCATAAGATGAAGTTGATCATTCTTGACGATTACGATCAGGCGAGTGAATGGGCGGCCAAATACATAAGGAACAGAATTCTTCAGTTCAACGCAGGACCTGATAGGTACTTCACAATGGGACTTCCCACTGGTAAGAATTTAACAAAGTAAATTTGTTTGTGACTTCACCGTCAGCCAGGCGTGTAGCTCTTAAAAAAACACTGTCATAATCTCAAGAAGGCTTTTTCCACTGCAGAAAATATTAACTATTTAAGAAATATACTGTATAGTACTGCATAAAACGTGGACCTAGTTCTTACCTTAAAACACCAAATACTGCTTAACACCATCAGAGAATAACAAAGATTAAAACGGATACCGTTTTTAATTAAAAATGTATGCAGTGCTCCAGGTGAAATTAGAGGATTGTTTCAAAAATTCACTTTAATCCTTTGCAGATTGTGAACTCATCTTTCTTATATCAGTTATATTCTTATCTAGTTTTCTACCATGACAATGTACAGTCCTTTGTATTTAATTATAAATGTTTTTTGAAGATGTGGACTATATTCTTAAAGCACTAGTTCACTTAACATGGTTTACAGTACACTTTTTGTCTCTTAGGCAGTACTCCTCTGGGATGTTATAAGAAACTGATTGAGTACTACAGGAGTGGAGAGCTCTCCTTCAAATATGTTAAAACCTTTAACATGGATGAGTATGTTGGTAAGTTGCCCTCTTACTCCTCATGAAATCTAAGGCTTGTGCTTTGTAAGCCCTTTAGTAGATGCCTTGTTTTAAAAAAAAAAAGATTTAATCTGTATTTACTGATATGTTTCAGTAATGGAGTAAAATCTTAATTTAAAGTCCAAATATGTCTGATATGTCTCTCACCCCAGGTTAAAAGTCACTGATTTAGACAAATGTAATTTCAAAGTGGCATTATTTCACAAAGTGGAAGTTTTTGAGGAAAATCATCAGTATTGACATTTTGTTTAATTCTACCAACAAGCTGTAAAATAAGCTTTAAAAGAGCCCCATCCAGCATTTTTGTCTCTTCTTGATTTTACAAATATTGTATTAGAATGGAGAGTGGCTGGTTAATACAGTGGTTAGTGTTGCTGCCTCATATCACTGGGGCCTTGGTTTCAATTAACGTGGTGTATCTGCGTGGAGTTTGTATGTTCTCCCTGTGTTCACATGGGTTTGCTCCGGGCGCTCTGGTTTCTTCCCACAGTCCAAAGACGTAGTGGGAAGACTGGCCCTGGTGTGAGTGTGTGTGTCTGGGGCAGTGTCTTCGTGTGTCCTGCGATGGACTGGCACACCCTTCAGAGGGTACCTTTCACTCAGTGCTTCCTGCGCTAGACTCCAGGCTGCTGTGATCCTGAATTGGACGAGCAGTTATTGAAAAAGAAAGTGATGTGATGAAGTTATCAAGTCAAAACATTTGCTAAAACAAATTTAAAAGGATGTACAACAGAAGCTTGAGAACATATTTCCATTCAGACAATGCCACTATTTAAGTGTGTTAATGCGTTTAATTATAGGCTGGCGAGTGGCAAGCAAATTGTAAAACCAGATTTACATATTGTGTAAAAAAATCATTTGTGAACTCAAAGCATCATTGTGTTCCATGCTTATCCTTATCTTTTTTTTCCCTATGCAACATAATTAGGCCTCCCTAGAGATCACCCAGAGAGCTATCATTCTTTTATGTGGAATAATTTCTTCAAGCATATTGACATCCAAGCAGAAAATGCACATATCCTAAATGGAAATGCACCAGACCTGCAGACTGAATGTGATGCTTTTGAGGACAAAATTAAAGCTGCGGGAGGAATAGAGCTTTTTGTGGGAGGTAATGTGGCTGAGTTAATTAACTCTTACAATTGCTACTACAGCAAAAAATACTCCTCATACATGATATGTACAGTATGTAGCCATATAGAGTAATAGTAGTACTCAACTGATTGAATCATTTATGGTGAGTTGTGTTCAGCTTTTTAACCCAAGATAATGCAAACATAAAGGCATTGATTAACAAGTTTTGAAGTGATTTGACTTGGTTTAATAAAAGTGAGGAAAGAGAGCCAGGAGGAACATTTTTTAAGCCTTTGGCTCTAAAACAGATGCAGAAGTGTACTCTTTTTCTCTGCAGGTATTGGACCTGATGGGCACATTGCCTTCAATGAGCCAGGCTCCAGTCTGGTGTCTCGAACCCGTGTAAAAACATTAGCCCTGGATACTATACTGGCTAATGCCCGCTTCTTTGATGGGGACCTGTCCAAAGTGCCCACTATGGCACTAACCGTGGGGGTGGGAACAGTCATGGATGCCAGAGAGGTAGGCATGGATGTATAACACCTGTCTTTTAACTAAATATTGCATCCGTATACTTGCAGTTTGGAATTGATATATGGAGATGAAGTATTTTATTATCATAGCTAGTGCCCAGCTGGGAGATGTAAAGATATCTTGTGCGTTCTCTGAGTTAAGTGCAATGGAAAGGGGATGTTTTCTCACTTCAGTGAACAGAAGCAGGTAGAGATATTGTTTCAGCCTGGGGGATGGATACAGTCATTAATGATAATGCTCAACCATTCCCTTAATCACAGTTAGTAAATAACACAGTGCCAGATCACTCCATGATACAGAACTCCTTTAGCACTCTGAAAGGACATATTTAATGAATGAGCTCTTCTTCGACTTACCTTTAAATTTGATTTTGCCTTATCTTTGAATTTTAATATCTGCATCTTACTTTCTTGATTGCTCAGCCTGTTTTTTTATCTGTGTAGAAAATGATTTCCATGGTCTTGGAATATTTTGTATTTTATGTCCCACAGAAAAAGGAGACCAATGTGTTTTAATTGACTGATCATAAAACATACTGTAAAAAAAAAAACATGGAGTGTGAATAATTGAATAAAGGAGGTCAAGATTATAAATAAGAAAATCAAAACCATATCTGGGCCTGACATAAGCTTACTTTGCAAGGAAATTATAAATGTGTTTTCTGGAAAAAACTGAGTGAAACACTTACAGGCATGTGTTTCTTTGTTCTTTAATAATAAAGTGATAATAAGTCAGGTAGCAAATCTAAAAGACAAACATATATTTATTTGCAGCAATGTACAAACACCAGCACATAACATCTACTGTATGACTATTTTGTCTGGAACTGTAACTTCCAGAGCCCAACTTTCTAAAAATAGAACTCATCCTATAACTGAGGTACAAATACCATATAGGAAAACACAGAAGCTGTGTTTTATCATATAAAACAACTCTACTCAGGACTAAAGTACCACTATAATGGATGCTGATAAAATGGGAACATTTTCCCCATTCCAAATGATGAATCAGAATACAAGTGAGAGATTTATTTCAGCCTAGTGAAGACCACAAATAGGAAATAACCATTTCCACAATTATAAGGCACCAGTCTCTTACATAAAGCTGGTTTCTCTAACGTTCCATTTACATGGTCAATTCTTTGTTAAGCTATGTGCCTACTCTTCCCTGATCCTATTTTGTCTGTCTCTCTGTCTGTTTATTTTGTTGTATGGTATACAGTATATACTTTATTTATCAGTTCTCTTATTCCAGTCCCAATTTATCTCTGTACCATCTTATTAAAGGCTGGCTTCATGACCTCACTAAAGACATTTTAAAAACTGATGAGAAAAAAGAAACGCAACACCTCCTCTTCTACACTCTTGCCCTCTCGTCTGCATGGTACAGGCAGAAGAACAGGTGAAGAGGACCTGATGCCACTGCTGATGAGTCGATCGCAGCCTCTGTCTGGCCCAAGCCAGTCGGGTGTGACGTCTAGGAGGTGTGAGCAGAGGGCCTCTGACAGGTCGCCTTGCTCTAAGGCCAGCAGCATGGAGCCTCACTGTCCTGTCACTGATGCGGGAATTGTGTCTGCCGGCAGTTTCAGCAGCAGTAAGATTGGCAGATCTGAAACGATCTCTCAGATGGACCAGTCTGATGTGTCAGTCCTGCTCTGGTGTGGTCACTTGTGGGCGACCAGATCTTGGACAGTCATCTGTCCTGCTGGTCTGCTTAAACCTTCTCTGCATTCGGGACACAGTAGAGTGGCTTAGTGTCTGGCAATGCTGGCACATGCCTGCAGTATGCCAATGGCCCTCTCCCTTGCTTCTGGTGACATTCGAGGCATTATGGAATGCACAGAAACCTGACTAAGTGTGGCCTTTTTCCTGCAGTGACCTTAACTTTGAATTAAGGCCTTTTTTAAAGGTGACCTGATCAGGCATTGTTCCACCTGAGTTGAGTAAAAATACACCTAACGAGCTTTCGTGTGATTGATTGGCAAGTTGTGATGCCTCATTGCAAAAGCTATATTGCTGGTCAGAGGGCTTAAAACAAATTGACAACTTTTTGTGAAAGTACATAAGCTATAACTATTGTATTTACATTCCATAAAATGTTGCGTTTCTTTTTTCCATCAGTATATTTCAATTTAAATTAGTGAATGTGCTTGGCTGTTGGATATTGGGAATACCTCAGGTGACAAGATACGAGTCGGACAACAAACGCTTTACTAAAAATAATTGTGGAGAAAGAGACTAAAGCAAATCGGAATGGGTTCATGAGTTGTGTATACAGAATTAAAGCAATCGTTGTTTTAATAAAATGAGAGAACTCTGATCTTTTTGTGAACTGGTAAGAAAGCTGTCCGTGATGAATGTGAATGGTTTCTGTGGCTGCGCTGTCTTCTCAGGTGATGATCCTCATCACAGGAGCTCATAAAGCATTTGCACTCTACAAGGCCATAGAAGAGGGAGTCAACCACATGTGGACTGTCTCTGCTTTCCAGCAGCACCCCCAGACTGTGTTTGTGTGTGATGAGGACGCCACCCTGGAGCTCCGGGTTAAAACTGTCAAGTATTTCAAAGGTGCAATTCCAAGCTCTCAACAGTGCACTCTGTCCAAAATAGTGGTGCACAGTTCCAGTCCTTAAGGGCTGTAGTGTCTGCATGCTTTCATTCTTCCTGTTATCTTAACTACTTGAATAAACCAAGTGTTAGATTAGCTTCATCCTCTACAAAGCCCTTAAGGTGCTGATGCTTTCAAGAGGCCTCAGTCTAGACCTTCGAGGAACAGAGCTGCTGCCCTAATCTGTAAAGTTTCCTTCTTCTCTAAATCTGCAGTAACTTCAGGATCATAGTCAGGGTCCCTAAAAAGTTTCCTGAGCAGCCGTCACACTGAAATCATACAGGACCAACTGATGTCAAAATTGTTATATTCAATTATGTGTGGATGCATAAAGTACTCCTTATAAAAGCTCTATTAATTCATAACCTGATAGTTGTACTTCTTTTTTATAACTGTTTTTACTCCACATGTATTATTGAAACAATGTGTTAATATTGATATGAATTGCCTGGCATCTGATTTTTTTCCCAGAAATCTTCTCAATCTGCCTCAAATAAGAATCAGAAGAATAATTTCCAATACTTTAAAAAAATTCTTATTGTGCACTCTCAACACAAAGAGATTCACACATCGGCTAGAAGATATGTCCCTAGGCAGTGCCTGGAGCTCTTGATAAGGAGCATGTTTTGCTGCTTGCCTTTGAAATTGTTACCGAGTTAACCCTGAAATCTGTTGCGTTGTTTAAGGAATGATGCATGTTCACAACAAGCTGGTGGAGCCGCTGTCCGATGCAACAAGGAAGAAGAGCAATGGAGCTCAGCCAACAGAGAAAGCATACAGTGACTGAAGCCTGAGACACTGGCCTGTCATCTCCTTGTGAACTGATTTCAACACAGGACAGCTACATGCATCTTTCTGTGTTTGGCACATGGCCAAAGTGATCTTTTTTTTTAACTTTTCAAAATCCTGTGGAAAACCGATCTAAATTTAAGGGGAGAACAAAGGCATCTTGTACTGCCGAGTAAAAGAACAGAGGCATGTGGCTGTGCTTCAGAGAGGTGCTGCACTCCATTGTGGATTGAATAAATGTAGTTTGAATTCTGCCTTACTTGTAATATCTGCTTACAGTCATACTGAGAACTAGGGAAATTCACTCGAGAACACACTGAAGTATCATGCATGAGGAGTATTTTTTTTCATCTAAAGAGTAATGCTGTTCACAATTATTGAAGAGGGCTATCACCTTTCAAAACTCGTACAGAAAACATCTATATATGAAAATGCAGGACATTTAATGCTGCCGTATGTAGGTAAATGGGGAGATTTAACAATTTTGTTAAACCTTTGTGCTGGCCCTGTTCTTGGACACACACTGAACAATTCCACAACAATTTACAGATTCCTTTGCCAATCTGCCATCAATCTTCATCTGTTCACAATGTGAATGACCAGGACAATAAAATATTTCCAGTTAAGATCTTAAACCCATTTGGCATGTTGTTACTTAGTAAGTCATGGATTGGTTATTAAGAAGTCATGATTGATAACTTTTTTTTCCATCAGGATAATAATGTCCGTGATGATCTTCCCGTAGGGTAAAAATACAGCCCTGAATAAAATGTGGTTGCGTTCTTCGTGATCTGTGTCTCATTCCACTAAATATTGACACAAGTTGAAGCCAGTGTTGTGAAAGCATTTTCAGATGGCTCCTTGGATACCTTTGTAATGGTCTTTGTCTCAGTTTTGGAAACATATATCTTCAGCATAATATTTACACAAACAATTTCAAGATCCTATTCTGAAATAAACTGCCACATTGAAATAAAATGTGATCTTTTTATTTCATGGTATACCCATATGCCATGTGTTGTTGCTCCCAGATTTCTGATGAATGTTCATTGTGCTGGTTATTATACAAATATTTTGGTGCAATTTGTTGGAATATTATCCATAGAGAAGCAGACTTCTTAGTTCCCGATAGCTTGCTTTTTTTATTTCAGCTTTACCATTAATGACTAGTATATATGATCTGTTCAGTACAATTAAGTTCCATTATTTAAACTTAATTCATATACAGCATTTTTAGTGCCTGGTTATGAGGAGCAGCGATGTATAATGAAAAAAATCTAATCTTTATAAACACAAAGCAGCATACTGAACATCTAATGGACTTCTGTAGGCTTGATCTAAAACTCAGTCACATTTCTAAAGCTTGATCTTTGCCATTGTTCGAGCCTGTTACCTTACGAATATGTTAGCTGTTTGAGTTATCTTAGATTTCTAGACTCATAGGCATTCTTCCCAGATAAGATCTTAATGATGGAAAAAGTCATTTGGAAAGGTGCACAGTCAATGTAGAAGAAAAAAGCTCTGGGTGTGAGCAAATAGAAGAGGTCTATCACCTTTCAAATCTCATACAGAAAACATCTATAGTATATGAAAAAAAGGACATTTAACGCTGCCCTATGGAGATTTAACCCTACAATCACTGCTCACTGCTGCCAAGCTGCATTTCTAGTATTGGTGTCAGCAGTCTAAAGAAAGATTTTCAGTCAATGTTCAGGAGTGATAGTGAAAATACTTGAGTAGGTCTACACTTTATATATACCAGATATGTACTATATGGACTATAGGTTTTCACCCTTATGTAGTTACCCTTGAATGATCTCTATCAATATTTTCCACAGGGTCAGAAACACTGGGGTTGGAGGGAGGAGGGTTTGGGGGATGAGGGTATTGGGACAGAAAAGAACAATACCATACCAAAGAAAACAAAGACAGAATTCATCTGTAGCAAGAGATTCAAAGGCAGCACACACAGCTTAATCCCTTTGACCAGAGTTGCTGACACTGAACAACCCTTTAAAACTGTCCCTTTTCTGACTCGTGCTGTAGGAACACCATCGTGTCTACAGCAGTAAAGGTACTGCTGTTTTTACAAACAGGTTCCAGAACGTTACACATGGTTGCTGCAAGCCGAAGGAAAAAAAGGTCAGTGGTGTGTGCTGTGTGGATGTTCAGATACTCGGAAAAGAAGAAAAGTCAGGAGAGGACTAATGAGTCCAGGGCAATTGTTATGAGACAAGGAGCTGAGAACACAGTATTGTAGTAAACGTTAACGTGATGAATATTTTATGCCGTGGAGAGTGATAACAAACATAGCTCATAGACGTCATCGTGAATCTGGTTTTGAAATCTTGCAACTACTTGTAAGAAAATATAATATGTAATATATTTTCTAATAATTTATTTTTAATAAAGAAAATGTGATTTGACATGGACTACAGATGTGTATTTAAAAATATTTTTTTAAAAGGTGACAGAAAAACAGGACTGCAAAGACACTATTAAATTCAATGATTCAGTATTAATAAGCAATTTCTATTGTGTTTTTTCTACAGCTTTCCACAGATGTTAGTTAAATAGATCTCATTTGTTTTAAATGTGATTTGAGTTGTGATGTGAGTTGAGATTACATTTTAATGGTGTATTTTTATGTACCTTATTTTGAATAATATTCCATTGAGGTTATTTAAAATATTAGAAAAACTTTTTAAACTTTTTAAAAAAGGACATATTAATAGCAAAGGCAGCATATAAATAGCATCAAGATTACAATAAGACAAACCAGTATAATGTACTGCAGGCATGAAGCTGATAGTCTGCAGGGCCAACAGTATTCACAATATATGTATCCATGTGGTATTATTAAGTGAAGGCAAGTTCAGACTTTTCTAAGGCAATTACTTTGATTATGCAATAAGCAATATTCAATATGAAATGCAATATGTAACAATAAGTACTATGTGCTCTATGTTTACATACTCTACTATACTGTTTACATAGTATACTGAATAAGAAAACATTGTTTTGCATCTCTACTACAACAAAAAATGGATGGTTTGTTTTTTTTAATTTGCATGTTGTAATTATTATTTGTTTTGGTCACTCACAGAGAGTGAAATCAAGTCTTGATTAATTTGATATCCATGAGTTCTCTTACCCCTATAATATATACAGTACAGTTTGCTGACACACTGATCCACTTAGTATAGTCCTCATAAGGGACATTTTTGGATGCCGTAGTATTATGTGCAATTTTTCATTGTCTGTTTCATTGCGCTATTATGTTTGGGTCCTTTTACTAAGGAAAGTCAATATTTTATAATACAATCAAATGTAAGTACAATACGCAAAAACACTGTTTAAGATTTAGCAGCATTGAAAACAAATAAACACATAGACCTCTCACTGGGCTTCTTCAGAGTCAGCATTGAAACATGAACCAGAGGCTACACGAAGCATTTCTTTACACAAAAGGTGGTGGAAGAATGTAGCAAGTGTTGAATGCTGAAGTCAATACCATCATGTCTTTAAAGAAACAACTGGGCATGATGCAAGATCAGATCAATTAGCTACTTAGCAGCCAAATGATATATATACAGAGGTCTTCTCATTTATAATCTTTCTTATGCCCATATGGTTGATTTCACACAGCTTTATTACTGACGTGACTGAGGATTTGGTAGGTAACTGGTCCCACCTGGAGTCTGTTGCATCATGAATGAAAGCGACCCCGAACTATCGGCGATGGCACAAGAGCTTTGGGACAATGATATGAACCGGCTGCAGCCTGGCAAGGACTACCGAATTTCTCTGCAGGTACCAGTGGCCATGCTGATAGCCAAAGGCAACTTGACGTTTTTACCATGAAATCTACAGCAAATGTTTTTGGGTAGTGTCCGTGAAGTAGAATAGTTTGTTTTTAAATAAAATCCTTAAACATAGTTATGGATTAGTATTAAGAAGCACATTGTTAATCTGCAAAAGTGAAAATGTAGGTTTGCTACAATGCTATTGTATTGTTTTTTTTTACTTCATGTGAATTAAGAATCTGTATTCTGATAGTCTTTAGAACCCCACTTCCATGTCCATTTGGTCAAAGAGAAATCACATGAGTCTGGTAGCATATCCCTCACATGGCAATATAAGAGAAAGGTGAATATCCATCATTGTGAAAGCTATAAATTCAGTCAGGCCAATGGATTAGGGTTGCTTGTCTGACCTGTTGATCTGTTGTATGTAGCACTGAGACAGTTCTCTAACAAGTCCATTTTATGATATTGGAGGAAAAGGCGGGTATCACGCAGTCCAATGATGATGGAAATGATGGGGCTACTTCACCATTGTTCACATTTGTGGATGAAAACATTTTTAAAAAGGAAACCTTCCTTGGTGAGTTTTTTTTCAAGCAATAACTGCATATTCCTACCTTTGCTACCGGTTGAGATTTAACATGACCCAGGGCTGGTATTTTTCTCTGCATCCCCTGTGTCCCACATGATTCAGTTGAAGACTTGTTCTGATCTGTCCACTTTAGCCTTCATCTCTCTCCTTGACAACTATGAAAGTGATACAGGCGAGCCTGAGGTCGTGACCCCAGAAGAGGAAGCTGAAAACCACAGGTTCCTCAACTCGGTCATGAACACTCCCACCATGAAGGTAGCTGCTTACCTCTGACCAGTGGAAGAAGGTCGATGTTGAATGTTGAAGTTGAATTTTTTTCCTGGCATTTCACTGCTTCCAAGCTGGATTTCTAGTATTGTCTAAAGACATTTTCAGTCAGAGTTCAGGATTGATAGTGAAAATACTTGAGTAGGTCTGCACTTTATATATACTATAGGTTTAGATACATTATTAAACCTATATAAACTATACTGTAGGGTATGTTTCTGTTATTTTCAAATGTAACTACACATTTATGCAGGCTATTCTAGTAATATTAATATATAAAATGTAAGAATACAATAAGTGCTGCAAATGAGAGGAAGCCCATTCTTAATGATTTGCTAAACTAGCCAGATGGTCTTAAAGAATCCCACTCTTCAACAGCTGTACTGGACAATTTGTTCCAACACCCACAAATACAAATAAGGTGTGCCTTCTATTTGACCTCTGCTCTTGATCTCCACTTATGGCCTTTTTTACGTTTTTGTGTGTGAAGGAATCCTTTGGAAATCTGTTAATCTTGCAATCAAAAAACATAAGGAAAAAGTGGTGACATTATCCAGTGGGACACAGTAACATTAACCTTTCTGGTACTTGTTCTTATGCTTTCACCATAGATCGCCCACAAATATCTCGTGGAAAAGCAACTATCTCCTGAGGACACTGAAAAATTCAAAAAGCAGCTCTACCGCATCTGGTTTGAGCTATATGCCAGAAGAGGATCTACCAGGTAGGCAAAAGGAATTTTTTTATTACCCTAGTTTGGACTTGTTTCCTGTTTTTTTAGGAGTAAAGTTGTGTACACTCTTCACCTCCTGTTTTCTCCACCACCTGAATTTTGGATTGAGTGGGAAGGAATATAGGTGAATAATCTCTGATAAATGGTCCTCTTCTAACCACTTTATCCAATACAGGATCATTGTTGGAGCTGGAACCTATCCCAGCAAGCAACAGGCTCAAGGCAGGGAACACCCTGGACAGGACACCAGTCCATTACAGGGCAGACACACAGACACACACTCACTCACACCAGGGACAGTGAGTTCCTTTGTTTGGTCAGTAAACAAAGGGGTATTCCCAAAGGAAAGAACCGTATATATGCAAGATACAATAATAATGGGCCCTCAGTTCAAATCCAGACTGGGATGCTGTCTGTGTGGAGTTTCTATGATCTCTATGTGTTCATACGGGTTTCCACTGGGTGCTCTAGTTTCCTCCCACAGTCCAAAGACATACTGGTAGATTAACTGGATTCTGGGAAAATTGGCCCTAATGTCAGTATTGTCTGTGTCTGCCTGTGTCCTGTGATGGCCTGGCATCCCTTCCATGGTGTGTACCCCGCCTTCAGCCTGCAGCTTGCCGAGATAGGCTCTGACTTTCCCAACAACCCTGAATTGGAAGTGCGGTTAGAAAATGGAGGGATGGAAAGGTGACCCATGGTGAGAGTGTGAGAATTTTTTTAACTGTTTCAGCAAACCCACACAAATAAGGAGTTTGATATCTGTATCCTGTCTTTCCTTCAGGCCGGACTCGTCAGGCTTTGAACATGTGTTTGTGGGAGAGACGCGAGGAGGCCGTACTGTCATCGGCTTCCACAACTGGATCCAGTTATATCTGCAGGAAAAGCTGGGACACGTTGACTACAGGGGTTACAGTCTGGATGCAAATTCACCTCAAGTGAGCAAACTCTGTTTAGGATTAGAAGCTGAGAATTTACCTGTGTATTTGCTTTTTTGATACTGCATAATACCCAAGGTGCTGCACTGAATGTTTCCAGTGCAGATGATTAATTCCTTTTTTTCAGAGCTATGCGTGAGCTAAATCATGGGATTCACAGATGTTCATGTCTCATCTAAAGCACTGTCATTTTACCAATTTTATGGAAGATAAATATTTGTTTCTAAATAGCTTTGCGTGAGATAAATTCTTTATGGGTTAGTTGTTTTGTTAAAAAAAGAAACAGGTTTATCTTCCCTAGATTATTTTTTTCAGGTTTTTAAAGACAATTTTGGGTTTTCCAAGCTCACAACCATATCATCATATTTCACTATTTGCTATTAATACCTGTTATGCGCTACTAACTCCAAGTGTTGTTTTTTATTTTTGAAAAATTAATTATTAAGTGAATAGGTCTATGAACAGTGGTGATTACAGACTCCTTGACATGATTCTTAAGATGGCTGGATTATTGAAGTTGGACTTTGATCACTACACAAACAACAAAGTACAAAATGTAACACACCTTATGTTGAAATAGCATTATGAGTGTTATAAAATGTTCACATGGGTTTCCTCTGGGTGCTCTGGTTTCCTCCCACAGTTCAAAAACCTACTGGGAAAATTGGTCCTAGTGTGAGTGTGTGTGCCCTGTGATGGACTGGCGTCCAGTCCAGGTTGAACCCCACCTTATATACCCATTGCTTGCCAGAATAGGCTCCTGCTCATCCCACAACACTGAATTTTATGAAGTGGTTAGAAAATGGATGCATGGATCTAGAAACCATATTCAGTCTTCCTTATATATTTTGCCACCAGGGGGCAGCGCGTTATTTTAAAGCAGCCTTTTCTGCAGCCAGTACCCCTTTGGTTTTCAAAATGTTTTCGCACCACTTAAATAGTCATTGACGGTCAGTTTTTAATACCTACTACAGAATGAAAAAGATGGATTAATATATTTAAATTTAAGTAAAATTAAGAATACATGGAAAATCACACCTTTAAGTTTACCTTAAAATATATAGGTTTGATCAAACAAAGAAGCTGCACGTGCCCGAGCTTAAGTCATGTTTTAAATGATTTATGTTTTTTTTTAAATCTGCCTCATCTTGGACCCCAAGTTAGAAAAACACCGTTTTAACGGTTTGGACAAATTAAATGCTGTGTAGTTGTACTATACAGTAGTTTGCCTTTGCAGGCAAAGTGAGACGTATGAAGGCTTACATGCAGAATACAGTTGTCCCTGATATTCAGTTCTACAAAGCCTGTGATTAAACAGAAATTCAAATTAATCTTTTAACATCGTATTCATCTTGTTTGTCAGTACTGAATTGTGAATAAGATCAAGGTATAACATGGTTAACTCTTGTTTCCTCTTTTGATCTTTGTGGTCACCTAGCCTGATGAGGAGAAGCATATTCTGGCCCTCCAGTTCAGCTGGAAGAATGGGATCAAGCCCAAAGGCAGTATCTTCATTGGAGTCAGTCCTGAGTTCGAGTTTGCTCTCTACACCCTCTGTTTTTTGACTTCCCCTAATGAAAGAGTTAAAGTGTCTTTCAGCATCTATGAAGTAGAGATTGTCTGCCACCACTACAACCAGAAGCACATAGGGACCACCTATCCCATTCTCATAAAGTACCTAAGAAACTGACCTTGTTTTCCACCAACTTGCAAAGCTTTCAGTGACTGTCAGCAGTATTGTTTTTATCCTTTCCATTCCACAATAAAAGGCACAATTCAGACTGCGTTTTTTTCCAGTGCAGGTTTTTTACTGATTATGAATTAATAAAGTTTAAAAGTTGTCAGACTGTCTAATAAGATACCAGTTACATCAAACTTGGTATCCATGGAGAAATAAGTAAATAAAATTTAAGAAAACAAACTCAAACCAGGGGAAATTCTAAATTAAGAAATTAAGACATTTTTAGGCACAAGAGCACAAGAATATCAGAAAACATACAAAAGAGGGGAGATCACGGCCTTTGTAACCTGTCTGCAATACTGCATGCCCATCTGTGTTTGACTTACACTTGAAACATACCAGCAATATTATTGATTTGACCAAATTTGTTTACCCTAAATATTATAAAGATTTGAAAGCCTTACACATAGTTGACATTTATTTGTAAGTTAATTTGCTTGCATAATGAGATTTGCTTTCTTAATAAATGATCTCTCTTAACAATACTTAGAAATAACCCAAATGGATTTAGGGAAAGAGGATGTCACACTTATTTTTAAAAGGTATGAAAGCTCACTGTGTAAAATTACACTGTAGAACGATTGCAGTCTCACTGTCTTGAGTTATTTAACTCAAAGGACTCATACTATTATAATAAAAATAATAACTAAAAAATAATAACTATAATAAAAATATTATCGTTATAAAAATCAAAATAAAATAACATAATTAGGCCTGTTAATGCTTAATGATAGGTTTGATAACAAGAACTTATCCACAAAAATAATTAAATAACGTTGTGAAAATTATTATGATAATCAGCAGCAAAACCAACTTGGATTTAAATTTATTTTTGTTTTCTGGGATATACTTGGAAAACCATGAATAAATAAAAAATAATTAAATGACTACTATAAACGTCTGTATAATCGTTTTATTATTATAAAACATGCCACAGTATGGAAAAATACACAGCAGAAAAAAGAAAGCATCTTCAGTAGAAGTCGTGGTTTGGTCTGGGGTGGCAGTATTCGACCTTGTTTCGTTATATCGCACGGACTGCCATTGCTGAGCTGCGGGGAAAAGGGTGGAAACGTGTCCCCCTGTGGAATTTCAGAGCCTGGCAGACGAGGCGTTTCTTTCATTTTACACAGATTTGGCACAAAAAGAATAAGTCGGGGATAAATCTTTACAATCTGGTTTGCTTACATTACTTTATTAAAGGCTTTTGCGCTGACGGAAGAATGGCTGAGCAAAGCAGTAGATACCAGCAGGTAAGTGGAAGTTAGTTTAGCGGACCGGGTGAAAACGGAAGGCCGAACCGTCTATTCAAGTGACGGCAGCTTTTACTTCGTGTAGGAAACACCGGTGATGTATTGAGGATATTAGGCCCGATTGTTTTGAAATGTTATACAGTATTAAGCCGGTCAAGGCCAAATGATTAATAATTCCTGATGTTTCGCCTACAGACCTTTAAATTTTTCTGTTAAGATAAAACAAAAACTTATTTTAATCTACATTTTGAGTCGACGAGACCCGGAGTAGGTAAGAAGTGCGAATTAAGTTTTAAATCGAAAGCCTTCAGGATTTGGTTTGACATCTTCCTAACATTTTGATCTAAATAATAGAGGCATTTCTGTCTGGTTTAACCGATCTGAAATAGTATTTAGGCAGTATTAGACGAATGTTATTCATGGTCTTTGGGCAGATACTGTTTAAAGTATAACGTATATATGAAAACAATGGCTACAATGACGTTATCAAGGTGGGGGGTTTTCGTTATTTTCTACATTAGGAAAATGTGTCTATGAAACCATTTCACCTTTTCTGTATATTTCAACAAATGTTCGCTATATTCTTTTATTGTAGTTAAGCGTCACCAAAGTAGGCCAAAGGTTTCATTTGGTAGACATAATTGGTAGATTCTGGTCTCAAAACACAAAACAGGAAGAGGGACTAAATTATGCATTTGATAGCATTATATAACACGATATGTATGAGGGACTGGCATTGTTTTGTTTTACGATTTGAGACGAAGGTATCTTTTTAAATATAGACTTTTACTAGTTTTATTACGATCTGTTAATTTGTAAAATGCAAAAATGGTTTAGATCAAATGTAATGCTTTTACAAAAGATAGATCTCAGCTCTGACATTTAATAAATGAATCAAGATGTAAACTATTAAATACATTACTACTGGTAGCATTACTGATAGCTACATATAAAGGTGTGCTCAAGGCTTTTTAATGCGCAAATCTATTTAAAGAAAATAATATAATTGGCTTACATGGCCGGAGCAGCTCTGTGCTGTACACTATCCCTCATGTTAAGTCTTTATAAAGTAATTCGGTATCCACTCAACCCCAGCTTCCCATAACAAAATTTTGACATTTAAAACGCATTCTTTAGATAATCAAAATCACTCCAAAATGAGATGCATTTCAATGATGAATACCTCCTTCCTGCTTACAGCAATGACTGCTTCTCAGCAAATTATCATCATCGAGCTTCTGTATTTGGCTTTGTTTCCTACATGATCTTCATATTCTAATATACAAAATGTAACAATCACAGTCTTGAAGTAGGAATTATTCTTTGATTGTGGTTGTTTGGCCAGAATTGTTTCTTAGGTTTTGTGAAAATCAAAAGAGATTAAGACGGCCTTTAATGTGAAGTTTTGTTGTGCATAGAATTCAGCTATTTAACTTTCTCCACTGTTTTTTAGGTAGTGAGTCAGAAATGAGAGACATGTTTAATACAAAAAATCAACCTCAAACCTCCCCTACTCTGTAGTCATCATGCATGCTATTGGAATTTTACAGCAGTACCTAGCTTGTGGAATTACTGAAGAATTCATGTGATTTGTGAAAAGCTCACTTCGTTTCCTTTGACTTGTATAATCAAGTCCTAATGTAATGTAAACACTAACAAATAACTACTCATTTTACACTTTCAGTTTATATTAAGGTTTCTTAGAAAACCACAAGCATAGCATTTAATATGTTGCTTAAGCATACATTAGTACAGCATTATTATGTCAAACTAGTTTCAATTTCACAGTGATGAATAATCCATCCAGCCATTTTATAATTGCTTCATCCAATGCAAGGTTATGATGAAGCTGGAGCCTGTCCTGTCCAGCTATGGGCACAAGGCAGGGCACACCCTGGACAGGAGATATCAGTCCATTGCAGGGTACACACAGTCACACCAGAGTCAGTGTTCCCAAAAGCCAATTATGGGTGGAGACTGGAGCACCTGGAGGAAACCCATTTGAACATACAGGCTGCACCCAGATAGCACCCTGGGCATGGAAATGAATGCATGACCCTAGAGTTGCAAGGCAGAAATGCTTACCGTTGTAAGCATTCTAGTTTTCAACACTAACACTTTTCAGAGAAGAGAATTGGAAGATATAGATTAGAAGAATTTTCAGTCTTCCTCATGAATAGGGTGCTTTTGTGTTTCAAGGTACTAAATCTTCTCCCTCCCTTGTGCAGCATTATCTAGACCTGTCTCTTTTTATTGTAGGACACTAAGGAATTGTAATTAGTAGAAACCTTCCTTCTAATTATCCTTAGTTTTAACTGTAATAGCTTATTTATTGTAATAGGTTATTATTATGGAATAGGGGAGTAGTCCTAGCTGTAGCAAACAAAATCTTGTGAAAGTGTTTCCATAAGTAACGTAAAATTCTCACCACCCTTGCCAGCCTGCTATACATACATGTAGTGGATTTCTGAAAGAAATGTACATGAAACTACAGGCTTTCATTTACAATGAAAATTTTATTTTTCAGCTTGCCAAACCGATTAATGGAAAAGCTTATCTATGCTTCCAGAGTTAATGTCCCCTTTTGTATTTTCTTAGGTTTTTTTTTTACAGTAGATCCATTTAAGAATAGAAATTGAATTCTGTATAATCTGTTACTGACATTTCCCTGTTTTCAATCACAAGCAATGGTTTCGATCCCTCAGCAAAATGTGCATGTCATGTGAGGTAAAAGATGATTCATTTGGTTACCCAAGCAGACAAAAGACATCCTATTCAGGATATGAGTTACAGAAATGTGCCGAGTACTTCAAACGTGGCAGTGCTAGAACAGGCTGAATTTTGAGTAACACCACGATTATACAACTAGAGAAATACTGGAAAGCTCTAAAGCCACCGTTTCATTTAAAGCTCTCAAGAGTTCTAAAACTACATAAGTATGTCTCTTAAAGATTAAGTTAAGATGAATTTATTTTCAAAAGAGACGATTAAACCGATACTACGAAATTTCACAAGGGGTGATGGAGCACTGTTCTTTTTAGTCCCAGGTATCTAAGAGTCAGTCAGCCAGCCCTTTAGAAAGCCTGTGCTAGTCTCTTGGCTGCATCAGCAGTGTTTCCTTGGTTCAACTAAAAAAGGAAACTCAGTCAGTCCTTATACTTTATTTGTGAATTCCAAAGTTTAACTGTGGCCTTTACTGCCTGGATTTCCAAATCTTTACATTTTTTTCAGATTTGATTTAAAAAATCCTTCAGTTTTGTTTTCACAGTGTTAAAAAAAATTACATCAAATCTCCTGATCCAGTGCAGCAATATTTGTGTGTATGGGCATGTGTAAGAGCGCTGTAATGTATCTGTGCACTACAATAAATAATTGTATGAGTGTTGTATGGATATCTATCACACTGCTCACAAACCACAAAACCCTAGCATTAGCAATGTTAGTAATGAGATAGTGGAAAATGTCTCTGATTCTGTGAAGCAGCTTGCTGGGCAGATACAACTGTGAAAAGGATGACGGGTTCAGTGTTGTTCCGTTATGGGTGATGTTTCTTTTTGGCTGTGTGTGGGTTCAGGGGGTCAGAGGGAAATAGCTCTGCAGGATGATGCAAGGCAGAGAACAAAATGGTAGCATTGCAATGGAGATTTGCAGTACTCTTTATAAGCTCTTTTAGATGAGAATCTATCTTTAAAAGAGGTTCCAGTGATTGTGTAATCTGGCAATATTTCAATCCTTTCAGCACATCACAGACACATGAGCACAAAGCAGATCTCACTGGAGAATGACTTACAGGTTTGAGTCCCTTTCCTTGCTTGTTGGAAAGGGGAGTTCTTTAAAAATGAGCAATATAAAGTCAACAGGCTGTTGAATGTGGGATTTTATTTTTGGTATTACTGCTTTTCCAGTTGCCGAATGAGGAGGAGCCTGGAGAAAGCTCCCAAGCTGCTTCTGATGCCCCTCCTCCATACAGCAGCATTGCAGCAGACAATGCAGGTAAGCAAGCCTAAGTAAGAATGCTAGTGAAACATCTACTACTAGTGAAGCACATTTTACTTTTACCTCGTCACCCGTATTTATAACTTCCCATTTTGACCTATCAATGCATCTATCCACTGAGGTTTATCCGTGGTCCTAGACAGCCACAATCCAGCAGGTTTTAGAGATTAACCTTAAATGGTCAAATTCCTAAACCCTTGGAACAGTTTAATTTGAATCAAGCATGGGATATTTTATGAATCAAGTATAGAGATGAATTGTATTGTTTTTCTGAAGGGTATTGGTATTTCGTGATTTAATTGACATGATCAGTTTTACTGGTAGAAAGTAGTCTTACAGTTTTTACAAATAGAAGATTAAGGAAGATTAGGGTTGTGGTTTTACAGTACCACAGTTGGTCACTGCTTTTTAAGAAAAATGTACATATTTTGGGACATTAAACTGCATGAATTAAGTAAACCTACTGTTCAAACTACTATCTTCTTGTAGCTGATTATACTTGGGAGCAAAATATGTTGTATTGTTTGTTGGAAAAAAAATGTCCTTTTTTTCTATTTTAGCTTACTTTGATTATAAAGATGAGGCAGGGTTTCCAAAACCACCTTCTTACAATGTTGCCACATCACTCCCATCTTACGACGAAGCTGAAAGAACCAAAGCTGAAGCAACAATTCCTCTCGTCACTGGAAGGGTGCGTTCTGATTTTCTTTCCCATTCGTACTCACAGATTGTACCGATAGTCATTGCAGGGCAATGTGGTAAAAAGGAGATTGTCTGGAACTGTGACATGAGGTAGAGTAAGTCAAACATGTGAAAAACATCTTTTAAATATTCCTGGTTTCATGAGAAAACACTTTACTTTTGTCCTACTGGTGACAATTGTTTATTGGATTTACATACACAGGTATTGTAGCTATGTTCTTATAAAAAACACCTGAATGACTCAATTGATGTTTTTAAAATTTACATTGGACTCGCACATTATTAAAAAAGGACATTGTGAGTACAAGAGTTACCAGGCCAAAGTATTCATTTCCTTCTCATTCTCCTTGCTTTTTATTTTGTTTTCAAAAATCTGTAGCTACCTAAATGATTACATTGAATGTAAATGTGTAAACGTCATTTAGGTGTATATTTCTATTTGACTTTTATTCTAGTCCTGTTTTACTGGTTTGTGTTTCTTTGCCACAAACTGCTTACGTACAGCACAGGGAACGCCTGGACACTTTTGATGATGTAACTGGCAATTCGCTGGAGGTACAGTAATAGAGCACAAGTGTGGGTGTGATATTATAACTGGTTTTGGAGATGTGGTAAAACAGCGTTGATGTGTAAACAGACAGACAGCACCTTGTTTTCAGAGTTCCAAGAAAAAAGAAACTGCAATGTGGTTAGCAGTGTTCAGAAATCAACAATTAAATAATCTTTAAATTGTAGCTGAACACCTTTGACGATAAATAATCATAGTTGTTTTACATACATATAGAATCTGTGTGTGTGTGTATATATATACACTCATATATAGAGTATAGATTAATAATCTTCAAATGAAGGAACATTGCAGGTTCTTTTTTGCGTAATATGAAATAGTTTGTGATCATTTATTAAAATCCTCTTGCTAGACAATTAAAATGAGAATTTGTCATCTTTTGCTGTTTTAGAATATCATGGATATCCCAGGAATTTAAAGTTCTAATAGTTTGTTTTTTTCTTGTCTGTTTCAGGATGATGACTTTGTGGCAAGAGATGACTTCGATGATGCAGATCAGCTGAGGATAGGGAATGATGGCATATTTATGCTAACTTTCTTCAGTGAGTGCTATGTTAAAAATTGTCAAGTTAATTCAGGTTTTTTGTAAGAAGCTTTACTAATACAATAAAAATTAAGTAATTTAAAGAGGATAGCTCTTTAAAGAGCTAATGGTATATTTTAATAATATATTTTTTCAATGCCAAGCATGCTACAAAAATGCTACATGAATGTAGTTAGGATAAACAGTACAGCCATAGAGCTCAAGAAATCTAGTCACTCTTTGTTCTGCATTTCCTGAATCCATACATATTCCTTTTATAAGCAACATTGTTTAAGGCTTCCTCTGTTGCACAGGTGTGCAGAGACGTGAGCCATAAGAGCACTTAACACAAATGCATAGTACACAAAACAGATTGGATCAATTTATGTAAGTCTGTAGTGTCTTAAACATCAATTAAATGAACAAATGGAAAAAAGGAGAGATGATTGTAGTACAACTGCCCTCTTGTGGATACTGAATACTTCTAATTGCCTTGGCAAATCTAATTGCTTTGAAAATACAGATGGTAAAATCACACACTGGAGAATTAATTGCCTTGGTGATTGAGAAGGAATAGCTTCATATTAAAACATTTTTAGTCTAATATAACAACCAGATTTGTATGTAACGTGACTTCTACCTTGAAATTAGTTATTGTTTTGCTGCTTTTTGGAGTAGGTAAGGTCTCTTGAGATTCATCTCCTTGCAGTATCCCCTGGTACTACAAAAGACTTGTTAAAATGTTTTTTATTTGGTCTGTCTTTTCCTTTTGTGCATAGTTTACAGGCCCTTGTCTCCATTAGGACACCGCGTAACTAAAGATCCCTGGTTTTATACATGCAGCAAATTGTGTGACTCCTTGACATCACTGAAATAACTCAGTGTCTGGGATCATGTGCTTGGCATTGGCATTCCAGATCCCTGGAAACCAGTGGAAAAAAGAAAACAACACTTCTGTGGACAGATATTTGGTGAAATCTGTTTAATTTTTGCATTTTCAGTGGCTTTCCTGTTTAACTGGATTGGATTTTTCCTGTCCTTCTGCCTCACAACCTCTGCTGCAGGAAGATATGGGGCTATTTCTGGGTTTGGGTTGTCACTCATCAAATGGATCCTTATTGTGCGGGTAAGAAAATTCTTTATGTCCTGCCATTAGAGCTCCTGAAATAATATTCCCATTGCTCCTTTTCCACATACGGTGATTATATAAGAGGTGTATAAAGAAATGCATGCATATATATTAAGCACTTTTGTCAAATTTGTGCATTTCTTACTCTTATTTTATGTATATTGTAAAGGTTTGTCCTCATAATTTTATTTTTTTCCATTTCAGTTTTCTACCTATTTCCCTGGGTACTTTGATGGTCAGTACTGGCTCTGGTGGGTCTTCCTTGTACTGGGTGAGTGTCAATATCCAGCTCACTTTCTTACTGTTAAAGTGGTATATATTTTTGATATATTAATTCTCAGAAAAGTATATCCTTTGACATGCATATAACACACTCTGCTAATGTGGGCTGCTGGTGCATGGGGTTGAGAGAGGAAACCATGTTTCAGAAGGTACTCAGGAATTCAGTGAGCAAGCTGTGTCAGGACAGTGAATTGAGAGATGAAACATGCCTCCACCATCCATTTCATTGGTTGTGAATATTCGAGAATGGACAAAGTATGTGGTGCACCCACTCTTTGTCTAATTTAAACCCCTCTTCAACATTGCTGGTTCAGTGGATATCTTGGAATGTTTTTGAATACAATTGATATCTCTACCAAACCCATGTGATATATGTAATGTGCAAGCCATATCACACTTGTATCAGCAGACCATGTCAGTGCCTTCTTTTATTCATATTAGCGTATGCCACAGGTGGACATTTTATTCTGAATAGGCACTGTGTAGTAATGCCATCTAACTCCAGATCACAAAGCAAATGCATACCTGGCAGAGCTCTCTGTAGTTTTCTCAAGTATTTTTGGTTGCTGCTGTGAAATCCAGAGTTGCACGAGCTGCTGTTTGCAGAAGCAGTCTACAGTTTGTTCCATATTGTTGCCATTTTATGAAATTATTTATATGCTTTAACAGAGAGATACTTGTGTTTTTGGTTCTTTGTGAACTTGAAATTGCTTGTGAAGCTAGCCTATAGAGATGGAAGAGTTCTGCATTTCTCATATATATTTATTTTTCATTGTGGTAGGATTCCTCCTGTTCCTCAGGGGCTTCATCAACTATGCGAAGGTCAGGAAACTGTCAGACTCAAGCTTTTCTACTCTCCCTCGTACCAGAGTCCTCTTCATTTACTAAAGGTAAGCAGCAAGGTTTGAGGAGGGAACAAAAACATTCACTGGGATGGCGTGGCAGGCAGATGTGAACCCAGCAGCTCATAAGTGCATGTGGCATACTTAGATTTCAACCAGTTTCAGTGTGCCCATGACATCCATTGTGTGACCACAGTGCACTGCTCTCTGATCCTTAACATAGGTTTTGATGCTGGGCACAAGAATTTCTTTGCTCAGAGTTTTGGGACTCTGATACACAGAAGTGATGTGCTTTTGCCCCATTCCACTTTTTATTTTCTAATAACCAATGAATTTAACCTGTGAAGTGTCTAATCTCATCAACTCCCATTGTGATACTTGGTATCTACTACAGAGTTTGAAGTATTACTTCTGCTGTTGGTGTCTTTGTATGTGAATTTTTTTCTTAATATCAAAAACAGCTTCATTCTTTTTTTTGTGATTAAACAGTATTTCTGGTGGATTTTGAATTCAGAAATTGGAGACTTATTTTCCTTTACACCTTAAGATGTTTTAGGTCATTGAATGTTTGTTTTCCTACCTTGCATATCTTAGTCTGTGTACAGTGCATTTAATTTTATGTTTAGATATTTAGTCATCATGTCATTATTGAAAATTGTTCATTGTTTAACATTTTTTTGTTAGAAATTGACACATTTTAACAACATTCATCTTACACAGTCCATCTCTTTAATGGAGAACCAGACTGTAAAGGCTATGGAAAGTTCAGAAATGATAAGCAAATATCAAAGAGCACTATAACATGTTAATTGATACTGGATAAAATCTTAGATTAAAAAAAGGATACTTTTAGTACCCATTTAACCACACTGTATTCTTCTGCTGAGTACTGGTACTGCAATGTACAATTAATTTGCTGATTTTAAATAGAAATTAGGTTTATTTCTGTCTTCTGTTCTTTTTATCTTTATGGTCTATGTGATTTGAAGTAAAAATTGAATCAGTAGCTTGTCTCCTCCTAAAAGTGAAGTTTTTTTTAACTTAAGACCCCAAATAGTCAGCTTCTTACTAGCATTTCTCAATTAAATTAGCATCACAGTGCCTGGAGAGGATATTGCACATTAAATCATCCTGCATTTTTCTGTGAGACATCTACGGTTTCTTAAAATAGAATACAATTTGTCTAATAGTTTCAATGCCCTTCTTTCACAGCTGCTTTTTGGAAACAAAAACAACCCCCTTCCTGCATTTAGAGTCCTGGAAGCAGAAAAAAAACAAAACTCCATCAAATATCAACTGTGCACCTGCAGGAAGTGAATCAAGACAGATCACAGAAGACAAAAAGGAATAATATCACTGCTTTAAATAACAAAATACCGTTTAAGAATGAGACATTTCTTTCTGTATGTTTCTAGATGTAAAATTTTACTAGTGGATGCTGAAGATTCTGTAACCATTCAATCATTAGTGGCTAATGTTAAGTGCTATTTGCAATCAAGTCTGTGACGTTCGAATAATGCCTTACATACTATCTGTTCATAGTTACTCAGTAGCATGCACTATGCCCTTTTTAGCCAATAGAGGGCAGTCTTGCTTTTTTCCCTATCTTTTCAAACTGTAAGTGATTTGGAATCCAGCCTTATGCTGGCCATGATTTTGCAGTTCAGCAATGGGGACTCTCAACAGTTCAGTGGTTTACATTACATTTTCTTGAAATAATTTCAAAACAGTGTTTTGTTGCATAAGTTATAAAAGTAAAACTACCCTTGTTGAAATTTCTTCAAAATTATGAAAATAGCATACTTTAGAATTACTTTATAGGTATGTTTTATAACATAAGTATACATACAGGACAACAGAAATTTAACATATAATTCTAAGGAATGCTGTAAGTAGTTAATTTCCAGAAATAAAAATAAAAACCAAGGCAGTACTACAGGCTTTATTCTTTATTAATAAAGATTGACTGATTGGCAAATGGTTTCTTATAAAACGTGAGTAAAGCAAAAGGTGTAAAAAGTAACATTTTAATAGAATATAATTCCGTGGTCATTGTTTGAACTTACAGTAGGTTGAGAGATGGGTCCAAAATGCATCATGTATAAAAATATAAAAGTCCTACATCTACCTAACCGAAGTGTGTTAACAGTATACAAAATAATCACAGCTTTACTGCACGTTCAATCAGGCAGATTACCTGGAATTGCTTAATTCCAAATGTCAAAGGAGAGCATAAGTGAGGGGGTCCAGTTTTTGTTCTATGTCTTATTTCTACTACTGTAATGATGAAGTGACAAGAGCTTGAGTAGTCAGGCTCCTTGTAGGTCTCCATTCAGCTGAACTCAAGTTGCTCAGGTGGATCAAGGCTTGGGCATTAATTTAAAAGATTTTCCCCTACATTCATTGTCAGTGTCAGGAGAGGTTTATCTTGTGAAATAATGTCTAGGGAAGGACGGTCTAATGCTGATTTTCCAACTCCTTACCAACTTGAATTCGTTTTTTTCCACCCTAGGCTTACCTGAGAACTTTTGACATGGTCCCTTTGATCTATCTACTTTTTCTCTAGGTTAGTGTAAGTCTCTCTTGAGTGAAGATGACTTTTTCATCGTAAAAATGGACAGATCCAATTTCTGTACTTTCTGCCAAGTAGTACTGCACCTTGGCGAGTTTTATTGTCCAGAAAAGTGCAAGATTTGTAAATATAGCAAAATGTCTAATAAATGTCACTTATATAGCAGTTGTGATGGAGAGTCATTGAATCTTTGCTGTTGGAGTTTCTTTCTTTCATCTTCTCATCTTTAAAGTGATAAAGGTGGCATTAGTGTGTGTAAAGGTATGATCTGGAATAGCTGTGAAAGTCAATGTGAATGGCAGTTCAGTTTCATTTCAGTTTTCTGGGTAAAATGAAGATTTTGTTACTTTTTAAACGAGGGAAATTAGTAATAAAATGAAAGCCGTAGAACTGTGTGTTCAACAGAGCTTGTGGTTCTACATTCTACACTCAAAACCTTTACAGGGATGAATGTGAAGAGAAAAGGTTTAAAACTATGAATAATATAATTTAAAGGAACATTATGGGAACTGAATGTCTCATCACAATCAACAAGGAAAACTATTCTGCTACTGTGAACTTGCCATGCTTTTTTCTTAAGTTTTTTTTATTTTTAATAGGCATTTAAAAAGCTACAAATACTATTGGATTTAATACTTATTTGTTGTGTATTTAATGCCTCATTGTATGCATATACATAATTGCAAAGATATGCAATTGCTCAGCATGGTACTTTGGAATCTTTCTCATTTTTGAATCACTTTTACTTGAAAAATAGTAGTACTTTAGTACCTGTTCTTCCTGAAAACTGTTAGTGTAACCAGAGCCATTGAAATATGGAAATACCAGATGTCTGCAAAAGCGTGGCACAGATGGTTTAATTCTTTTCAACTGTAAAGACTTTCAGTATAAACAGGCTGCCTGCCTGGCTGATAACATCTTCTCTGCTGAATTTCCTCTGCTGAGGAAAGCTCTGGTCCTGTGGTAAATGTGGGGATGGTATTATGTCCTCCTTCCTGAGGCCATCGGCTTCTCAGACCTTCATTACTTTTGGGGGGTGGGGTTTAAGGAGCAACAATGTTTATAAAAAATAATTGATATCTACACCACATTTCCATTAGAGATAACTAAAGCTTTGAACCTATTGATCAGAGCTAAACCTGTGGTTTTTGTCCTGTGATCCCTAAATTCAGTCACCATTTAAAATTTAAATATTCTGCTAGGCATTGCCTGGATAGTTGAGTGATATTATAAAATGATGTGCTCACAAGCCCTTTCTCCCTGATGCATCATTTAAGTTGCTTCTCCAACAAACAGTAGGGGGCAGAGTTGTCCTCTGCTTTCCTTGGGTTTTTAAATTGGGAATGATGGAATCTGCAATTGGATTATGCAACATTGCTCAAGCAAAGTTTCTGAACTATCAGTGTTTATTCTGTTTCTTAACACATGCAGGTGTGTCAGTAAAGTAAGGAAAAAAGGTTAAACAGCTGTTAAATATTGAATGCCCATATTAAATACCAAACACTCTTAATTAGAGAAACTGAAAAGGTAAGCATTTTTGCAACACATTTTCATATCTTAAACTGACATTTAGATGTATGACCATGTATGTCATTGCAAATAAATGATGGCATTGCATAAATACTAGCGGATGTATTGGAGATGACTTTGAAAAGAAGAATTTAACCTAGCATATTTTTTCCCCTCGATTAAGAGTTGTGAAAGGTTATTTCATTATGAAAAAAAATTGTGGAGAAGAACATCACACCCTTCCCCTAATCCTGTTCTTGCCCTTTTGTTAATCTCTTAGCACTTCCTTTTGGTGCAAGATGCAGAGTGCTTCAGTGTGAATTGGGGTGTTTTCACTCGGGGGGGGGGGAGTCCAGGCCTGTCTGGAATGGCTGCTTGAGGCATGATCTTTCACAGCAGGGAGGCTCTGGCTAAAACAGCATGTTCATTTCTTGGGCTCTGATTCACCTTGGATTCTCACTGCCCTGTGCCTTCCATGTGAATTCCATCTGCACTGACAGGATGGGCTGTCGATGTTGACACTCCACACTCCTCCTGTAATTGCTAGAGTGATAAGAATGACTGAGGAGTCATGTGTGCCAAGACTGTGGCTTAACTTCTTAAATTTAACAAAGAGAGCCTGGTTAGGGTGTTTAACCCTGTAGTCTTAACTATAGTGTTTAACGAAGCTCTTGTATAAGCCTTCATGTGACAAGGTTTTACTTTGCTGTTAATCATTTAAGGTTTTTTGTTTTGCATTGTGGGAGTTTGCAAATGCCGATTCAATGCAAGGGCTGTGTTACACTACTGCGTGCCAGCTTGCAGCACTCTGATTTATGTTGACATTTTATCAAAGTGGTGAAAATAAAGAATGTTAAAGGTAACCTTTCCAATCCTCAAAAAGCAGTTTATCCTGGCGAGAACGAAAGCCTGTCCTGAGAGTGGGCCTGTCTGTTGTAAAGGGACAATTTACAATGGTAAAACAAATGTAGCTGGCACATCTCTGGGAGGATGGCAGACTACCCAATGAGAGCCCTCGCAAATACATGGAGAACATGCAAATTCACCTGAGCTGTGAGGCAGTGTCCTGTAAGAGAACTTTCTGCAAAATGAAGCTTGTGTCGCATGTATATAGAAAGTATGAGAGAAATACATACACCTTTTAAATCTTCATTTTTCAACATCACACTAATGGATCATACATTTCAAGCATTGCCTTTAAGTGTTGCAGAATGCAAGACATGTTTTTGTTAAAAAGTTTCCTTTACTGTACGTTCCCCAAAGGGGCAAGGTCATTTTTGTTTGTGTTGAGCCTGTAGCAAATATTAGCTCTTAGTTGAAGCCTCCATCCAATTAATTTTTGTTGGTGCACTGAGCCATCTGTTTTCAAAGCGATGAGTTTATCACAGTTGGCGTCATGGATTAGGTTTGGCCTATTAGCACGGAGGTAATGCCGAGTTGGGGAACAATTAAATTTCCTACCTTCAGCAGCACCCCTCCCCCCTGCACCACTGTCTCCCTCAGTGGACCAGATGGTTAACGGGTTGTGCAGCTGCGTTTTGTAGAGCTAAGACTTTGAGACGTCATACATTACTTCCGCGGCGCACCGAGGGAAGCTGTCTGTATCTGCAGCCGTACAGGGCTGACTCATGCTGTTGAGGGACGCGCAGCGAGCGGGGGAGAGCTCACTTGGGGGGGGGGGGTCTCAAACCTGGGCCAATCTGTCATCCTCCCTTTGCCGATATCAGGCTCCTTACTACAAATGACCTCATCACAGCCTCACTCCGGCTTGTCTCTCTCTTACTGTTTCTGTAGCTGAATGACTGAGGAAATGAATGACCGTTTTCTTCGGAACGCAGATCGGCACAGCGTCACACTTCTTGTGTGTGTGTGTAGAATCTGCCTTTTTCCCTGGGAGCAGCTGGTCTGAATGGTTCTGAAATGAGTGGAGGGGGTGATCTCATCCTTTATCACACACGTAGGCAGCAGTCCTCTTGTGTGTGTGCTCCTTCCCAGTTCACTGAGGTGCTGTGTGCGAGAGCAGTCCATGAATCAGGTCAATGAACTGCGGTTACGTGTTCGGCAGTTGCTCCGTTGTGCGAGATCAGCCCTGCAGCCGTCGGCCGACTCGATTCGTGACGAAAATGAAGGAGTTTATGTAAAAAAAAATGTAACATCTTACATGTATATTCATATTCACATTTTAAACATTACTGACACACAATATAGCAAATTATAACATGTTTATTTGAGAATCTTAAGAAGAAGTGATAAGAGGTCCAACATTTGGTTGCTGGTAAATTAGATGTGTTTTGAAAGAAGCAATAGTATTGACTTCAGTTTGTTCTACACTCCCAAAAACATTTGTGTTAAAGTGGCTCCTGTTTTCAGGCTCCGCTGCAGTCTTTACCGATAAAAACTAAATGGATTAAGCTCTTTTAGTCTGTCCGAGTAGGACATTCCTTTGAACCTGGGAATGTGCTATATTATTCTTCTTTACACTGATTCCAGAGGGACTAAATCTCAGTTTTCTTAATTTATAATCCCTTGATTTAAATTTTAACTTAAAAAAAATTGTCTACATCCTAATATTCTGTTTATTTTTCCATTGTGTTCCCACATTGTCTGAAAGACAAATCAAGTGTCAATAAAATTACTTGTCTTTTTTCATAAGGTGCTTCTTCAACTTCAGTGTTTTCCATTCTATGTTTGTCATCCGATTTTGCTACCTACATATCAACATTAAGTGACATCAGTTTAATGTTTACCCTGTCTCGAATTCTAACTAAATCAGTTTGAATTTCCTGTTGTAGCCTCTGCAGTGTTTGCTAATGCCCCTGTTTTGTTAACATCGGCAAATTCACTGGTTTGCTCAATCTACCAGAATCTAGGTCACTGATAGAAGTCTGAATGAGCAGTGTCCCTAATACAGATTTCTATGGACCCCTTTAATGCAAGAACAAAATGTATATGGGCAGAACATCAACATTTCTTCAGCTAATACAAAATCCTGGACAGCAAGCAAGGCTACTGGTTGGTAAGAGAAGGAATCCTATCTTGACGTCATTCTCCATTGGTAATAGCACAAAAAAGAAACCATTACATAATAGAAACCTGCTCAGGTATTTCATGAATTCAGTTTCTAAAAATTTTAAGTGTTTCAGAAATTAAGAATAAATGCTTTTAAACAAAGCCTCCGCGCTGTTAACAGCACCAAGGTTCTTGAAATTCTCGCAGTACAATAACACATTGCGCGCTTTGCTTAGAATCGAACCCGACTCAGGTATTTAATGAGTCATTTAACTGTGTTTATGTGAAGAGTCAAAATCTGAGCAGTGCAGCCTGCTCCTGCTTGGATACTCAGTGTTCCTCCTGCTTGCCAAGTCAAACATGTCCGTATGGTTTACACTGTCACATCCTGCGCTCATTTCCATAGCTGGTGCTATAATTAGTTGTTTGCATAGTTTATTGCTGGGTAGTGATCTAAACAGAGTGGATTGGAAAGTTATCAAAAGTATGCTGAGCCTCCTGTGCATGAGTAAAGCTGAGGTGGTTCAGGGTGTAGGGTGGTAGTAACCCACTTGCTGAACAGGATGGAAAAAACAATGCCTGAAATAGTTTAGCGTTCACACCCTTGGGCACCTCCTCTTGAGCTCAGACAAATAAATGTCAACATT